GATCTTTTATCGTAATAGGTTTCAAGTTGTTATATAAAACACTGGCTGAGTCACGCGACTACGTACGCGTAGAATAGTTATTTTGGATAATAATTTTTGGTTTTGCAAACCCAAACTGGTCAACTCTGTTTTGAGCTGTTATCCACGACATCGTCCGCGTCCCTCGTTCTTGCAATATATCGATTAAAAGATAGATACATATATGTATATTTCGTGATATTTTTCGACGGCCTTTTTTAGAAATTTATTGCTTTCAACGAAGTATAAAAAATAAGAAATGACATTGACTAAGTTTCTACGACATTATTAATTACAAAAAAAAATTCTTGGTCGCTTTAAGAGACTCTAATAATATAATTGTGAAGGAAATTAATATGTGATAAAATAAAGTTTAAACATATCAAACAAAGAGTAACCATAAATGAATGTTAATGTGTTGGACTATCAATTCTTCAATTTGGTCTTATCGACCGTTCCAAATGTCCCCGACGATTACTTGGCCGTTCCTTAGCGTTGTTATCGGAAGTTGAGATAGTACATTCGTTTACCTATTCTCTACCTGAGTTGGCATTTTATTTAATTTAGTTTATAGGAGTAGAACGGTGATCAATTGTGTTTGCTCGAGTTATGTCAAAATTGAAGGGGTCGAATTGAAAAAATGCAAACAGTCGTCTCCAAATCTTGGAAAGAGCTTGATAAAAAAGCGAAATTTTTCGGAAAACATAAAAATTGTTGTAATCGTGGCGCCATCTCGGATCATTTTATGAATAAATATCGTCACATGCAAAAGTTGCATCTTTTTTGCCTTACTATTGTTTCATACGATATGATATTCTTGCTCACTCCTAAGTTATTGAATCTTATTTTATTACAGTTTTATTGCGTTTACATTAAAATATTTTATCCTCATTAAAAATCCTCGACGCATTCACAATGTTAGTAAAAGTATGCTTTCCGTTATTGATTATCGTACATAAGTTAAACGCGTGTTGCGTTTGTTCTATCGCGAAAGCCGCTCTGGTATGCACTGAACGGATTACAAATAAATAATTTAGGGACTAATAACGGCTCAGCTCCGATGACGTCACGGCCTAATGTACAATGCATTTTTTATATTTTACGATTAATGAGGACTTGTGTTATGTAGAGAAGCTTAGTACAATATCATTTCTTATTGGACTTTAATGTCGTATATGTTGCTACAACGTGAAACTTGTTTCATCACTACACAGTATAAGACAAAGTCGCTTTTCTAAAAAATCTATACCTATGTGCGTTAAAATTTTTAAAACTACGCAACGAATTTTCATACGTTTTTTTTTTTATATAGAGAGAATGATTATGATATCATTGTCCCCGAGCGAAGCCGTGGCGGTCACTAGTGTTAAATATATCCCCATAATTTTTTTCTACGTTACTGTCTCAACAAAAAAAAATAGCACTTCGATATTCGATCGTCTTTGATTTCGTTCTGGTGCTGTTAGAGCTCGGAAACCCGAACAGCTATGCGAAATAGGCGCAAAAACCTTCAAAAATTAAAATCTTAAGTATTGTCTCACATTTAACGAAACTAGTTTAACACGAAATATATTACTTAAGTTACTTGTAATTCAATTCGTAAAGATTTAACTAATATTTTCCGCGTTTTAAACAGGTAAAGGTGTTTTAAATGTTTGATTTTTATTTTTTGCTAATGAAAGGCATTTTGATTTATGTAGCTGTAGGCTTTACAATCGCAGCGACACTCGTTTCCTAGAATCATCCAATAATATCTGCAAAAAGACGTAACACCATACAGAGGTGCACGAGTTCCCACGCCATTATGCCAGTTCTACTTACACAATGACATAACACTTTCATTGTATTCAGTAATACACGTTCTTTGCTGATTGCGAAGGACGTAGGGAGTTACGGAGAATGTAACGTGATAGATGGGCTCAAACAGCGGAGAAGAAATGTAATACAGAAATTCGTAATATTCAGTATTCTTAGGTGGAATTGACAAAGAAGCAACGCAAAAAGAACAAAAAGAATCAATCTTCGCCATTTTTGCAATCCCTATAGTAATGTTGAAAATGTTAGTATCGTCTGTAGTTTACGCGAGTAGTACACATTTAAATAAAACACTTTAACTTGGTTCTCTGCCCGTGTCTCCCCGTGACCACGACTACTGCAAAGCTTCCGAAACGTCGGGCTGTAGTTAAAATTAATTTTCAAGTAACTAAAATATATCTTGTTTTAAACCGTTAAAGTGTTTTATTTAAATGTTAGTATCAATATAAAAATGGCGACCTGTATAATAAACTATAGACAATCCGCTCAAATACTATCCTAATACTGCTAGTTGTACACATTCAAATAAAACACTTTTAACGGTTTAAACCTCGTTTTTAAATAAAAAATAAATTTCTCGAAATGTATTCGTTAATTTATTCTAACTAGAACCCAAAGCAGTCGTGGTCACGGGGGGACTAAAGCAGGAGGGTTTCAGTAGTGTAAAAGCCAAATCTGCTACGCATAGCATCCAAAGCGTCGGGCTTTAATATATTTGTATTTTACACCGTTAAAAGTATTTTGAAACAATGAAACAGATTTAATGGTGCATCTATAAATCGCGATGGAGAGTGCTGGAGAGTTTCCTACCTCAATTCTGGGTGAAACGTGTTGCTTAGTGTTTCGTGACGAACAAGAGGCCTAGTATTTTTAACCACGCTGTTCGGTTCATACAAAATGTCCACAATGTAACAATCTCATACATTGTATTAAGGAGACTATTTTTACAATTAATATTATCTAATGCTGATATGACTGTTCGTTGATAGTAAACGCACATTAATAAATCAGAGATGCGTAAGCAAATATTGTGATTTATCAGCGGAAAGGATCTATGTAAATATTTAAACTGAGTATAAGCCATTGCTATGTTTGTACGAACGTCCAATCTCTGGGCCAGTCCCTTACCGTCCCCATACATTTTCTAACTTGTATTACCTATAATAGTAATGGGGCAGAAGTATTTTAGGTTTTTATGGATTGTAGATATCCATGACTCAGAACGTCGCTTAGTGCAATAGTCTTCGACTAAGACACAGTATCTAGAAAAAAACAGTGTCATAGTGTCCTCTTATAGACTTATGCTCGAACCCTTTACCAATTCAATTGCCATATTCTGGATTGAAAGGAAAGTTAATTCTCACTCGATGTAACGTTAATATCAATTACTCCATAAAATGGGGAATAAAAATTCGTTATCACTTTCCTAAAGACTAGAGTTACACAAAAAACATCCCATCTTGGATTAGTGCCAGGTTATTTTAGATTTCTTAAATAATGCACTTATATACATACATATTAATGATTGTTCAGTAGAATACGTAAAATTGTCTACTTTTGTTAATTCAGTCCGAAATTCTTAAAAGAGAATAAGTACATATTTCATTATATACACTTTTTGACGGATTAAAAGGAGAAATATATTGCTCCCCACGCCTGCTGCGAGGTATCCCAAACGTCGGATGGTAGTTAAGCTAAAATAATATAATTCGCGTTTTAAACCGTTAAGTGTTTTATTAAAATTTGTGCCACTCGCGTAATCTAGACAGAAGATATAAATGAGACATATTATATAGTATAGAGTTAACTTCTTATAAGGGTTATTGTTTTTCTGACTTTGTATCAAAGAAGTCAAAATTACGGCCATATAAAGGAGCCGATTAATATTCTCGTGCGATCGCATACCACCGTCTGAGTCACTCCGCGTATAAAGCATCGTTTCATAGGCGTCAAATTAACATGTAGGTTCTGCGTTTGTCATACAATTATTCACATATTCACATCCATTAGCAGCCAATTCGCTGACAATAGCGCTTTTATTTGTCCATACAAGTAAGATTCTTCTTACAATACACGTTTAGAACGGTCTTAGAGAACATTTAAGTAGAAAGGCGTTAACTGAGGTTCACGAACTCTAGTTACTTGTCGTTTCAACTTGATTTTTCTAGTAAGAAGTATGTCTGGAATAATTACGTTGCCTAGTTCCTAGCCTAGATCGTAATTCCTAGTAAAAATTAATGTCAAACACTTGCGTACACTACATATTATATAGGTGGTAAACAGGAAACTTTTTCAAAACAATATAAAATTAGCGCATACTGAACGATTACAATGCCTTTCCTAAACGAACAAGTAATGCTGCTAGATCTAAACATATTTCTTATAAATAGTATGGTGAGATAACAGTTAAAAATTTCCAAATATATTGTGCACAAACTGTTGATAGCGATAAAAAGTTACGTGTGCCAAAATTCATTGAACCAATATCGGTGCGTTATCAGGCATTTTGATAGGTGCGGTAGCGTGATTCAGCGCTTGAATTAATAATCGATAATGGCATATTTTACAAAGAAACCTACGCGCTAAACAATACCAGAATAATTCGTCACATAAATATACTCGTATCTTAATACTCTAGACGACATAGATTAGGCGACACAAAATAGAAGGCATTCGAAGAACTCAATCAGTGGTTTACTTGTCCGAAGTTCGGGACGAACTCATCTCTATCCGTCGACCTCTTTACTGTGAAATCCCATTTCTCCCTCGTGGGGCATGGGGCGAACACATTTATGTGCCCGTTTCACTGATCCGTTCGTTTACAACCAAATTAATCAGACTTCTGTGCCCTGCCTGACCGAAACAATTTTTGTTTCCCTGGATTCGAACCTCTGGCGCTTATCGCAATGCTGGGCAATACGCTTAACCATTTACCTACAGAGGCGACCTCTTTAGGTTTACTTTATTATTTCTAGGCAAACATTTAAGCATTAACACAAAGGTACCCCGTGGACTATACAAGACAAATAAAGAATCGAAATTATCGTAAATATAAAAATAAACATGAAATAATTTATTCTTATCTTCGGCAACGTTTGTTTTTCTCGTTCATGTGCTTATTTCTTGCATAAGCTTTAAAAATTAAAATTTCGTTTTCTTCGTTGCAGACCGTACAACATGGCTTTCCACACAGAGCATCAGCGCTTGCATGGGACCCACTTCTCAGACTGTCCGCTATTGGTACAGCGACTGGCGCCCTCAAAGTATACGGTCGCCCTGGGGTTGAACTATACGGACAACACACGAATCCCGATGCCGCCGTCACCCAAATACACTTTATACCAGGTAAAGTATACCCGATTTTAGAGAGACGGTTGACTTAATTGTATAATAATATTTTTCTATAAGGTGCTTTATATTTAAATATAACAATTTAACGGTTTAAAACGCGATATATATTAGTTTGAAGTTGTGACGTGGTCACGCTTCATAATCAGATTACCACCACCTGAAAGCTATGTTTCTTAAGTTGATTGGACTTGAAAAGGCTTCCCCCGTGACCAGACCTAGAATGCACACATCGACAATGGTCAAAGATTATATTTATATTATCATCGAATATAGTTCGCATCTTACACTATTAAATGTGTTATAAATAATGTGTATTTTTCTTACAATTACATGTATAACTAACTAGATATTGATCTCATGAAGTAACTTCTTAAAGATAATACATAATTACAGACATTAAACGTACCATCCATCTTAAGTCTCCTCGTGACGACGGCAAAGCATCCAAAACGTCGGGTTGTAGTTAAAATTATCTCCAAATTAGTTGACTAATATATATAGCGTTTTAAGCCGTTAAAGTGTTTTATTCAATTGTGTACTATTCGCGTAAACTACAGACGTATATACATAATTCTAATTTAACATCCAAAATATTACACATTTCTTGATTGATAATAACTAATTTGCCTTCTAAAAGATGAAATAAATATATTTTTTTATATTATTCCAGGCACGGGCCGGTTAATATCACTCTGTGACGACAACAGTCTGCACTTATGGGAGATAAACGAGAAATCTCTCGTCGAATTAAAGAGCCACGCATTCGAGGGCAAGAACAAGAAGATATCAGCCATATGCATGGAGTCGTCCGGCAAGAACCTCCTGCTGGGGACAGAGGGTGGAAACATTTACACACTCGACGCTAACACGTTCACAATGAGCGAGGATGTTATATACCAGGACGTCGTTATGCAAAAGTAAGAATCCCTTTAATAAAAACGAAATTTTCATACAAGATGGTTATTTGATACATTGTTTAGGAGCTTTTAATCTTGTCGGAGCAAGAAAATCTGCGCGAAATAAAAATTCAAGATTCGCTTTAAGCGAGAAAATTTAATATTACATAGCATATATAAATTTTATTGCAAAGAAATTGTGTAACAGGAACAAAAGGGACGATGATCGAAAGTGTATCTTATGTCAAAGGTTATTGTATCTTATTTCGTACTAGTAGCATAAATTCGAGATTATATGTTAGCGGAATATTTGATGCTATCTTGCAAAACTATTGAATAAGCTTTAAATAATAATCTAAACAGTAATATAGTTGTTACAAAAGCCCTACTACTATTAGGTTTATCTTGTTATGGTAGATGCTTTTTTAATGAATTAATAAATTATAGTAAAACTATGAACAGTAATTCAAAAAAACTGGGACTAACTAGTAGGTTACTTTACTCTAAAAAGAATGAAAAAGAAAGTGCATTTTTAAGCAATAAATAGTAAGAAAGTAACAATTATTTCAGCTGCCCTGAAGATTTCAAAGTGAACCCGGGCGCCGTGGAATCAATATGCGAGCATCCGAAACTGCCGATAAAGATTTTAATCGGTTACAACCGAGGTCTGGTCGTTCTATGGGACAGACAGACATCAACACCGACACACACATTCGTATCTAACCAACAACTGGAGAGTTTGTGTTGGAACGATGAAGGTAATCTTTGCACCTTATGTTCGCTAGCTGACACCGATTTCTATATATTTTGTCATCGTTAAAAGGCTAAGCTTTATTTCAATATTTGTGCTAGTAGCTTGCGTCCTAGCGATAAGAACGCGATTGAGGCTATCTAGCGCCTAAACCATTTTATTTTTAAATTTTAACACTGGTAATATACCATATCCTAAATCGGTAGCACTAAGCCTAGTGGTAATTACAGTCACGTTATTTTTCCGCTAAAGAAATCTGATAGTAATTTTCAATTTCAGGCGAACATTTCACATCTTCCCACAATGACGGTTCATTCGTGACGTGGGAGGTAGCTGGTGCATCTAGCGATAGACCGCTCAAAGAACCTGTGACCCCATACGGACCGTACCCCTGCAAGGCCATTACCAAGATTCTTAACAGGACTAGTGTGGATGGAGACGAGGTCACGATATATGCAGGTATACATTTGCTCTTGAAATATTAGTCTTGGTATCATAGTAACACAGATTAAAATTATCTTTTTAAGTATTGTTTATAGCAATACTCATTTGCGATTTTAATGTACTATATGGACCCTTCTTCTAGATAACGTCTATTTTTTCAGGTGGTATGCCTAGAGCTTCGTATTCAGACAAATATACAGTGACGGTGCAGCAAGGCGAAAAACACGTTGCCTTCGATTTCACAAGTCGGGTAAGAACTTTGCCTCGACCTTTACCATAGTAAAATAGTAACGTTTTATAAATAATCTTTGTTTTTTGTAGGTAATAGACTTTTTCACAACAACACCCGTGCCACCAGATGGTGCCCCGCTGCAAGAGGATAGACCACAGACTCCTGCGCAGATTCAAATGCAATCTGTCAATCAAGTTGCTGCAGCTCTGGTGAGTTACATCGAATTTACCCATATTACGGTTTCCTTTTTTTGGAATTACACATACAACGTTAACACATTAGAAGTGGGATATAGTATACGAGTGTATTGAAGTACTTGTTTATATTCCTGTTTTATAGTTACTCTGATTTCTTCAACAGGTGGTTCTAGTTGAAGAAGAATTGGTTGTGATAGACCTGTGTGACTCAAAGTGGAGACCTCTGCGCTTACCCTATCTCGTGTCGATACACGCCAGCGCCATTACCACGGCGTATCTAGTTGACAATGTGGCTGATTCAGTTTACGACAGTATAGTATCTGCAGGTAGGTAGTTTATAAAAAAACGTATACTTGTACCTTGGAATAAATATATTGTTAAATATAATCTCAGCTTTTTTACAACTTCGTTACAGTAAATGGACATAAATTTGCCCTCTAAGCTAAATCTCATCCGACAACTCAAAGCATTGAAACCTCGCATTGAATTAAGCATGAGTGGTTTAAAATCCCAAGATAACAATTAATAGTTTCGGTCGGATAGGGCACAATACTTTGATTAACTACTTGTTTGTAAATAAACTCAAAATAGGAGGAACTGGTGTCCACTTACTTGAATCAGTCAGGAATGTTTAAAAATGTTGCCGTAATAATATTACAGACTAGCTAGACCAATAATCAAAGATTATCAACTAGCAGTCAAAAAAGATGAAAAATAAATTAAGTAACCTCTTTCCAGGTGAGAAACAAATCGATGACGTGTACTCCACCAGCCCCTGGCCAATATCAGGCGGTGAGGTGGAACCAAGCGAGACTCCTCAGCGGCAAATCCTCCTAACGGGTCACGAAGATGGATCCGTGCGTTTCTGGGACGTTAGTGGTGTGGTCATGACACCCTTGTACAAATACACCACTTCTCATCTTTTTAGGTGATTATAATAACATGATACTGTTTTTAAAAATGACTATGAAACTACCAGTCTTACATTAGACACCCCCTCCCCCCGCATTTTAATTATTGTTTTCTCTGATTGACCCATTATAAAACAAGCAAACGTAACCATGAATTTAAAACCGGTTATTTATATATAATATTTCGTAATTTTTTTAAATCTCAGTTAATTATGATAAAATGATGGTTTTAAATTCCTATTACCTGTCTATTAAATTCTAAACTTTATTTTAGATCAAACTTAAAAGCGAATTCAATTATACTAAATAGTTTAATAAAAAAAAATTAATTAAACAGTTGTAGTATCCATAATATATTACTTCACAGCTAGATATGATTGTTTGCATCCATATATTGTTTGTCATAAATACTAACGCTTACTAACAATATTGTGTAGCTAACATAACTATGCTTTTTAACGCTTCAAGTGGACTGAAAAGATCGACCGTAAGGTAAAACATTTAGCTAAATTTTTCTATATTGACATCACTCGCTATTATCTTGCTTGCTTGTCACTTGTATTTTGCTTTTCACTATGCTTTATTGCCTGTTTATTAACTTTTTCTCGTAATAATAAAGTTAAGGGCGTTGTCAGTCACCCCGATATTTTATCAGCATTACTTGCACACCGACGATGCATATAACTTACAAATAAAAAGGCCAACATACGAAATAGATATATATAATAAATTCTCACAAGAGAGAATTTCTCTTTCAAAAAAATTTTAATACCTTTTTGAGAAGGAGATTCATACTCATAAGTATATTATTTTTATAGTGGTGAAGAAATCGGCGAGAACAATGACAGCCAGAACGAAGAAGAAGAATGGCCACCATTTAGAAGAGTCGGCACGTTTGATCCATACAGCGATGATCCGCGACTTGCAGTCAAACGAGTAAGTTATTCTACGAGTGAAATTAATCTACTTGATACCTCGATTTAATTGTTTTTATAACTCGTTTTGATTTTGGTAAAAATATACAAACATAAAATAAATAACAAAACACATTTTGAGTTTTCTAGGTTTAGTAACTTTTGTATTGTGTGTTCTCAGGTGATCCTTTGCCCCCTCTCCGGTATGCTGACGATTGGTGGAGCAGCTGGACAAATTGTTATGGCGAGTTTGAAAACTTCATCTGCCACTGCTGAAGTCAAGGTTTGTGCTGTGTGGTGTTGTGATGTGGCAGTCAAATGTTTTCTATTTGCAACTTCTACAGTATCAAATACTTTAAATAAATCTTCTAAAAGCCTAATGTCATATATCAACATTTTGACTTGTTTGTTTATTGTCTGAAGTTTTACTATGTTACTTCTTCTCTTTTTCAGTCACTCTCTGTCAACATAGTATCTGACCGCGACGGGTTTGTGTGGAAGGGACATGACCAGCTCACACTGCGCTCAGGTGCGCTAAACTTCTCTCAGGGATATCAGGTAAAATATTAAAGTAAAAAAAAAGATAGAAAGACTACGAGTGAGAATACAAGAAAGTAATTAATAAAGTATTTATTAATAGGCATTAAGTAAATACAGTAAACAAATCAAACTTATATATTACTTTTAACACTTACCTAGTTTTACTCCTATATTCATTTTTCAGGCAAGCGCTGTGGCTCAAGTGTCTCCTCCGGCGGCCATTACCGCGCTAGCAGCACATTGGGAATGGGGCGTGGTGTGCGCAGGCACCGCCCACGGCCTCGCGCTAATAGACGCGTTCTGTGCGACACCCCTTATACACAAGTGCACGCTCAATCCACATGGTATGCTTTCATTTTTTTTATGAAAAGTAGTAAGCAATTCAATTTGTGATTGATAATTTCAACGGTTTCTTAAAAAAATGCGTACGTATTCATAGAAGTATTGAGATTTAAAATTTGTCTTCTGTCATAGATCACTCCGGCGCAGGCGATACGCCTATATCGAGAAGGAAATCATTCAAGAAATCGCTGCGGGAATCGTTCAGGCGACTCAGAAAAGGACGTTCACAAAGGAGACAAACGACAGCAGCTAGCCCAACCTCGCCGGTGCAGGTAAATGCTTCATGTAGGATAAAAATTTCAACCATATATAGAAAAAAACATATACAAAATGTCTAAAATTATAAATATTCACTTATACTTTGTCGGGCGAAATAAGGATATTCAATTGTATTTTATTGTGTAGCCTGCCAAGAAGGCAGTAGAGAAAATAGCAGAAAACGACGCTGAAGTAGTAAAACCTATTGAGCGAGCAGTAGAGGCGAGGTCCAATGACGATGCATTTGGTTCTATGGTGCGCTGTTTGTATTTTGCACGCACCTTCCTAATTAACAGTGAGTAGTTTTTTTACTAAATACTAAATTGGGGTGTCAAATTGTGGTGCACGTTAAGTATTGTCTGTAGTTAACTTGTGTAGTACACATGTAAATAAAATACTTGTCCCTCCGTGACCACGGTTACTACAAAGCATCTGACACGTCGGGCCGCGGTTATAATAAATTTTTAATAAGCTAACAAAACAATTTCACGTATTGAACCGTTGAAATTGTTTTACATATGTTAAAAGACTACCAACCTGGCGATATTCACATCTATAGGTCATATTTTTCACATTAAAACCATTCAAAGTGTATTTCATACCACCCGCATCCACTACAGACAATTCTTTTCTGATTACGTGTTAATTAATGTGAATAGAGTTTGTAAAATTGGATGCTACATAAAGAATTTGGTTTCTATCGTGTCTCTTATTATAGTGGGGGTAAAAATAGTAAAGTATCTTGTACTACATTTATATCTATGTGTATTATATTTTATTAGGTACATTAACAGATAAAATATCAAAATGTGTTTCAGCTTCACATTCAATACCGACTCTGTGGGCGGGTACAAACAACGGTACGGTTTACGCGTTCACGATTAACGTACCCAATGCGAACAAACGGAAAGACGATCCGGTAAGTACTTGAGACTTACTTACTTTATACGTACTTTTTAAATATTTCTATATATGTAATTTAATGTAATTCATGTTATTTCTTATAGGTAACATGTCAACTAGCAAAGGAAATCCAATTAAAACACAGAGCTCCCGTCATAAGCATTACCGTACTTGATGGCGCTTCTGTACCCTTGCCAGACCCATTAGAAGTGAGTTTACATTATTTTTAATCTTTTTCTCAGTCATGTGGTAGACTGTAATCTTAATCAATATTTGAGCCTGGAATAAATTAAAACATGTGAATGATTTAACGGTCAATGGTATTTCTTTTTTGCCTCACGTTTACTACTTGATATTTTTTCAAAGGTTGAAAGAGGCGTGGCCCCACTGCCGGAGAGCGGAACTCACCGAGTACTAATCGTATCAGAGGAGCAGTTCAAAGTGTTTACGTTGCCCTCACTGAAGCCACACAACAAGTACAAGCTAACAGCGCACGAGGGAGCTCGGGTATGCATTGTTTATAATTGTTCATCGTAAAAAGATGAACTCAAATTTGACGGGCTAGCGAAGCCGTACGTTAAGTACGTTAAAAAATTTGTAATAAAACAAATTTTAGGTGCGTCGTACATCCTTTGCATGGTTCGAATGCGCCCACGGCGCTGACAGACACAAAGAATGGTGCCTCATGTGTCTCACAAATCTGGGAGACTGTTTGTTACTCGCCACAGACTTGAGGAGACAAGTGAACGCTGCTGCAGTGCGCAAGGAAGATATCAAGTGAGTTATAATTTAAAGTACATATTGGGAAATATTAAAAGCTCTAATTATGAAAAAGCCATATTTGTTTAATTCATGTTTCTTGGTACGCGAGCCATCGTGACATCATAATTTTAGTTAAAATCTATTATATATAGTATTAGTGTTGGTTAGAGCATTTATCGAAAAAGCCTATAAGCTGTAAAACATGGCGACGCGACTTATAGGAGCGAAGAAACAGCGGGAAATGTGAAGAAAACGGGGAAAATTATTAAACCTTTCGGGGTTCCGTTCGTCCGGGTTCCAAAACGGTTCAAGTTACCCAAAAAAAAATATACGAAAGAATGATTATTCTAAAAATGTCTGCGACACTATATGTCTATCATTTAAAATGAACTTGCAAAAACGATGTGACGTGAACGGATACAGATGTGGTGGGGGTTAGAGATTCAACACGAACGAAGTCGCTGACACAGCTATATAATCTTGTATATTCTCTCGTAGAATTGAATGTCACTGCTTTGCATTAAGCGTGTGCGTAATGGTCGTAAGTGTTGTGGGAGCTAATTATATTTTTTACATTTTCAGTGGTATTTCAACTTTATGCTTCTCGAAACGTGGTGAAGCTCTCTACCTACATTCGTCATCAGAGCTACAGAGAATAACGCTATCTGCTACAAAGGTAACTTACCAAGCGAGTTTACGTATAACAAATATTTATTAAATCCGATTAACATAAGAAAAAAATTCTACGCTTTTTTGTACAAAATAATGTTGACCTGTCTTCTCTCTATTATTGTCTCAACATATGATTCAATTTGCAAAAGCTTAGCACTAAACAGCAATTTAAAACGTTGCAGGTTACGATAGCGCAGTGCCACGTAGCTCTATCGCCGTGGGCACTCGCGTTGAAGAGCACAGCAGAGGAGACTACGCTGACGAACGGTGACCATAAGGTAAGGTTAAAGTGTAAACCGTAAATGAAAAGTAAGAAGTTCTGGTCCTTTTTTATCAATGATAGAAGAGAACAGACAAGCACGAGGTTCACTCGACGGGCGGTGAAATGCCCCAGCCATATAACATCTACACAAGATACGCTGTCGACCTATATTGGTTTTGGATATTCGGAAATCCACAGACTGGAACCGAAACTTTTTCATCTGTGGACGGTGGTTCGCTCCCCGGATGGAATCTCAATATTCCTACCACCCATTTAATATACAGATGCGTAGACCTGGTAAAGATGGAACACACACCTGTTGATTATGAGCAGTCAGATTGTCATAATCAATCGCGTTTTTCAGGAGGAGGCTCCAGAAACCGCTCACGACGTTACAGCAGCATCCGCCGACATCACGGTTGATTCTGTGCGCGATCACACCCAACCCGCCTCTGACGTGCCACCAGAATTGAACATCAACCTGCAGGTAACTGAAAATTTGCACTGTCTATAGTTTATGCGAGTACTAAATATTTCGCTTAAACACTAAACGGTTTAAAACTATATTAATTTAACTAATTGAAAAATTACTTTAAATACCGCCCGAGGTTGCAAATAAGTTCAACTAATATATTTCGCGTTTTGAAACGTTAAAGTGTTTTATTTATATCTACTAGCGTAAAGTTAAGTTAGTGTTTTATATAAAATCTGCATTTCATAAAATTTCAGGATTTTTAATTCTGTAAACTTTCACACCCCTTTTAGAGAAGAGTTAGGTGGTAGAGTTATATTTCTTAGCAGTTAGAGAATAATAAGTGCAGATATTGTAAAGCTCACGTAAAATTGATAAAACTTAGCATAGTGTAATTTTACTTACAGAATTCGCAAGTAAACACTAGTTCAATGGTGGTAAAAACGACGACCCGAACAACAGTGAACGAAAATAACGCAGATGGTGCCACAACAACCACTACCACTACCAGTAACTCTACCACTGAGAATAGTGAGTATATTATGTAATCCTAATTAGTACATGCAAAAACGTATGCATTTACTACGATAGCCGTCCCAACGTGTTAAATTACGGCAAGTATTAAATTTAATTTTCTTCAGTATAAGGTTAAAAATAAAAGCTTAAGCCGTAAGGTTTGAGTGTCAAGATTTTTCCCTTTTAGTTTAATTTCCACCTTGACAAATTAATTAATTCCTTAATAATTAAATAGTTAAGTGTTCATATCAGTTCATCCTTTAAACCCCTGAAACATAATGTCCAATAAGCTTCAATATGCGCATGCGCATATATGAGTTTAGAAGCTAGTTACATTGTTTTATCAATAATAAAGCAGATGAAATGCATGATAGCATCTTTTGTTGTGCTAGCTTCATATTATTATCATTTTTTTTATTATTGGAAAATGAAATGTTAGTTCCTGTCAATTTACTAACTTAAACTTGTGTAGCTTGTAACTAACATGTGTTTAATCTACGGCAACGTAAAAAGTCTATTTATGTAATGTCAAAGTTGGTGATCTGGCAGGAAGTATAAAAATTATTATCCTTTGAAGATCAAATTAAAATTTTATCCAAAATAGTAAAAAATTCATTGTAATTGGAATTAAATTGAATTTATTCGATGAAAGTTAATGAAAACGTTTTATGAAATATAATTATAATAGTTTATTACCATACAACAAAGCGCCAATGAACTCCGTACTCAGTAAAGTACGCCTTTTTTTTAGACGTTTTCGTTACCTTTTAGACTTGAAACACAAAATTGTTAGTATAATTTATCGCTTCATATACCATTATATGTTTATGTTGAAGCCGTCTATATGTTTGTCTGACGGGCGCTTTGTGTTTTTCTTTGTAGTCCTAGAGCACAGTCGCGAGGAAGGAGTCATCACCCGCATTGAGGTATCCCACACTTTGCTTTAATTTTATTATTATTTATTTCCTCTTACCAACAGGAAAACCGGAGATAGATTAGTTGACAGCAAAAATAAAAGAGATACGTAATCAATATATTTATTTCAATGACGGTTTATAAAAACTAGTTTTTTAATTTCTCCTTATTAAAATCTATCTACGACTTTCCTGCTTAAAAGTTTAAATTAAATATTCCAGTAAATATTGCTCTTTACCTTAGTGACCGTTTACGGCTGTAAAAATACAATCCCTTTATGAAACATTACATTATTAACATTTTAACGCTAGTTCTCTTTGCATGTACTAATAAAGCTTCCGTTTAAATTAACAATACTAATACTTCTTATCCTTGTACATAATCGAATCTATATCAGCTGTTTCGCTGCCACAAGTACATAACTCAATGTACGAGAAAGAGACAGTTATATACCTAACGATTATGGATAGGGGTAACTCCAATGTGCTCTAACCTTTATGTGGCGTCCGCTAGTGTCCAATGTCGATCATATCATCAAGAGATAATAAAATAAGGAAATACACCTCGAAATTTGTCATAGAGCTCAATAGACACTCGCGGCCGCCACGCACTACCGAGAAGAGCGTGAAATGGTATTCTGAATGATGGTTGTCGTACAGACGGGAACCGTGACAGTACCGGCCGGCACCGACCCGAAGCTGATCCTAGAAATGTTTGACCGGCAAAGATCGCCGCTGACCGTGCCGACGCCGCCTGCTGCCACGCCCACCGAATCGTAAAACTGTACGTGCACCACGCGTTCCCACCTCTCAATATGACAGTTGACGTTCGTTGTAAGAAAATCGAACTACAGATTAAAATGCGCATTCACAGACGAAATTCCAAGATGAAATCTATAGACTATATTAACAATTGGATTTCTTCCTTCTTACTATTATCAGATGTACTTTGGGGTATGTAGATACGATGCGTGTCTGACACGCCAGTTAGAGACCGCCATTGTGTAGACTTGAGCTTTATAACACAACAGTACATACACAATAATGTAAGTATCCCGTGTAAGAGAGTAGACAGTCTGCGAAAACCATGCTCTTTGTTTTAATCCATACGAATTATCAAAGACATAAGTGAATAATGTTTTCGTAACTATCAAACTCCTATTAGGGATCCTAGAAATCAAATATAGATAAGCTGTCATAGTACAATCGTGTTGTAATTAAACATGACGTTAAAAAGAAAAAAATATTGCCTTTTATACACATTAGCCGCAATTCCCATTTGTACTAAAATAATATATCGTATAGGAGTAATTTATTGTATTTTGTAAATTTTATTCTTATTCTAAGCATATCTTGTAAGTAACTATTGCATTTTATATAAATTTTTAACTTTGCTCTGTTATCGGCATTTTTTTATTACTTGCGAGCTATTTTTTATAGAAATGTAATAGCGATGCTTCAGTACTTAAACTGTACTAAATTTTTATTTGTATGACTTCAGTTTGTACCATATAATTAGTACAAAAAGATCATGGCCATAGTAGCACTTGTAATGTTCTCAAGTGTAAGTTTTAATTATTCAAGTAGAATTAGTTTGCAATTAACGACATACCATCTTAATTATTTTCTTTAAGTATTATAATTTTAGTGACCGAGGATTATTAATTAGGGCACTGCATTTTTATAATAATTTTACTTTTTACGAATGTCATTTTGCACGCTACGTTCGCAATCGGCAGCTGTTTGATGTTAGCCAGCCATCTTTTTTAAATGACAGTTGTATATAATTTTAATAGTATTGAAATATGGCAACATTTGATTTTGCATTTTTCATCACAACGTTGTGATAGGGGATTGATTTTTTTGTTTTTAGGAATTATATTTTATTTTAGTTATAAGTTGTATGTGCCTGCCTATTTCGACGCCTTTAAGACTAGGTGTTACGTCCAGAATGCTTCAGTTTATTATTGTACAATTATTATTATATCGAATTATTATCTTTGTGCTACTGTAGTATTTTTAAATTTGATACGAAATATGCTCTTTGTATCCAATTCTTACACGAGAATAAATGCTAAGAAAAGAGAATAACAATGGTTTTATTTTATAAACTATCTGCTGCTTCTGTCCTTTTAAAAAATATGAAAATATGCCTTTGTTAAATTCATTCACTGCGCGAGCAAAGGTGCGACCTCTCGGGACGTCAAAGAGAGAGTTGTCTTCTAGCGCGGCCATAGTTGTTCGGTACAAATAGTCGACAGAAGGCTTCCCTCAAATAAGGATCATCGATTTGGTTTCGAAACAACTTACAAGCATATGTATGTCTATCTTTTATGATTTACTTGCAAGAACGACGGAAAAGGAAGCGACCGACGTCGTGGGTACAGCTTAAGTTTATAAACATAAAGGGGTTTGCAAAAACGAATTTGGATGCCCAAAATAACTATTCTCGCGGACGAAGTCGCTGACAGAGCTGGTAGATATTTTTTTTTATATAAAACGTCTATTGAACTACATACATGAACGCGAGTTGAGCCTTTGGCTTCAATTTTACAAAAAATAATTAGGATAAGGCTCCGGAACTCTATAAATATATTATAGTAACGTAAAATAATACATAAATAATAATCAAATTGTGTCCTAAATATTACGTACTACCCCCACTCATGTCAAATTCAAGAATTATTATTTGTAGAAGTACTCTGTGGTTAAACTCTGTCTGGGTTTGAAGTCTGTAAGTGATTCTTTATTACATCTGTGTTGTGGACGATGTTGTGACAGTGGTTGTGATGTTTGTTAATAAAAACATGTATACGTGATGAAAGTAAAACTTATTGAAAATTAGTAGCAATGGGCTTTTCATGTAGGACTTGTCTTATCACGGATGTTTGCAACGATATCAATGAACTTCCTACAGGCATTCAGGGTGATTCGGTTACGGGTGCGGAGATAATGTTGTTTTGTTTAGATATTATGGTAAATTACTTTCACCTTCTTAATAATCCGAATGCTCCGTCATCATTATTCATTTTGTTAAAATTATTAAGTTCATCATTGTATCCTTTAAGATAATAATTCATACATACAAAATGACAAGTTTAAAAGTTGTTGAACTGAGTATAATGTACCAAACAGATTAGTGCATGTGGTTTCTAGATGTTACAGGATTTTTCTCTACTTAACTGTGGTTGGTGATTGCCTAGAATTATAGTAATCATATTGTTGATGTATTAAATGTAAACTTACAGATTACATCGGAACCAAATTTAAGCACAAAACTATGTAAAGATTGCTTTATAAAGATAATAGATATATACAAGTTTAAAAGGCAAGCATTACACAATGATAGTCACATGAGGAATCTTGATGATGATGCTTATCCAAATGGCACATCTCCCGAGACAAAACATAAAATACAAATTAAATTAGAGGATGGTATTGAAGATGAGATAGCTTCAAATGGGTTTGAGTCAGATGATGAGTTTCTCAGTGTTTTAAAATCAGTGAAATATGAATTTGTGCCTGAGGAAGCTAAAGAAAATGGTATGTGGCTTATATTCTCCTTTGAGTTTTGAGTTTTATGAAAACAGTTTATATATCTGCTATCAATTCTCACGACTGGAATTGTCTGGGCTGGTCAAATGCCTATTGTCAACACATGTGCATAGATGTTTTCCTTCCCTTTTTACACTAGAAATGTACAGACCAATGGTCCAAATACCAAGAACAATCAGTACACTCAATTAAAAAAAATATTATTTTACTACATATTTTAATTAGCACAACACTCTGTCTAGTATAATAAACACTAATACTTTTCATTCTAGGTTTAAGATAAGCAAAACTAAACTAAGGCCGATTGTTGACAGTATCGAGCAATGTCAAAGAGGAATGTGTCAATAAGAAGAAGACCAAAGCTGTTCGACAAGTATGTGAAGCATGTGGGAAGACTTATAAAAACCTCAGGGAACATATGAAAGTGCACCTTCCACCGGGGAAACAAAAAACATATAAGTGCAAGTATTGCGACAAAGTCTTTGCCCAGTGTACAGGCAGATATCGGCATACCAAAATTAAACACCTTGGCTATAGAGAACACTGTAAATTATGTGATAAAGGTAAGCTCAAAACTGTTTTGAGAATTTTCAATCTATAGAAATACGTTTAAAGGGTGTTTGTAAATTCTTAACACCTCACAGTATTTAGTTGTGGTGTTAAGTTGCATTTATAATATTATTATTTAGGGTGATAGTTGATTAAAAGCTTACTTTGAGCTAGTAATGTAAAATTAAGGTTGTATTAAACCCAAAACTATCTTTTATATTGGCATAACAGGCCAAAACTCTTTATTAAAAAGCGAAGCGATAATAATAAGCACTAATTGTGTTTATTTGAAACAATTCCATCTATATTATTACTAAGCTGAAGAGTTTGTTTGTATGTTAACGCGCTTATCTCAGGAATTACTACTGGTTCGAATTGAAAAATTATTCTTGTTTTGGTTAGAAAATTTATTGAGGAAGGCTATAAAACATTATGTTGTGACAAATAGGAACTAAGAAGCAGCAGCAAATGTGGAAAAAATGGGGAAAACTCTTTATCTTAAAAGGTTTCCAATCTGTACGCTGCGAAAATGGTTCAAAATACCAAAAAAATGAAAGAATGATTCCTCTTAAAAGGATCTAAAAAAATATCTGCGACACTATTTGTCTATCTCTTAAGAATAACTTGCAAGAACGACGGGACGCGACTGACTTGAGTAACAGCTTAAATTCATAAAGATAAGGGGGAGGTTTGCAAAACAAATTTGGGTGTCCAAAATAACTATTCTACGCGAAGTCGCTGGCACAACTACTTATCAATAAGGCCCTGGGATTTGGATTAAAAATTATACTTTTTCCAGATGTCGTATGTTTGAAGTCACACAATGCAATAAAACATGATGAGAGTAAAATGAAATTTGTTTGCGAAGTGTGTGGAAGACGGTTCTTGAGTCCATCGAAGGTGAAAGAACATAAAGTAACAGCACACACCAAGGAGAGACTGTATCCTTGTGGAATATGTGATAAGACTTTTGGTACTAAGACTACTGCTCTGCACCATAGGTGAGTAAGAAGTGATAAACATTGTTCCTATGACTGTTTTAATATATTGAACTGGCGTTTAAAATTTTTATCTTTTTAAATACATATAATAACAATATCTTCAGATTGAGTTGAAAAGCTTCACAATGTGTGCGTGTGGAATAAAGTTTAGATTTAAAGTTTTAAGTTGTAAATACATTAATAAACCAATAGAGGACAAAAATATAATGTACAAATCACTAGCGGCTACTTTGTGTTCGCCTAGTCATAAAAATATTGTGCTGTGGTGGCATGACTGGCCGTTTAACTACCTTTACCTTGTTTTCAGACGCCAAGTCCACGACAAGGAAAAGAAGCATTTATGTCAAATCTGCTCAAAACGTTTCTTTAAAAAGTACCACCTGGACGTCCATATAAGGTATGTGGCAGAGGAACAGACAAGCATTCCGTTCAGGTTTATTTGATAGAAGGTGAAAAATACCCCAGCCATGATATATATATTAAAAATACACTATCAACCTATTTTAACTTTAGACATTTGGAAATCCAGACTGAAAACATAATGTGGATTATTTATATTACACGAGAACCGAAAAGCAGCTTTGTGCCATGTTTGTACCATTGCGTATACGCATTTCAGTTTACATATTCACAGAAGCCACACTAAAGAGAAGCCATATGAATGCACCGAGTGCGGCAAATGGTATTCGTCTTGCACCACGCTCAAAAGCCACCAGCTGACTCACACCGCTCTCAAGAAGATACGCTGCAAACACTGCAACATGTCATTCACATTACAAAAGTGAGTTTGCATGTCACCGCTACTTTTATCAAGTCTATGCTGTTGTTAATCCGTACACAGATAATAAGTCTTTGCTGTCTCTCTGTCTGTCACCACGTTATTTTTGTTTTTTTCCTCTCGCCTAAGGAACAATATAAAAAACATAAATAAATGTTAACATCGAAATATCTAAAATAAGTTACAATATGAAATTTGTGTTCCTAGTCGGAACCCTGAGATGGAACCCAATGCAGTTCACACTTGGGTTTATTAAATCTATTTTATATATAAACCTGAAAAGTTTGTTTGTTTGAACGGACTAAATTCAGGAATTCGGGGCACCAGTATCCCAATAAAATTATTTTTGTGTTGCTTAGAGCATTTATTGAGGGCAAGGCTACAAAAGCTCACTGTTCTAGGTACCTAAACAGACACTATTTAAGTGTGCACGCCAAAGAAAAGAAGTACCAATGCAACTATTGCGAAGTATCCTTCTCGCGGTCGGACCACAGAAACCGCCATCAGAGGACCGCTCACGAGCGAAATTTAACTTCATGATTCTTTAAGGCAGAGGTGAACGGAATATACACGCAGGGTATGTTTGAAAATAAAGGTATATATAATGTTCGTTTTTGTTTTATTAAATGATAATTATCTATAAATGGAAAATAACATGAAATATCAAAACGAAAATTACACAATTAAGAAATTATTGGGTATGAGACCAAGAATCAGAATTAGCGTTAAAAGCGTTTTGTTGTAATGTTACGATCATACGAACTTGATAATGTAAAAGAACGTATACGAATATAAAAGACCAATTTATACATAAATACATTCGGCAAAAGAATAATGCCGAAGATGTATAAGCAAGTGTCGACGCATTATCTAAAGACGGGGGAATTGCTGGTTGAGAACAGCAATTACCACCCTATATGACGATAAGTCGATATTCAACATACAGTAAGTTTAAAAACCATTCACGAACTAGATTATCAACTACCTGTACACAAGTCCTTAGCTACTTTCGCCACAATTCCAGCAGAGAACCCAACAAGCTAATTGTTAAATACTGTCTATAGTGTACGCGAATTGTACACATTTAAATAAAACATTTTAATTGAAAATGATTAACTTCGGCCCGACATTTCGGCTGCTGTTGAAAAATCATTTTCAAATAAGTTTAACTAATATATCGCGTTTTAAACGGTTAAAGTGTTTTATTTAAACTAGTAGTTGATGGAAAGGTCGAGAGCAAGAGACCATGGGGTTGATCGACCATCTAACTCGATGGTCTGTCCAAGTGGCAAAATTGACAAGTATACCGACCGCTCTTCGACTACAGACAGGCCGAGGATAGACGAGCATGGAAGAAAATGGTCGACACGACAGTACTGTCCTATGACAAGAGAGAGGAACACTGAGCGTGTCCGAGGAACTACAAATGGCATACTAGAGTCTTTATTCGCATGATCCAGCTTCTAGCTTTTCAGGGATTTCGTCAGCTTCTACCGACTCTTCCTCTATGCACGCACACTCTTCCACCAGTCTTGGCGTGTCGCTTGGCGTATTAATTTCCAGAGTGTTCGATATCACCCCGAGCCGATCGCTCAAATAAGGATACTCTGCCAGCAGCTTCCCAACGATATACTTCATCTTATCGTTGAGAGTCTTTCGCCTGATTGTACTCGGAGTAGACGACAGATTTTGGCTTGCGCACGCGCACCGTTTGCCGCTTTATCGCAGTCGCAAGCTCCGAACCGAGGCGTTGGCTGCGAATTACTCGTTCCAGAAGCTGTAAGAATTAATTGCTTTGAGTAATTCTAGTTCAATCATTTTTCTTACATAGTATTTTGGGTCTGAGTGTAATGTAGCAATGCGTGGCTAATAATCGGGTCATGGGTTCAATTCCCACCGGGTCGATTTTTCTAATGAATTAATATTTTTTCTGCAACATTGGACTTCGTCTAGGAACATGGGTGTAGGAATATCTAAATTCCGTCCGACTCAAGAACACGCGTTTAAGTGGACTAAACTGTGGATTTCCGAATATCCAAAGCCAAAATAGATCGACAGCACATCTTGTGAGATGTCATTGGGCTGGCGGATTTCACTTTCCATCATGTCAACTCCAAGCTTGTCTGTCCACCTATATCATAAAAGAACGTGCATTGGAATATTAATAAAACATTTAGAGGAGTGCTCTTAAATATATCAATCAGAGGAACTAATTTTATTAAAACTGAGGTTTCGATTTATACAAGGGTTGTAGCTAGAGTGGCGTATATTTGTGTTACCCATTGTTTGTGACGTTCGGCTTCCTGTGTCTCTTGCATGAGCGAGGCCACTCTCTCTTCGAGCTGGGCATTAAGAGCACTAGTGCTGGCTACCTCACGTTCCAGACGATTGTGCTCGTTTTCCAGGGCGTCAAAGCGTTCCTTAGCCTCGGTTAAGTCCTGTGGAGGAAATAAACACACACTATTAAAATAGACACTATTTTGACTTCTACATAACCTTTTTTTAGGATTGTGACTACAATTTTCTATGGTTACTATTGTTTGCAAGATAAATTACAAAATAGCGGCGACTTTCAACAAAGGTACGTTTTAGAGATGCGCCGAGTAACGAGTACCGAGTTTTACTCGGTTCAATTTTTTTTTCAACCGAGTACTTGGTAGACTAACTCTATGTGCAGGTCTCAAGCCGTGTATAGCGAATGATTATTTTCGGAGACCTGTAACATCTACGTAGAAACGAGGAGTAGGCTGTTACCAGAACGTGCAGAGAACCTTGTGTTCCTGCATCATAACTTGCCTTTTTTTATATTTTTATTTATTTCTGTTCTCATACACACAATCATTAGCATAATTTTGATTTTAACAATTGGATTTTACACAACATTCACAGCATTCCATTCCGTAACAGCACGGAGCGCTGTGGATGCCGGTATATTTAAAATTAATTTTTAATTTAACCTTTGTTACTCTCGCGACGTCCGCTTTGACAAGTCTTAACTTATGGTGGTACGTCGACTGGGAAGTCTGCGAGGAACTGCCATGCGCCTTCTCCACTGCTGCAGCAGCTCTACTCTTCTCCATGACAGTCTCCCTGCGAGTAACGTATAGGGCCAAATCTTCCGCTAGTTTTTCACCGGTTTTGCGCAGCTGTTCGCGTCGTACCTTTGGAAAAGTCATATACATTGCAACCCGCATAGGTTTATATATAAAGAAAAAATAAAACATTTGAAATTCTCTTTGCTGTTCTGGTATGTAAAACATAATATATAATTTAATTTAAAAGTTTTTAAAGTTTAAAAGAAAATCGGTTTTCTATATGAAAAAGAAAAGAATATAAACAAACAAAAAACAAGCACAAACTTTGCACAAACATCTTTTATTTTGTATATATAATTCCAAGTATATATGTTCTTTAGTCTATGTTTGTGCAATAAAGAGTTTTTATTATTATTATTATATAAACAAGATGCAGTGTCGGCCTATTTCCGGCTTTAGACACTTACATTGTTATACAATTTTTCGTAATTTACTGAGATTTATACACAATGAATAACCTGAAACGCTGTTCTATCACAAGAATTACTTTACATTTTTTTTATGTATACAACTATAATGCATCATATTTTAATATTATAATAAGGTAAGGGTTGCCTGGAAGAGATCTCTGCCTCCCATTACTAGTAATAGGATTTTTTATCTCTAAATAGTTGTGTTTTAAGATTGCATATTTTTGTGTGTTGCAAAAAAGAGTTAATAAGTAAAATACAGTTTAGGTTCGTTTAACTTACTTCCATTCTATGAATTTCAGCCCTCATCTGTCCAATCTCGCCAGCTGCGGACTTGGCGTTTTGTATATTTCTCTTCAAATCGACAGCTAAAATACCCTGAAAATTAATCATTGGTTACTTAAGTTAATTAACTAAATAAAATCATATGCCCATTATTACTTACCTTTCGTTGCCAAATAAGAGCCTCCCTCTGTACACGATCCAATTCTTGGGTCAAATTAATTTTATCCTTCTCCATCGCTTCTATGTCTTCTTCCAATTGAATTATTTCCGTTTCAGCGCCCTGTTACGAATTATTCATATAGCCTAATATATCAGTATGGGTACATTATTAATTAATATAATATTCATAAGAATGTACAAAGAAATATTTTAATAAATTTACTTACACAAAGTAATAGATAATTTGATTTTGTGAAAGAGAAATGATTTAATGAATATTCTATAATTGTTCCTTATGTTGGGACCGCCTGGGAAATATTATTTAACAAAAAGAGAATAATTAAAATCAAGTCATCAAAAAGTAACCGCAAGACACAAAAAGTCACGGTCCTATTAAAAGTCATTTTTAAGTCAGTTAAAATAAGGTAATTGTTTATTTAAAATACTGATTGATTGATTAGATAGATTAAAATGACTGGTGATTGGGTATTGTTCAGCTATTTTTCTTTTAAATATAATGCAATGCGAAATATTTGCTTGTAGCGCTTGCATCATAATTTATCCCAAAATTTAAGTATATTGAAAGTCACCGTAATCTACACACTGTAGTTCCTGCAATTTCCTTTCATAATTACCTTGAGGTTAGCAGCATACTCGTGGGTGATAGCGTTATTAGTCTTCAGAGCGTTCTGGTTGCGTTCTGTCGAGTCTTTGCGAGTCCTCTCCAGCACTTCGAGCCTCCCACGCAGCTCTCGCAAGGACCTCTCAACTTTAGCCCGTTCTTCATCGACGTGGCCACACTCAGCCTGGATACGCATCGTCTTCTGTTCACAGATCTGTATTTCTGTGGCACAAAAGATTAAGTTGATTAATAAACATGTGAACTGTTCGCATCGCTTGTTTGGTAGATGGAAGTGTATTGCAATTAAACGGCACAATTGGAATCTACCTAATGACTACAGTAAAAACCCTTAGATGTGAAACAGTCACAAAAGTGTGTCTACCCTGGACCCGGATCAGCGCAGGCGGCTTTTACACATAATAATAAAATTCACTGTAGCACTTACGCTTATTAATAAGATTAACATCTGAAATGATCTTGTGATGCTGTGCAGTTAATTTGACCACGTGTCCTTGCAACCTTAGCCATTCGTGTTGCATGCTCTCCGTCCGCTCGCGAAGCGTCTTTATTTGCTGCTCCAACTCTTCGATGCGACGCTCTTGGGGCGATTTAAGCTAAACATAGAAGCGTAAACATTAAGGGTTGTGATTTTAAACCGTCAAGTGATATCCGCAAGAAAGTTTTAAGAGATAAAAAAAAATAGGAGTAAGGTATAATGTTAGATAACGTTTTATATCTACAAATTTAAAAATACTCCTATGCATATGTCCTAGAAACCTAACAACTACTTAATCATAATACGTGATAAAACATACATCAAAAACTTCCTTCAAAGCATTATACTTCTTAACAATGATGTCCAGCTCTCTCTGCTTCCGTAGAATAATGAGCGCCTTCTGATCGTACTTCTCTTGGAGTGTCTCTATCTCCTTCTCTCGTTCTCTTACTTTCGCCAAGGTCTCATCTAGTACTATCTTGTTCTTCGCCTGTCTGTTCCTATGAACTTCGATATCTAGCATCATTTTCGCGTGCTGGTTCTCCATGGCCATCAAACCAATTTCCTAAAGACAATGTATGAGACAAACTATAGGACAATACACAAGTACCTGTTTAGGAGTCACAACACAAGAATTATATAAAATTTAACTAAGCTTTAATCTAAAGAATCTAGTCTATCTGAAATCATTGTTGTAGACTGACGAACAATACTTGTTTAAAGTAATCCTCTTAAGCATTTGTTGCTACTATTTTATCTATAGGTTTTATCTGCAATGTATATATCGCTTTTGATTCAGGACAATCTTTGTCTCCTGTCACACCTGTTTCCTGGACAGTTCTCTCATCTTCTTGATGCCATTGGCCATTGATTCAACGGCTTTATCATTTAGGAGGCATTCTTGTAGATTAGTGAGGATCTCGTTCTCCAATTTCAACTTCTGCTCGACACGGTGATCGTACTCCTTTTCAGTGCTCTTCAGTATGTTCCTCATTGTTTGGTTTTCCTGAAATTATGAACAATAATATTGTGTTACGAAGAAAAATGGTAGTAATTAAATCCCCGTTCGCCTACTTTGAGATATTGGTAGCTGTTTAGCTTATCGATTTTATTTTAAGTACATATTTGATTAGACTTTTGCTGTCCCATAAATTTATCTAAAATCACTTTCGGTTGATGCAATGCATTTAGGGGTTGCCCCCCTCCCTTGTTTTATAACATGTTTAAATAAAACACGTGGGGTTTAAAACGTTAAATGTATTAGTTTAACTTATTCACAAATAATTTTAACTACTGCCCGACGTTTCGGTTGCTTTGCAGCAGTCCTGGTCAGGGGAAGGTGGAGGAGGGTTTCTCTAACGTCAACCTTAAAAGGAAATACTAAAAACAACGTACTTGGCTTCGGAATACTTACAGACTTGATTAGATCCTGATCTCTCTCAGTCATTTCTATTGACTCTGTAAGTTGGGTTATTTGAGCCACTAAGTTCACTCTTTTGGACTCTTCAGTATCGTCTGTAAAATGTTTTATATAACTAATAATTACAGTTTCATGAAGTATAATTTTAATATTGATGCACATAGGAGATTGTATAAATAGTAAATGGAATTTATTGCAAAAACAATTTCAGTGTCACTTAAACGCTACCTACACCTATGATCGTGGGTTCGATTCCAGCTTGTGTTGTCTTTTCAATAATTTTTTAATACTTTTTCAACTGCAGCAAATCTATTACAGCAAATCTATTACATTTTCTAGTACGATAACAATACGAACAAAGTTTATTTGCGTTTGCGATGTCGTATTCCAGTTTGTCCCTGTTCATGGTAAGTTCCTTTCCCTTGTTCATTTCCTCCATCGTTACTTTTTTGGTAATCTCCAGGTTACTTAGCAGAGTCCGGTAATTCTCTTGAAGCGTTCTGCGCATGACAATGAAAAGATTTTTTAAAAGCCCAACATCCGCAACATTTAGCACAGCAACAAAAAAATAAACTGTTTTAAACAAATTTAAGCTCGAAATTTATTTAGTTTTATTTGTATAATCTTATAAAATTTACAGAAACAGCCGAGCAATGCATTGTATTTCTCAAATTCTAATACGATTTAGTGAAGAATGAGAGATAATCTTCTTAGTTGTTACTCATCTTGTCGTGACTATTGTCAATAAACGACTTCTTTCTTTCGATCAAAAATCAAAGTCAGAAATCATTTACGCACTTAGGTAACTGAGTACACTTATCAACATCAATCCAGGTAAAAACTAAAGACCCTAAATTTACATTTACTACCACAATCCTCAACCTCAAATCAAGGGCGTAGAACGAATGACAAGAATTGGCAAGAAACTCGCCGCCACTCTTTTTATCGCTTTCAGTTTTATTTTACAGCCTTCATTGATTTTTTTTGAAGCCTGAAATTAATATTACAATGGTAACTTACTTGTAATCGTCGCGAACAGAGTCGTAAACCTTATCCCTTTGCTGGATGTTGATGAGAACCGAGTTCCACAGGCTAACCAGACGCTTTTTATCCAGCTCCAAATCTTCAAGTTCTGCGGCGTATGCAGTAACCTTTAAGTAATTAAAATAAAATAAAATTTGAATCCCTCTGCGACCGCGGTTTGCAACAGACGTGAAGGGAAGCAAACGTCGGGTCGTAGTTAAAAAGTTAACTAACATATTTCGCATTGTAACCGTTAAATGTGTTTTATTTATTACAGAATGAATTTCTTCCCATTTGAAGAAGCATGTAATAAATCAAGCTCTACCTTATCGTTGACGTTCTCCATTTCATTGTTCTTGACTTCCAGCTGCTTTTGGAACATCTCGAGCTTCGATTCCAGTTTCCACACTTCGTTGCTGAGGCCGTAGATAATCATATCCTGTGGGGAAGAAGGCCGGAAATGAGTCGCAAATCAAATGGCCGTTGTATTTAAACAAATATTATTTTAATACACTGTAAGCTCTCTATAACGTCATAAAATGCACCCTTCAGTATCGTTGTATAGAGTTTATATTGAATTTATAAAATGTTGCGTGTAAGTTATACTTAAAGATTAGCGTACCCAAAATATTATCAATGGTCGTAAGTGTTGACAAATACTATTACAATTTTAATCAAAAAGGACCCTGTTAGGTTTAAAGTAAAACGTATACTGTAGAGAATAATGTAATTTATTTATTTATTTGTCTATTGTAAATTTTTATTAAAATTAAACATCTATTGTAATACGTCACATATTACAGTAGATGTTTTGATTATTTCTTTTCGAATCATTAAACAATATGTTAAAGCCATATTTGTTATTATATATACATATTTTATATATAAAATACTGTGCCTAATGTGGAACTAAAAAAACGATAATTTAGTACTTATAAGGCTATCAATTATTCTTCAAAAATCCAATATACCAATTGTCTTTTCTCGTCAGCGAGAGCTCGTTTCTCCGCTCGCATTTTGTCAGACATGCGCTGGCTGACTGTCAAATCCGATTCGGTTTCCTCTCGCCACGACTCCAGCTGTCTGCACAAGCTGGTCAGTGCCTCCAACTCCTCAGTCGCTTCACGTTCTGCAGAACATTTGCATTATTCCTTCATAAAACAAAATACTTTAACCCGTTTAAAACACGAAATGTCGCGTACATGTCGTGTTAATCTTATATATAAAATATTATAACCACGGCCCGACGTTTCGGATGCTTTACAGCAGACAAATGTCAAAGTAAAAAGTGTTTATCTAGATGTGTACTAGACCGTAACTACAAAAATTAAATTATTGGTTGAATTTAAGGAAACAGCTAACGAAAGTTGTAAACTGGAAGATGGTTTCTCACTAAATATTATCTGTAGTTTACGTGAATAGTACAAATTAATGAAATAAATTAAATTAAAGCTCCAAAACCGCGAAATATAATCGTTAATTCCCTTTTACTTGCAACCCGATCAAGTGAGCGTTTAAAGCGGTAAAAATAAAATATTTTTCTCTCATCACTAAGCTTCTACCAGTCAGTATATGTTGGTCCAGCTTCTCCTTTGCCCTTCGGTACTGGTCGTTCGCCTCGCGAGCGCGCTGCTCGGCTGCTTGCCGGTCTGCTGTGCTCTTAGCCAGCGTTCCTTCATATTCTTCTATCAGAACCTGCGTCAGAGCATGGATTATAGAACGAAGGTACTTACCTACTTTCACGTTGTTTTACGAGTTATATGTATATTATGTTAAAGATACTTTTATGAATCACCAATAACGATGAATTACTTTTATTCGCATGGGGTTTTTACTTAATGGAGGGTGAAATCCATATTACATCTAAACAAGATGCGATGTCGATCTATTCTGCCTTTGAATATTCCAAAATCCACAGACTGAAGCCGAAACTCGATTAACGTCACGGCTTTTTCATCTGTGGGCGGTGGTTCCTAACGCGGGTTAATATCCAGAATTCCAGACAAAGCCCAACATGTTTCAGAAAAATACAAATTGATTAGAAAAAATATGTTGGACCCGATAGGGATCAAATGCACGACACATTGATTATTAGCCATACGTTACCAAATACCAATACCACATCAAGCCCGTTACGTCATAGATTTAAAGTTGGACGAATTAAGAGTTATTAAAAAACTATATGAAAGAATATAACAAACTTACCCTTTGGGCATTGGTATCGTGATCACTTCTATAAATTGCTTCTAGATCTTTTTCGTAAGCGATTTTGCTAAGCCGCAATTCCTCACGCTAAAGTAGATAAAACAATAATTAATACCGTTTTACATAAGTTTATTTATATGCAAGTGGACCGTCTCCGTAGCTCAATGGTCAACTAAACATTACGTTAAACATAAATGAAGTTTGAATCCCAGGGAGCATAAATACTGTTTTGATATGGAAAGGTATAGAAGTTATTGACAGTCTCCAATAAACAGACGCATTCTGCACGCCCCATGCGCCCCATAAGGGGAAACTGAATTTTATTAAATTTTACTTTTGACATTGACTGGGCGGGGTATAGTGCAATCCGAATTGACTTTAATATTTTTCACCTGTTTACACACGATGGCACTTTAAGAAACATAACAGCACGAGTCATTACCAAATTTAATATTTCCTCTTCAGCGATTGTATTTTCCTTCTCCAAGAAGTGTTTAAGGGTTTGTTGGAACCGGTGCATCAGGGGATGGGTTGAGTCGAGCACAGCCGGCATTGCGCCAATATCGCGCTTGCTGCGCCATCTGTGCAGGCAATTATAAAATTAAATTTGACCGTATTTTTTTACTTTGACTGGCTAATATTTGGTTTTTATTGATTCTATAAACTGAGCAAATAAGTACCCACAACTAAAATATTATAGAAAAATTCAATTTTTAGTAGTTTGATGTTTCTTTTTTAAATTTATTTTTATAGAGCAGTTAATAATAAAGATTATAGAACAAACTGAATTTAGAAATTGACAATGACTACATTTCGCGGTTATAAAATACTTATATATATATTTTTTCAAATCATATCATAATCAATAGTTACATAATAAATTTATAATCATAATTAAGTTTTTTTACTATTATATTCAAGCGATTGAAATAGAAATGTGTAATTAAACGCCATCTACCTACTACCTTCAGTTATTAGTTAACCGACAGTTAAAATAACTTGCCGTCGGTTTATGTTTATCAGTTCTTTCGAGTTTAAGCGGTAACTATAGTCACCCACTATAACACAGTTCCACACATCACTTTAAAAGGGAAACACCCCTTTATCTTATCTAACAACGACGTTATAAATAATCGTCCTACTTTTATCCCAAAGCTGAGAATCTTGAAGTAAATTGAACATGTGCTAGACTAACGCTAAGTTATTTTCAAATTGTTAACTAGTCAAATAACGTACTCGTCAAAGACTTCCCTTCCGGCCATCTTGCAGCGACATTGATCGTGGGGACAGCGACAGCATGCGCAAACGCCGTCTTCCGGTGGCGGAGATACACAGCCGCAAGTGTCGATTTCCTGTAACATAATGTATTATCAAAGTAGTAGAAAAGTAATACTCAATTATATTATAAGATACTGCTACGGTTTTTGGCACGATTGTTTTAATCTTCGCTTATTTCTCAAAAGCACAAAAGATCTAGAGTATGAATCCTGGGAAATACTAATATTTAATAGAACAAATTTTTGTTGGGCATAGAACTTCGAACAAACCTGTAAAAATAGTATTTTTTAAATTAAGATTAAACCTAGTTAAGTATTGTCTGTAGTTTAGTCTTTCTAATTTAAATAACATACTTAACGGTTTAAAATGCGAAATATATTAGTTAGTTCGGCCGTAGTTAAAGTAAATTAAAAATAAGTCAATCAATGTTATAGTAGAGAGATCATGTAGTAATCATTAGATTATCGTTGAAAGTGTCTTATTTAGAGGTTTAGCTTGTTAGTTTGTTAGGGCACTTACCTTCGGGAAGATAAGGGTCTCATTCCGATAGTAAATGCAGTCCTCATCATGCTTGACCAGGTCATGCTCATCTCTTGGACAAATGCATTCCGGTAGAGCTGGTCTACTGTCTTTTGGGCTCTCCGTGCACGGACAACGGTGCTCCTCTTCAGCCATTGTAATTTTCGGCCAATGATTTGCTATTTTGTTGTTCTACAGCTATAAATGCAGTATAAAAGTTCGTTGCTATGCACTCGTTAGGTTGCTAGGGAAAATTTGACGTTAATTTTTTCTTATATTTATATAATGTTTCTTAAGAGTGAAAGCATTAAGTTGGTTGAAAGCTAATTAAATAATTATTGCACTTTGAACTAGATATTAGAGTGATTTTACGATAGTATATTTAAAAAATATAAACGAAAAAAATGATTTAGTAATATTAAAATAAATTTGAATGGAACACAGAAGTAGTATTTTTGTCTGTAATATTATCGACAATTCGTTTCCATAGCAACCTTATTCTAAACAAACAACGTGGTTCCGACAAAGTTTCGCATTTTATTTGCTTTAATAATAACTAATCATTTCGAAAGATGGTAAGTTAAATTTTAGTTAAACAATCAATTTTAAGATACCTTTATCTTTTTATTAGTCATAGTTCGCAGTAAACGGCACAAGCCGCGGCTTCAAGACCCCTTTCGCATAGTTTCTTCGACTTCTTGAAATAATAATTATTAAAATCATTATATCGTTATTTTGATTGTATAAAACTATGTTAAAAGATCTTTAGAAAACCGTATTATATCTAATCCATGTTCATTAAAGTCCTTTCTAATTAGATATTATCTCGAGCAAAACCAGCCACTGATGTAAGAGTTGGAGGAAGTAGCTCCGCAAAAAAGCAGTTCCCTGAACTCGAAGATTTCCTCCTAAAGCGAGATTATAGTGGGGCAATTACTATGCTGGAAGTAAGTAAAAAATAATAGCTTTTTAGAGTAAAGCGTTGTACTCTATTTATGATCAAGACGATGACTTTCTTTGCTCTTTACTAAATTCGATCTGCCTTGGGATTCGAACCCAGAATCTCAAGCCTTTAATGTGTATATATTATTCCAGTTCCTAACCCACGACGGGAACAAGTCAGTGTGGGTAAGTGCGTGGGTCGCGTGGTGCTGGTTCCACCTGGGTGAATATCGACAAGCACTGGACAAATATTTGGAACTACGCGGAAGAGAAAACCTGGATTCCAGACTGGCTGATAATATTTCCCTTGATATTGCCGTCTGCTACTTCTATTTAGGTAATTTGTAACCTGTAAAACTTTTTGCAACTCTTTTATATGTCGACAATTTCTTTTTCTCCGAAAGTTTTGAAAAACAACTGCTGTTTAATTATTCGGGGGAAACTTTTATAAATTTAGAAATTGCATGGTAAACAGGGCAGAATTGCGCGTTCTTGAAGCTTTTGAGTACCAAAAGCGTGGCATGGCCCCATAATACTTTTCAAACAAATAAAAAAAACAAATTTTGTCGGTCCTTTATAAGTCATTTATGATGAAACCATATAGATTTAAAAATAAAGTAAAAGTTGTTTACCGACCTATTGTGGCGGCCCCTCTTTTGTGGCAGTTGAAGAATGGTAGCCCCAGTCCCCTTAATTTAGCCCTTTTTGAAAACCGTTAAATCATTTAGAAGATAGATGTTTTCAATATAAAGCATTCAGCCACAGTTACCTACAAATATGGTATAGGTAACTACGGCTGAATGCTTTATTATTAATTTATAAAGCCCGTCACATAATTAATGTTACATATTAAAATACGAATTGGCTAAGACATTAATTAACGGAATGCTGCATTATTTTTGTATATCTTTACCCCACTTACAGGAATGTACAAAGAGTCGCAGGAAACAATTGAAAAAGCGCCAAAGTGTGCTCTTAAGGTAATAAATGTTCATGATTTTGATTGTTAAATAGTGGAAGTAATAATATTTAATTTATACATACAGGTTTGGGTTTTAATCATATACGTTTTACATAAAATATAAATATATATGTAGTTTAAATCAGTTTGAATGTGTTTTGGTTTTATAAATATGTAGTATTTTAAGCTAAGAGTGTTTGTAAAGCAAACTTTCTCCTCTAGAATCGTCTTCAATTCCACCTGGCGCATAAGTTGGGTGACGAAGAAGCTTTAATGCAAGCTCACGCCACTTTACGAGATGTACCCGAAGACCAGCTCAGCTTGGCGTCTGTCCATTACTTACGGGCGCACTACCAAGAGGCTATTGACGTATATAAGAAGTTATTATTGGATAGGCGGTAAGTCTTTCTTTTTAGATGTTTCAGATAATCCACAAGTGATTAAATATTTAACAACAAAATTTTAGTAACTACCCTTTATTCGTGAATTCTCAATTTTAAACTTAATCATAAAATTTATATTTTATAAAAATAATATGTGTTTTTTTTTGTATGCATTATCACATGCTTGTTTACTTATAATTTTTGTTACATTTGTTTACATAAAAATTGTTATGTGAATAATGTTATGGATGTTGGTTAACTTAAAGAAATAAAGAAAAGATTTTGAGAGTAACGAATACTCGTATAGCTTACAGTATATTAGTATCAAAATTTATGTTATTTCAGTTATAAAAGATATGAATGCGACGATATGGACTGGATCAAGGTCCTTGCGAATTCCCCTTGGTAAACTCATGTTATTTTTATGGTATTTCTTCGTTCTTACGTAAACTTGATAGTGTGGCACTGGCAAAAGCCGAATCCGTGATCAAAGATTTCCATGCTGTTATCCAGCTAACTAAGTAACCGTATTCAATGTAAAAAATCATATTTTGAGTAAAGCTGTCGCTTGATTGAGAATGATTGATGTATTGTAGGTTAGTCTCTTAGGTAGGTTACTAAAACCTGTATGTAAGTAGGAATTGACTTGTAGATAAGGTATTTATTTAATTCATAGAAATATCGTTGAATAAAACACTTTAACGGTTTAAACCCGCGAAATATATTACTTAAACTTATTTAAAAAGATATTTGCCGCAGCCGTGGTCACACGGAGACGGCTGCTACAAAGCAAACGTCGAGCCGTAGTAAAAATATTTTTTACGAAGTTTTAAACCGTTTGAAAGTTTTATTTAAATGTGCACTAGTCGCGTGAACGACATACAGTGTAGAATTAGAGATTATGTAGTACGAGACAGGTTCTAGTTATAACGTGTACAATAATATACTAAAAATAAAAACCCTTTTTAAAGATAATGAGTCTTGTTAACGAAAATTATATAGAAAATTACTTCCTTAACATAATTATTATAACTACAATATGCAGATTTATTTTTGCTTCATGCTTATGTAGTATGAAATATATTGAAAAGGCAGTCGTTGATAGGTTTAGCGGTATTTGTATAAACTTTACTCAGATATAGAGTGTTGCAGTACGTATATGGCGCTGAATGTGTACGTGGCCTTGTGCTACTACAAGTTGGATTACTACGACGTGTCGCAAGAGGTCCTCGGAGTGTATCTGACGCAGCATCCGACGTCCACTATAGCGTCCAATCTCAAGGCCTGCAATTTGTTCAGGTGTCCCATCATTTCTACCAGTTTACATTTGTTATAGAGATTTTCAACATTGTTGGATTCAATAAAAATCCATAGTTTTACCGCACAATTGTCACTTGAGTCGATGTACTTATATGAAAAGGGTTCTTATATATTTTTAGTTCAACAATCATCTATTTGAGATTTTTAAAAATCGGGCAGGACCTGAACCGGCATACCCAGCGATCCGTGCTGTTGCTCTAACCAGAGCCGTGTCCGTGTCATTTATAGATAGAGACATTCGAATTTTATGTTGTTTTATGTCAAAACATAGAAAAAACAGAACTTAAAACTTGAAAAATATAAATTTAATTTTAATAACTTTATGGCGACGTTTTAAACCGTTAGATTTGAATTAAATTTGCAGGTGCCTTACCTATCAGGCGCTTAAAATTTACGTCCGCATCTTCACACATAAGTTTCCAGATCTTCAACGCTTCTTTTGCGTTCTCTGTATGTTTATGTACCATTAGAGGAAGGACTTCGGTTAATTTGCTTGAAAAGGGTTATTATCATGTTAATCAATATTTAAATGATAAAAATGCTTGGGGTGTGGAGGAACCCGCTCTTACAAGGAAAAATATGTTGTGTACTAAAAGTAAATCAAGAATGTAAAATGAAACTTGGCGATAAAAGGAGTGACGGCGAGTTTATTGCCAGTTCTTCTCGTTCGTTCTACGCCCTTGATTTGAGAACTGGTAGTAAATGTAAAGTTAGATTCTATAATTATTTTGTGACGTTCATAAGTGTACATAGTTACCTACATGAATAAATGATTTTTGACTTTGACTTTGACTAATCAAATGCACTATTAAGCATTTTTCAATTACAATACGAAATTAATTTACAGACTGTACAACGGGAAGTCCGCAGAATCTGAATTAAAACAAATATCGACTGAGCAACACACTTTTGGACAAGACCTCGTCAAGCACAATCTGGTCGTGTTTAGGAATGGCGAAGGGGCTTTAAAGGTAGGTGTAATACCTATATTTATACTCTTTACTAATACTCACAATAATCTTAATTTATGATACACAAATTTAACACATTCTTTTAAGTACTGTCTATATTTTACGCGAGTAGTAAACATTTAAATAAAACACTTTAGCGGTTTAAAACGCGATATATTAGTTAACATATCGCGTTTTAAATCGTTAAAGTGTTTTATTAAGTAATACATCGCGTTTAAAACCGTTAAAGTGTTTTATTTAAATGTGTACTACTCGCGTAAAATATAGACAGTGTTTTAACTAATATATCGCGTTTTAAACCGTTAAAGTGTTTTATTTAAACATTCTTTTGAGGTCAGTAAAAAAACGTTTAAAACTTTAACCAAATCCATATCACTTTAAGAACGATGTATTTCTGAAAATATACAAGACTTAAACTAAATAAATTACACAATACAATATGTTTTATGAAAGAGGAGTATACAAGTATGGGATTCGCTTGATGGTAGGTCAAATACCTCGGCCATACAACATCTAAACAAGATGCGCTGACCAATTTCGGCTTTGGATATTCGGAAATCCACAGACTAAAACCGAAATGCTATTAATCTTGACGGCTTATTCATCTGTGGACGGCTGTTCGTGACCCGGACAGGACTTCGATATTTCTAACACCAATTTTATTTGGTCTACAATCAATCTTTATTCAGGTGCTTCCAGAGCTTGTTGACGTAGTACCAGAAGCGAGGTTGAACTTAGCTGGCTACAGACTGCGCCATCGGGAACCACTAGAAGCTCGCGAGCTGCTGGAACCACTACAGCCAACATCTCCGCTGCATTACATTCTTCGTGGGGTCATCGCGGTTAGACTTTATAACGAAACTGGAGATGTAAGTGGATTTCATAATCAAGTACATAGTTAAGCTACATAAAGCATGTATAAAGCTTACGACAACGTAATAACTAAAAATGCGACCAACCACAATATTTTCAGTTCAATTATTTTCGTGAAATTTGAATTTCAGGTAAAAGAAAAGGTACCACTTTCGAATCTTAAAAAGGAATTATTTTTATTATAAAATTTCTTTTATTCTTAATTGTACCTATCGTGTATTTTTTCTAACTTGGCATTTTTGGTAAACAAAGATATAGCTAACAAGAAGTCGTGATTTTCTCACAAGGGTTACATTTACACTAAAAACACTGAGTAAACTGATTGATGAACTTCAAACACTTAGTAAAAACCAGTACCGGAATGAATATACATCCTCTATAAGTGAATTTACGTAAACGCACAGATTAAAAATTCTTTAGTTTGACATTTATAATGGCAATGCAAAGACAACAATTATAGAAGGTAGAAGTTATGCACGATCGCTCAAAAGCGTTACAAGCGTCGCGTTAATATATTGATATTGATGACATAAAAATTTAAAATAAAAGGCCCTCTTCCGGTTTCTATGATTTGAAATCGGCCATATTTCGGCTATCCATTTACTACGTTCATTCCATCCATGTTTCTTACACATTGCATTCATTCTCTATTCTAGTACCTTTTACATTCTTGTTACTTTAAATTTTTTGTTCGTATGTAATATGCACCGTTTAAAAAAAAAAACAATAAAATTGCAGGAAGAACAAATGAAGCTAGCTCAGCAGAGCTTCCATCTGGTGGGCAGTTCTGCATCCGAATGTGACACGATCCCTGGTCGGCAGTGCATGGCGTCCTCCTACTTCTTGGCGGGACAATTTGAAGAGGTCCTCGTCTACCTTAACTCCATCAAGAGCTTCTTCGTCAGTGACGATACTTTCAACTTTAATTATGCGCAGGTGTGTTAGTTTAATAGAACACACAAAAACGATATTAATCTCAAGCTATGTTTTATGTGTGTGTGTTTTTAAAATATATCATCTGGTAAACTCAAAAAAATAGTTAGCAAGTGGAGGCTTACTATATACTAGTCTAATCTGAAAACGAAAAATTAATTTGAAATAGGCATTGACATAACATATGCATGTGTTTATACTTTTAACATCGCTGACTTATCCTTGGTACTAACGTTCTTATTTTTTTTATTTAATAAGGCTTACCAACTAGGTACTTTCTTCTTAGCGAAATCACGTTTTTCCCTCGTGGGGCATGGGGCTAACACATTTCTGTGTCCGTTTCACTGATCGGTTTTATTTACAGGCAAGTAGTTGATTAGATTTCTGTGTTCTGCCCGATGGTTTTGCCCGATTGAAACCATTTACTGTTTCCCCGGGATTTGAACTCAGGACCTCTCGCGCTTAGCTAACCATTTAGTTACAGAGGCGGTCATCTAACATGTTTTAAACAACTTAAGCTATTAGAATAATTATTATGTACAGTGCTGTCCAAACTTTTTGCCAGTGCTGAAGTTAGCGCAGGTGGTTGCGCCGAACGCAAAAAGCAGGTGTCAGTTGCGACAAAGGGGGTGCGCAGGAGCGGGGGGACTCGACTTTTAACTTAAATTTGACAGTACACATGCACAAGATGGCGCTTGCGCCAGGTTCAGCCCGGCCAAAAAGTTTGGAGAGCACTGTACATAATAATTATTCTAATAGCTTAAGTTACCTAAATTATAAGTATACACAGCGTTGACTAGAGATATGTATGTAGAGAGATAAAGACACTGAAAGCAAAACACGTGAACACTTTTTAATTACTTGGTTGTATTTTAGGCGAAGGTAGGCACTGGTTTCTATCGCGAAGCAGAGGAGTGTCTACTACAAATCCAAGATGAGAACATCTGTAGCTCTTTCACGTATCTGGCGTGCCTCTGTCGCTGCCATGTGATGAATAAGGAGGCGTATCTTGCCTGGGAAATATGTGTTAAGGTGTGAAGCCTATCTTTTATTTATTAAAATAAATAACTTACTAGAAGATTATTCAAAATTAAGAAATCCAGATTTGACTTTTTTATTACTATTTTAAATTATAATGTAACACGTTTATAGTCTGCTGGAACCCCAGACAGTTTTGCCCTTCTTCAGCTGGTGGCAAACGACAGCTACAGGATGGGACAGTTCCTGGTTGCTGCTAAAGCGTTCCATATGTTAGACCGGTAAGTACTTCGTATTGTAGAGAATTGAACCGGCATCCGCAGCGTTCCGTTCTGTCGCTCCAACCAATTCAGTTACTGTTTTGCAATACAAAGCGACGCAGTAACTGAATTGAAGAATCAACGTTATACTTTTTCAATCTAAAATCGATTTTCAATTTATATACTCCCATCTTTTGCAAGAGCATATGAAAAACATATTTGACGGACTCGTGTTTGATCCCCACCAAGTTCAACATTTTTTCAATTAAACAAAAGAAAATTTTCTGAAACATGTTGGATGTCTGTAAGTGTGGGTATTAATTTGGTGATAGGAATATCCAAATGCCGCCTGGATCACGAACCACCGTCCACAGATGAAAAAGCCGTGAGGTAGATTTCCGAATATAAAAAAAAATAGATCGAAATCGCTTGAAAACTTTAGACTGGGGTGCTTGTCTATCCTCCCCTCTCATAAAAAAAATATATAAATATATGTTTAAGTTTCCAATTCATATTGTTTTTCTTTTATCAATTTATATAAAATAGTCCTCCAAAAATCCATATGCCCTATTATTAAAAAAAACATTTTATCAGACTAGACGGTGGTCCCGAAATGTGGGAGGGCTTACGCGGTGCTGTCTGCGGATGCGCCCAGGCCGCTGCTGCAAACAGGCCCAATTCAGCGACTGATCTGCGGGAAGCTCTCGCCCTGATAAGGGGACCGAGGGCCCATCCCAGAGCGGAGCACATCGCCAGACCGATAGCTAAATGGGCGCAGCAGAATCGGATACCAATATAAGCTTTAGTTGAATTCACGGGGGGGACAGTTAAAAGTGGTTTATTTAATGTACAGTATTTTGTATGCTTACTTATCCATATTTTGGCAATGTCTATAATAAGCTTTAAATGTAATGATTAAATAATTTTGCCTTTAAATAACATCATCTTTACATCAACACGTAATATTCTGTTAATGTCGTTACGTTAACTCGCGCCAGTGACTTATTTAGACCGTTTGCGGTAAAACGGAAACAACGTCCTTACATATATCATGTTGGAGAAAAATTCTAGTCGCACGAGTTTTTCTTAAATCAACGGATTCCGACTCGTTCCGATTGATGCATATTTATGCTTGTTGCTTAACAGTTACTGTGCTACTCTGTAAGCTATGCTATAACGGTTCAAGCTAAAATACCAATATTTATTACTTTAGCATCTAAGCTAATCTAATCTATATATGCCTGAAATAACTAAATAAAAAAGATAAAAATCCTTAGTTGAATTATATCATATGGTATACATAACGTTTGTAAACGTCCAAATATTGTTAAGACCCGAGCTGATTAAGACAACAAAAACCTACCACAGCTAACAGACCAAGACGCAATAAAAGTTTTTTTTCGTTTATATCGTATAGCTTTTAGTGTATATACATCTTAAGTGAGTGTAAATATTTTAGATTAGATAGAATTAGCTGGTTTATACCAAATGTGAATTAGGTTACATTGGCGAGTGATTTACTAGATCGCTCGAACTTGCTACACATAAATAGTTTTACTCATATGGTGATAGTACGAAAATAAATGCCTTACAGCAAAGGTTTTTTAATGAAGTAATCCTATATGCATGTCATTAGCGTTCCTTTTGAAACACTAATGAATCACTATATATCGCTTTTATTGGTTGATTCAATCAATTTATTTTTTATTTTTTTCAAGTATTTGTATTGTTTTCATGACGTGTTAGTGCACTTTTCAGTTAAAACCGAATATTATCACGAAATTAAAGAAAAATCTAGCTGGCTGCTATAAATTTACAAAGAAGGTAGACAGTTGTTTACACTATCCTTTACCGGTGAGAGAGGGTAGTTATAATAAAAAATAACGTGTAAAATAGGTCGCAAATAATTTGCATTTTTATTATCAACTATACATTAATATTTACATGTAAGTGATGGATCGCGTCAAGATCAAGTCCGTGGCAACAGTCAAGTAAAACAAATCTACAAATAGGATTCCATGTGGCTGCGGCACACGTGAGGTCATCGACCCGGCTCTATCGCTGACTGGAGAAACCGTCATAAAACGAAGTTAAATAAATATATAAATACATAACACGCGCCTATTCTGCTGACAGAAAACAACACTGTGACATAATACTGAGACAATCCTGCAAGATGCCTTTCTCATCTGATCCTTTAAAACTCCACGGAAAAAGGCCTCGAGAGACCCCTACGCGAGAAATCTGTGGCCAGCATTTTTAACCAGATCCAGGGTACTTTCAGCCGTTCCTCCAATCAGCGATACAGCGAGTGCAGTGGATGTGACTAGCGCCAAGGGTGGCCGAAGGGGGCTGCTGCTATTACGGGGGCCGCAACGGCGACCGGCGCGTGGGCCACTGCTACCGCCTGGAACAATACATGAGAATTGGCATGAAGTTGTTGAAGTTCTATGTCATCCAAGATGTGAAGAGTATTTTAGTAATTGAGTAAGTACTAAATTGTCTAATACTGTCAGCGAATGCTATATGATGCCGCTTGAGGCAGTAGCCTAACTGCAATTTTATGTCTTGACTTATTTTTATTTTCATAGCCTAAAAATGTTAATCTACAAGAGCACAGTGACGAAAAATGTTTAACACTTTTACACAAATAATAGTACAAATTCATTTTCGACGAAGTTAATTGCGACGAATTTTCTTACTTTTTGAAAATCATGTTTTCTGTTAGGCCAGTCTGCCTCTAGCAACCTCATATAGTCTTAATGTTATGAAAAAGTCAAATTTTTTTTGAGAATATTTGATAAACTTTTGGATGTCTTGGGTAATATCTCAATAACTGTTTCTTACGGGGTGTGCATTGCCAGTCCTCTCGACAACAGCGTTGAAGCCGTTGACGTGGTCAGCCGTGTAGGTGACCTTCCTGAGGTGACCGTCAGGTTCGACCAGACTATAAGATCCGTGTACAACGCCATTCTGTAGGGTCTCTTGGGCATCTTTGTGGTCCCCAGTTGAGGGGTCATTTACTCCGTACGAGTATGTGTAAGCGGGGTTCGGGTCGACAGGCTCTGCACGTACAACCTGGAGGAAAATATTGACTACTATACTATCTATCTACAGTGCCATCAACATATGCCATACATTGATTTACATGCCTAAGAAGTGGATTAACGCAAGACGAGTTGCAGAGAATATATAACCCCAACATAATGACGTTAAGTTTGAGATGAATTATCAATGATAAAACAATTGAATAATAGTTGCTTTCCTTAAAAAAAAATATTTATTAGTTTCTTAAGATTTAAGACAAATGTAATAGTTACGGGAGCAGCAGCAATAGTGTGTGTGATGGCTGGTGCAGCAATGGCGTGTGTGAACGCCGGCGCTGCAATGGCGGGAGCCGCGTAGCCGATGCCATCGAGGTAACCGGGCGCTGCTGATGCCGCCGCACACACACAGCAAACGATGAACAACTAAAACCAAATCACACATGAGCCCAGAACAAGAGAACCTTAAAATGTAAGAACTTAATAACCATATCCATAATGATCAATTAGAAGGGACAGTTGATATTGTTTACTAGAGGAACGAAGAGAAAGCTCTAGCACTTTATAAAGAAGAGCTACACCATATTTGAGATTATAATAAGGTTAAAGCAAGTTTAAAGGTAAAGTATTATTATTTACAAAGATTTTTACACGATCATATCACAAATATATTAATTATAACTTTTTTCAGTTCCTAATCTTAAAAAAAAACAAAGATTTCATAAAAGAGAATAAGAGATATAGATTACCTTTGCGTACATGACTATAGCGTGCAGTCGTTGGTGGTACCAGAGCACATGTGGCATAATGCCCACACGCACTGCTTATAAAGCTACGGTGCGGACACCTGATACAATTTCGAAACCAAGGATACCTGTCCCAGACGTGGACCTCGTATGAAAGTATAATGTATGGATTTAGGGGTATATTTAGTAACTGCAATATAGTTTTTGCCGGGCCGGTCTTTAGATAATATGCTAACTTATAGCTAATATTTGCTCCAATTGCTTTCAACGCATACATGGGCAGAAGATTAGCATTCGAAAAAGGTGTTCAATTAGAATATTTGTAGGCAGCAGCAAGTGTACTACTTAGTCAAGATAGAGAAACTAAAAATGACTATGTTAAATTAAAAAAATGACGATGATGTGTAGGGATGGGTAGAGATTAATTTTGTAGAGCACGGCACGCTGACGATGCTGGTTCAAGTCCTGCCCGAGTCGTATTTTTTTTTCAATTTATTTTTAATTTATATTAATACTTTTTGATAAGAGTGAAGATGATATGTAAATAAGATGGACCTGGAATTTAAATGTCCGAAACCGTTGCCCTACGATATGACCACATGACAGCTTATTTGGACGCCCATTGTATTTTTTTTTGCTAAATAAACAATAATGCTTATAGGCTGCGCATGTAAGTTTAAAAATATATATATACCTCATATAAAATTAAATTGAAAACAAATAGAATTGTGCAGTATTACAACCGCCCTTGACACAGCAGTCAAACCTAAATAGCTTTAACTTGGAATATGTATCGCTATGCAACTTAAGATATATATCATAATCAGTTAATATGTTACTAGAATTTATTCGCGTGTATTGAAATACTAAAACTAATTACGAATAATTTCCGTTCTTATAATGACTTAATAACTTGGTTTGCTTATGGTTTGGCATGATTTTAACGACGGCCTGACGTTTCGGATGCTTTGCAGCAGCCTTGGTCACGGGGAGTAAATGTCGTTTTGTCTTTTTTTATCGTAAATGGGACTTTCTGGCTATTGATGCTATTACCGGGGCAGTCTCAAAATGTGAAAATAAGCGCTGAATCTCACTAACCCTTAAAAGACCGTACACACTAGCGTCAACGTCTTGTCAGTACAATCGGGCAGAATTCGAAAGCATTATTCTTTAATGAGCATTAAAAAATAATCATGGCTGAAGACTAATAGGGAAAATATTTTTCCCTATATTTACTATATTACGAAAAAATTGGTAGTTTGTAATGTGTGGGGAATTAAAATTATAAATAGCTTTAGATTAAAAAAAACGATTACAAAGAGCATTGAATTCTAAATCGGAAATAAATATTTTACATGTCCAACTAAATTTATTCTATATACTGTCTTTTGACTATTATTGTGTAAAGGTAATAAATGCTCGTAGAGTTGCTTACTTTTTGTTTGTTTTTTTTTATTGTGTATAACTTGAGGTATTTCGAGTAAGTGGTTAAACATACCACGTTTTAAATCAGACTGGTGATAAATTTATCACTTATGGCTTGGCCTGATCTAGTAAATTGGATAATGGATATTAATTGAGTTAAGCAGTTGCAAAAATACCAGTTGCCATATCGGTAGGCGGGCAACACATACGTTTTACTATTACTATGTGTGACCGCAACTTTGTATGCACCAAACGTTTATACTTATTGGCAAGTATTAAAAAGTTTACGCTTGTAGTACACATTTAAGTAAAACACTTCTATCAGCTAAAAACGCGAAATATATTAGTTCACTATTTTACAATTTTACTCCATATTCCCGGTGTTTCGGACGCTTTGCAGTGGTCACGGGGGAATGAATGTGGGGGATGTCTCTAGTGTCAGAGTAAAAAATCGGACCGTAGTTAAAGGAAATTGTTAAGTTAACTAAAGTCCGAAGTCTATAGTTTACGCGAGTAGTACACATTTAAATAAAACACTTTAACAAAACGCGGTATATATCTCCCCGTGACCACGGCTGCTGCAAAGCATCCGAAACGTCGGGCCGAAGTTAAAAATCATTTTCAAATAAGTTTAACTAAAATATCGCGTTTTAAACCGTTAAAGTGTTTTATTTAAATAACTAATAAATGTTGCGTCTAACACCGTTAAAAGAAAAGGTTTTATGATAGAGATAAGATTTTGTGCAAAGAAGCATAGTTTAACATCGCACTAACATACAGTAAAGTTAAAAATCGAAAATAAATTGAAAAAAGATTAGCCTCGGGCAAGACTTGAACCGGCAACGTCAGCGTTCCGTGCTGTTCTCAACCAATTGACCTCACGAATCTTAAAACGCCAGTGTTAAGGTCGAAATTACATGCTTTATTGCGCGAGAGGTGCTTGTATCAATAACGTTAAAAAAAATCGACGATGAGGTAATATATCGGTGATAGGACTCGGTAGCTCAAATGGAAGTCCCGCCCGAGTCGAAAACTTTTTCAATTTATTTTCGATTCTTAATCTATATAGGGCTATCATGTGTACATGTTTCATATAGTAAGTAGAGTTATCATTTATTTCTCTGTAATATTAGCTGGCATTACATCAGCCGCGGTCGACCTGCTTAAGAATGAAGTGATTTAATAAACTTGGATTGACAAACTTTTACATTTCAAAGTTATACATACATTTATTAGGAATACTAAAATCTATTTTACGTTAAATTGATTCGCTGTGCGTTTACCTACTGATAAAAAGTAGTCTACTTATATTCAGATTTATAAACTAGCATATTTAGTCTAATAGTTAGTGTGTCTCAACTGAAGATCTGGAGGTTCAAGGTTCGATTTCTGGATCCCGAAATATTAGTTCTGTATCTAGATTTTTTCTCAGATTTCTATTACCAGCTCGAATTTTGGTAACACGAGGGGTCTCTGTGAACAACGACAAGCCATCCGTCCTCGGTTATTACCACTAATTCTTCTTAAATAAATGAGTCAAACACTTTTAAAGGTTTAACTTACTACTGCAAACTGCAAAGCATCTAGAACGTCCAGCCGTAGTCAGAATAAATTAAAGATACGTTACCTAAATACTGTCTATAGTTTACGCGAGTAGCACACATTTAAATAAAACACTTTAACGGTTTAAAACGCGATATATTAGTTAAAAATCAATTTCAAATAAGTTTAACTAATATAACGCGTTTTAAACCGTTAGTGTTTTATTCAAATAAGTTACCTAGTATATTTCGCGTTTCAATTATTTAGTAACTCTGAGTTACTGAACTAAAAAGTTAAGCGAGTTCATTTAGCAATTATTTCGTATGTTCTTGTCCAAGTTATTTTTTTATGACTGATGAAGTCGAACAAGCTATGGTTCGGTTTCTGCCGGTGAAATATTACGGCCACCTACATATTAACATATTTCGGCTTTGGAAGTCCAGACTAAAACCAGAACAGTACTGAACTTGGCAGCTTACATTTCCGTAACGTGCGAAAAAAAGATACAGAACAAATTAAATAGACAAAGTCGTCTAGACGACCTTAGCGATAAAGTTTGTCTATCGGTTTTTGTAGTTAGGTATTATTGGATATGTAGCAAAGGCATTTCTTGTCCAATTTGGCAGCCAAGGCGGTGGACGGTGGTACAGATTCGATAGCAATGTAGGTCACATCGCGTCTAGGCTGTTTAGGTACGCCGTTCGCCATGTTGGATCTAGATTGAAATTCATATTGGCCGCGCCCGGACCTAATGTTACACATGTCGTTCATAGAGAATATTATTTAGAGCAGTTATTAATCAAAAACAATGTTGTAATTTAAATAAAACACTTTAACGGTTTAAAATGCGATATATTAGCTAAACTTATTTGAAAATGATTTTTAACCTCGGCCGACGTTTCGGATGCTTTGCAGCAGTCGTGGGGGGAGAGTCTCTCACGGGGAGAGACTTCCCCTAACTAATATATCGCGTTTTAAACCGTTAGTGTTTTATTTAAATGTGTATTACTCGCGTAAACTATAGACAATATTTAATGTTGTAATTTACATTTATTGAAATTTTATACGCTTAAACGATGAAAAGTAAAAGGTCTGTTTATATTTATTTTCAAATGTTGTATATTCTCAGTAAATTATACTCGGAACCTATTAAATTATATTTTTCGGAAATCAACCTCTGTTCATGTTAAGTTAACACGTGAAGCCGCAATGAAGGATGATACAATTGGAAATTTTTTTTTATTTGTTTAACCTATTTACACACAATTGCGTTTATTAAGATTACAAACGGTCACAATATCAAAACTATTTTAAATATTATGATTAATGACGTTTTTATTGTTACATTCCACCAATCGTAATGGAACTCTGTTGTTAATAATATTTACAACGAACAATAATTAATGATATTTTGCATCACTGCTTAAATGAAAAACAAAATATTAGGTAATTTAAACAAAATCCTAACCATACAGAATCCCACCTGTTCTTAAAAACTTAAACATCTTCCTACTTCCTATTCATTTACTCGTAAAACATTAATAGTATGTCTCTCTTTCCACCCATTTAGAAAGGTTGCGTCTTATTAAGAACCTCCTCAATTCGTCACCCAGTATCATCAACACAAAGAACGGCATCGCCAGAAAGAAGTCGTGCCACGAAATCGGTTCGGTTCCGAATACTTCGTGGCACAGTGGTAGATAAGTGACGACTAGGGCCGCGATCAAATCCACTACGATACTAGCATTGAGGACGTGGTTCCTCATCCCCTTTTCCAACAATGAAATCCGTCGGGTCTTGCAAATGATCACATCGGAGATCTGCGTCCAGCAAATTGCAACAAAGTAGGCAGTTTGCGCTCGTCTCTCCACCCGCTTTCTATCAACGAACAACCAGGTCCGTCCCAAAGTGTCCAGTACCGTAGCGCTAGGTGATTCCCAATCCTGGCGTACAAACAGAATACTGGACGGAAAGAACCCGCTCTGCGCAAACACTACGAAATAAGCATACATACCGGCGAAGAACTGAATCATACCAACTTGAAAGTACGCCATGAAGATGAGTACTCTGTTAACCAAATGGTCCGTTGGTTTCCTCGGTGGAAGTGACATTATGTCATGCTCCGAGGTCTCATACGCTAAGCTCATAGCTGGTAGAAGATCAGTTCCAACGTTGATTACTAGAATTAATATTAGCGTCATCGGTAGAGGCATACCGGCGCAAGCGTATAGAACGAAGGGCAACATTTCCGGTGTGTTAGAGGTTAACGTATACGCAATAGTTTTCTTTAAATTATCGAAAATACGCCTGCCCTCCTGAATCCCTAGTACAATAGATGCAAAGTTATCATCTAATAATATCATATCCGCTGCTTGTTTAGACACCTCTGTGCCAGTTATGCCCATGGCTATTCCAATATCGGCCTTCTTTAACGCCGGCGAATCATTAACTCCGTCTCCGGTAACCGCTACCACATGATCTAGCGACTGATAAGTTTCAACAATGAACAGCTTCTGCTGTGGGCTCGTTCTGGCGAAGGTTATCTCTTGGTATTTCTTCTGGGCGTGTTTCAAGTCGTTGACACTCATCTTTCGCAATTCGTCGCCCGTGATCACGGCAGCTTTGAACTGGTTCTTTATAAGCGGCGGCACGTCCGATAATTCTATGTGATGTTCGAAGGCATAGTCATACGCGGTCGGTTGGGTGATAGTTCCGCACTTTCTAGAAATAGCCAATGCGGTGACGGGGTGGTCTCCCGTGACCATTATAACGCGTATGCCAGCTTGACGACATAATTCTATTGATTTATCTATATCGCGCCGCGGCGGATCTATCATGGAGATCGCACCGACAAACCTTAGATTTTCCACTGGAAAATTCCTCTGCTGCGTATCAAACTTGTAACCCAGCGGATAGCTATCTAATGGCAAATTATAATCGCAATAGCCTATAACTCGTTCACCCATATTTGCCAGCTTAATAAAGCTTGCTTTCAGTTCTTTCTTCACTTGAGGCGTAAGGGCTTGATCTCCCTCATCGGTTATAACTTTTGTGCAATATTCCAAAACAATTTCGGGGGCCCCTTTCATTATCAGGTAGTAGCTGTGAGAGGCCTGCATCCTATGTATCGTGACCTGGTACTTGTAAGCGGAACTAAACGGTATTTCAGCTTCCTTGGGATTATTCTCTCTCGTTTGTGTCGCTGAGCGGTTTAATTCCATATAACGCAAGATGGCCGACTCAGATGCGTCGCCTAGTATTTTTCTCTTCTCGATTGGTAAGTTCATTGTATCGAAAGCAAACGTTGCTTTGAGATTCAGTGATGCGGCTAAGCTCAGAGTGGCATAAGAATGGTTCGACACATGCTCATGGTCATTCTTATCAAATATTGTAAAATTGCAGAACAGATGCGATACATTCATCTGGTTCTCTGTTAATGTTCCAGTTTTATCTGAGCAGATGCATGACGTAGATCCTAAGGTCTCCACTGCTTGCAGCGTTTTGGCTAAGCAGTTCTTCTTCTTCAAATTATTAGCGGATAACGTCATGCAAACCGTCAAGGTCACAATGAGACCTTCGGGTACATTCGCTAAAATAATACCGAGCATATATTGAAGCGCACTTAACCAGCTTTTCTGTATCACGTAGACCATAATAAAGAATAGAAGACCGAAAGTAAAAGCTACGCCGCAAATGAGCTTGATGAAATGCGTTATTTCCTTGGCGATAGGCGTCTCTTCTTTTTCCAAGCCGGTGACTAAGCCAGCGATCTTTCCGATTTGGGTCATTTCTCCTGTAGCAACCACGACGCCTTTGGCCGAACCTTCTGTGATAGGACAGCCGAAGTAGACCATATTTTTCGATTCTAATGGATTCGAATTGGTGCATTCCGGTCTATGTTTGATCGGCTCCGATTCTCCTGTCAGTGATGACATGTCAGTTTTAAAATTAGTGCAGGTGAGTATTCTTACATCAGCGGGTACGACTTCTCCACCTGTCATTTCCACTATATCGCCGAGCACCACTTCGGAATTGGGTATAATCTTCTTAGTGCTCTCGCGGATGACTGTGGCATTCGGTGGCACCAGATTCTCAAAGCCACTCATCACGGCCATGTTCTTAGCTTCTTGATAAAAGCCGAAAAGCCCCGTCCCCACAATAGTAGCAGTTATCACACAGCCCAAGTACAAATACTCCTTTCCACTATGCCCGTCTCCGGATTCTAGACTATCGGAAAAGAAGTAACCCACAAAGTTCAATATTGCCCCACACCAGAGAACGCATTGGAACCAGCCGAAGAGATTGTGGCGGAATATTTTCCAGTAGCTGTTGCCCTTAAGTTCTTTCAGCTGATTTGGGCCGTAGGTTTCAAGCATTTCCCTCGCGAAGGTATCCGTATGACCGGTGATGACGTTGGTCCTATAGACGACTTCAAGCTGAGTTGGTGTAAGGAAATGGTCTCCTGTGTGAGTTTCCTCTTTCAGCAACGTTAGCTCGGAAACGTCAGGGCCAGCATGTTGAAGACTCGGTCGCCTTCCAGCCACTAAAGATGTGCTAGAGCGCCGGTGGGAATGATGGGGCATTTTACTTCAATAGATGCCTTTTAACAAAGCTTCAGAGGAATTTGTGCAATGACATTAATGACGACTGCATGTTATTTTTCTTAGCGAATCTTCTGTTATTTTGCTTGAAAAGAGTTTTAAGTAGTTAATAAAAGACGTAGTTGAAATCTAAAATATATTTTTATTAAAAAAAATACCTCCAATAAAATACATAGACAGTGCGTATAATATAATTACAACAGCTTTATGTCAAAGGCGTTCATTACAACAATTATTATTATTATTGTTTAGCGGACAGGATAATGTTTTTGGACTTATTTGACTTATTTATTTAATACTTACATGCTCTACAAATCTAGTTAGTTCAATCATAGGCGTCGTCGAATGATAATTAGGAACACCTTATAACTTTTAACATTATTTAACGTGTATTTCTGGATATTTGGTCATCAATACTCAAGTTCTTTTATAAACAACTATCTTCTCCTTGGACCTTTAAGGGTCCAATTTATTTTATTATAGATGATTGCGTATAATGATTAGTTCATATTATTATAATAATCAATTAAACATTTTACAAAATCAAAATATTTACCGCAGTGCGGTCAGCGGGAAATATGTACGAAAAGTTGTCTTTCCACCACACAACCAATGCGATTTTTCGCAATATTGGCATACTCCTTCTAAACATTGCAATTATAAGCGATACTTATGATAAACTAATTATATAACTTTTGATCGTTAAAGAAGCAACTTTATTTTGGCACCTTATTTGAAATACCTCAATAAAGTACTTTAAGTAAAATAGGACCAATTAATCTTCTTACCTAGATCCTAGATCCTTCTATTTTCTCTCTCTAGACCAGTATAGGTATATTTAAAAAAAACTGTAAAATTTAATTATCTGGTTTTGAGAGGACGATATATTTTTATCTTCTGTAAAATTATAGCTACCAAAAAAAAATGTACTTAATATCACAATAATGACAACAATATCCTTAAATAAAATTATATAATATCATTTAAACTGTGAAGCATATGTAAAATGTTATGCATTCATAAAAAAAATCATTAAATCATATTAAAAAGAATGAGCTAATCCAAAAAAGTGTTAAAACCTCTTTCGAGGAAAGGAAGATAAAGGGAGCACAATGCACCGGAATAAAAACTTGTAAAATTATTTAAATATATGTTTAGTAACAGAGGACGTCTGGCATAGATGGGTTTAAAATAATTCGCTGTCCAAATTAGGTTACTAATACAGTACACTCACACTAAATAAAAATAAAATCAGTCCATCACCTTTCTTAAAACAACATATCATTTCTTATCGGCAATGCTTGTAAGATCTTGACAATAACCATATCTTTGGTAACAACATTTTGTACTTTAAATATAAAAACAAATACTGTGTTTGCTCACCTATTTAAATGGAATGGACCGTAGTAGACATCCTGTAGAAGTAGTAGACGTGGTAGAGAACATGGTTGAAATTTTAGAGTAGTGATTCTCAAAATGTGATAAAAATGCACTTATGATTTTGAGAGTTTCATACTATTCTGAGATAATTTACCAATAAAATAACGTTGGCACTTCGTTGATAATTATTTCTAAATATTTTCTTCATAAGATAAAATTTGATTTGTAATTAAGTAATAAATAGAGGGACAAAAAATTATTTCTACTATAAGAAATTCTTACTACGGTTACCACAAATGCAAATGATGGAATGTCTGAAAGGGTGGAATGTAATGCAAGTTTTAATTATAAATTGGGAAAATATATATTCTACAAATAAGGCTTGTTCTCATTTCATTTGAAGTATAAATGTATAAGTTTTTATATTGCACTGAATATTTTGAATAAAATGGTTAAATTATCTCCGAACTCTTAGGAAAACAAGAAAACTAGATTTTTAAAAACTCAAAGGAAACGATCTCCTTTGTATTGCTTTAAAGTATTCTTATTAACTTGATTTGCCAGTTCTCGTTCTGTGTAAGCTTTATTTTAGAAGTGGCTTAAAATGTACTTGTTTCTGACTGTGTTAACGTTCAAAAGTGTACCAGATTACCCACATGAGTAAATAATTTTCGTTTTAGTTTGATTCGCTTCGATAACTCGAAATACTTCCCATTTTTTAATTTAAAAATTATCACACTATTGGCGAGAACGGCGTTGTAATGCATATTTAATTTAAATCTTTGTGTTTCTAAATTATTTGTCCAATGCAAAGAAATTATTACTAATAAATGGTTTATATCCATTTAAAATTCGATGCGAGATAATCTACGAAACTGTACAACGCAACGCATTCGTTTGAAAATCGACCTTAACAGCTGAACTCAATCTTCATTTTCCCTGACACATTTAAAATCGTAATTTAATCCGAAGAAAACTATCATATCTATATCATAGCCATAGCAAATAGTGCCAGATCCCTTATCAACAGAGCAAACTAATGTTGCCATTATCGCTGCCCAGAAGCAATAACCTGTTAAGTGGCAACACGGACATGCACGTTAGCACACCTTTGAACGTATCGGAACGCAGCTTGGTACTCGAAAAGGACGCCTCCTGGTCCAACGACGTGTGAACACCGATGCGATTGTTGGTGGTTCCCGATATCAGCTCGTTGTAGTAGACCGAGAGGCAGTGTACGGGTTCTGTGATACCTCTGTAGAGGAAAATACATTTATTTACAAGTGTTAGTAAACTAGAAGCTTCGAAGTATATCTAAGTAATCTTAAGTTCGAATTGAACTCTACACAAAGTTATGATATTCTTAACCTTCCTGTTACATTTACAGAGCCTTTAATTTTTTAACGTTATGTTGTGTCGGAGGCTCCTATACACATTTATTTTATATTATTTGTGCTATTTTTTGCTATAGAGGCCACAAACATCCATACATCACACACAATTTGTAAGCTTCGAATTTGAGAGCTTGGTGTCAATGGTGTCTTAGTGCCAGTATTTTCCTATTGTGGAAAATATTTGACAGTAACATAGAAATTCCGCCAAGGCCACGGGCTAATATAAACCAAATTAAAAACTATAATGTATATGAAAGCCCGTTTCCCCCTCATGAGGCATGGGACGAACACATTTCTGTGTCCGTTTCACTGATCCGTTCTTTTAACGGGCAAGTAGTTGATCAGACTTCTGTGCCCTGCCCGACCGAAACAATGATTTTTTGTATGCCTGGGATTCGAACCCAGAACATCTCGCGCTCAACGCAATGTTTAACCATTTGGCTACAGAGGTGGTCGCAAACGGTAAGTATATATATTTGATAATTATAGGTGATAAACCACAGCAAATTAACCAGCATGTTTGTAGTAAAAAACAGTTGAATGTAATAAGGACCTTCTCTTAGACTTGAAACAATTAAGAAGGCCACAGTGCCAGATTATATCGACTGATCTGATCTTTTGGCCTTCTTAAATACTGTTGGATTGTGGATATGTGTCAATAAATATAGCCTACTTGAGATGCGCAATAAGCTCTCCGTCTTCGACCTTCCACAGCGCCGTGACTTGATCGAGACCAGATGTAAGGAGCCTGTGTTCATCTACCGCTGCTATACGGAGTACCTGAATAAAAAGCACCCTTTGTATAATAACATAGTATCTTAAGGTTAGTGTACATTTCGTAGCTCCAGGTGATTATTAGAATATCACCTCTCCATCGTGGGCCCTCCAGTGCGCCCGGGGCAGTCCAGAGCGAGGCTCCAAGATAGCCACGTGACCCCCAGCTAGTCCCACGGCAACCCAGCTTCCTGCCCCACTGACGCACATGCACCGGATAAACGTCGTTGTATTTGTTGGTAGCTGCAATAATTATTATTAAATGATAAAACCCCCAACCTTAGAAGTTTAATAAACGTCTTGAAGAACCAATATTTGAATTACCTAAATATTGGTCCTTCAAGCCGGATAGACCAATCCTTTGTCTTAAAAATTATTGGTTTGAATTAATATGAGAACCTTCAACCATAATCCAATAGATTTTTTCCATTATATTTACGGTACTTTTTAGATAAGGTTAGTAAAAAAATGTCTATACATATTTTTATAATTTTACCTTAAGCTCGTGATTGTGGTTAGGCGATCTAGCATCAATCAAGCGGATTGTGGCTTCAGTAGTGGCAGCCACAACTACGCTGGAGGGTCCCGGCAGAGTTCTTACTATGCTTACTGGAGATTTCAAGTTGTCCAGCTTAAAAATCACAAAGAGAAGTAAATATAACATAACACTGAAACGGTTTAAAACACAAATAATTTTATATTCTATACATATCAATAACGAGCCGTATTTTTGACGTCATGTTTTAACGTCAAACAAGTTTAACTTTGATTTTCCCGTTTTAAACGGTTAAAGTGTTTCACTTAAATGTGTACTACATTACTGCGTAAACTACAGACAGTACTTAACATTTCACAATGACATATACGACGGAAAAGGCAGACTTAAGCTATAGATTATAATCCAATGTATGAGATTCCACAAATATACCTAGACTTGACTAGAGAGTGACTTACTTGACAGACTACGCTTTCCATAAATGGATCCCAAATGTGGACCACGGAGTCTGTGGATACGGCAAGACGTAGCGATTCCAGAAACGCGAGAGATAACACGCCCTTTTTGTGACCAGTATACGTCCAGTTGCATTGAGTTATTGCGTTGCCATCACCCTGTTAAATAAAATTGATATTTTTAGTGATAATAGTCGTCACATTAAGTTATAAATTAGTAAATTAAAAAAACGTGTAACGGTTGAAAACGCGAAATGTATTGTTGTTTACCGCGATGTCGGCAATATAATTTTTCAATCAATTACATTTTAAACCGGAAAAAGTGCTTTATTAAATTGTTTTTTTTTATTTAACAGTTAAATACAATTAAAACAATAACGATTTGAACTTTTATTAAATTTCTATAAAAATGTAAACAAATTTTATTGTATTTAAATTATTATTTCGCCTCCATAGCTCAGTTAGACGCACTTTCTAACGTTGCGATAAGGGCAAAGCTGTGGTTTCAAAACCAAAAAAACGCAACCCACTCTTTAGATTTTGTATTTTCTATTTGAACCAATGCTTCTCTACACCTTCCTTCTAACTAACACATTTTATCAAATGGTCAAAATTAATTTAACAAGTTATTGTTATCTATTTCTTCAATATTTCGCTGTTTATATTCTGAAATACCCTTGCCTTTTTATAATTAGTTTTTAATATATGTGCGAGTGTGATTTTTTTATCAATTAGTTGCCTGTTATACCTGATTCCTCAAAGACCAGAGTCTCACGGTCTTGTCCTTTGAGCCGCTCATGAAACTGTTCTCGTTGTCGAGGCAGTGGATCGATTTGACGGAGTGCGTGTGACCGGCGAAGCTCTGGAGCTTGATCTGCTTTAAGTTGAACCTCGCTTCTTTGTCAGCACGACCGATCTCGTGTTCCCAGTAGATTAACCAGTCCCCACGGAGGTGCCTAGTGGTATACAATAAAAAAAAGTTTTCATTACATATAATTAGTAACGAACTCGGTGTTATGATAGCAATAATCAACGGCAAAAGGCTAATAAGCAACGGGCCGAGGGTTCGATCACCACCGAGTAAAACACTTTTTTATCAATTTATAATTAAGTTAAATGGGTAAGAGGAAAATTTAATTTAAATTCCATCCGGGACTCGAACCGCGATACATAGATAAAAAGTTAATTCGCGATTATGTTTATGTTCTATTTCCTAACAATACGTATTCTTTACATCATTTAAAACTATAAGAGAGTGTTTAATTAAAAATGATATCAGTAACGTAAGCCGCAAATCGAAATTTTAAATCTAAAATCGGATAGCGATCACGCTCACCTGTCACTACGCGAACCATTATCCATTTTGTATGCCACGACATCGAATCCGTCAACTTGGGGCGCTTCACAGGTGTCACTAGCGACATCTATCCTGTTTCCGACCAAAGTCACGTTTGATCCAAAACTATTCGAGTTGGATATGTGGTCGGCGAGGTCTAGCTTGCAGGTGATGTCTATATGTTTCTTATTTAATAACTCGTCGCTGAAGGAAGACTGTACGCGCTTGTCTTGTCGTGATATGTGGAGAGGTGAACTGCAAATCGTAATATAAACTTAGAATTCACACATATGTATGGAACAAAAATAATTTTGAAGAAATTTACCATTAGAAGAAAACTAAAAAGGGTTTTCTGTTTCTCAAGAATTAATACATGCTTGATAAAAGCGCCACCTAGTTAAAGCGTTGCGAACTAGCTTGGGTTTAATAAATAGTCATTCAACAACATTAAAATACTAAGCAATGGGTGTTGTTTTATAATTTTTTCTTTTAGGTAGAAACCTAGATCTAGACTTATTTTATGTTTGATTATTAGTATTATAGAAATTGCTATTGAATTTAGAACATGTAGGTTCATCTCGAACCACTAGTTGATATGTTTGTCTCACCTGATACAATGCTTATGTCTATACATCTGACAGAGGTTGCGAATTGTGTCACTGTTTTTAAGCGCTCGCTCAATGGCATCAGTCCCTACCAGTTTTGTGAACCTTGTGTAAGCGTGATATGCCAGTTCACTGTCGAATACCACCAATAATTCTTCTTGGGCCTGAAACAAAAGAATTAAATTCATATTACTTAATTTTACATGCCAATACGGACTTCCACAGAATGAATTCACTTGTGTAAATTAAGAGTTTATTGAAAACCTGTGTTTTAGATTAATATTTCCTGTTAAAAACTTAAATTATAATAATTTTAATAAAGTTGTATAAGGCTTAATTAAACAAATATTTAGATATATATATATGAACTATATTATTTTAATATGTAATTAAATATATCTTTAAAATATAGTAGATCTGAAAGTATCATTCAAACCATTTCGGTTTGAAGTACCAGAACTCACAGTAAGAGTAGTGACGTCGTGGGTATCTGGTAGCGAAGGTGGCGTGCAAGCCAACTCTGGCAAGTCAGATCTAACTACCCTCCCGTCCCGAACCGCCCACTCCGCTGTACTGCCATCTCTGCATATCTCCAGAAAACCTTCTAATTTTGGGTCTAAACTGTCTGGCTCGAAGGACTGAAATTTTTAATTTTTTATAACGAAACAATGTAAACATTCCAAAATAATAATACCTTAATTTTATCTTTGAGGTTACGATCAGGGAAAAGAAAAGAGAAATTGTATAGTTATATATTGAGAATAAATATGGCTTACAGCCTTTATGACAATTGAAACTCTATCACTCACCTTTTCCGTACTAGTATCATCTTGCTTTGGCCAATTGTCCGTCTTCCCTGTAGCTTTGTCGAACGCCAAAAAGAATCTATAATGTTAGAATGCAATTATACAAATATATCTCATTTCCTAGAAACAATAAAAAAGCCCTCTACCAAATAGACGACTTTTTAAATGATATATTATTTGTAAGCCATAAGAGTCGTAGCTACATAAGGAAACTTGAACGTAAATACCTCTTCAATTGATAAACAACTAACAATGTCTGAGATTAGTTACACATATATTACCTTTGAAGGGCTGGTACACACAGATGTTTTCTAGTCATTTCTGGTCCTATTCTGAGGGCCAGCGCATACAATGCATCTAGAAGCTTTCTGGTTAGAGCGCAGCGGGCAGCGGCTCCGCTAGGGTATGAACAGCGACTGGTGCAGGCCAGGCGCAGGGCAGGCTGAAGAATTGACTTTAGGAAGGTATCCTAGAAAAAACCGATATATTTCCAATTATTGGTTTCTTAAAAGACGCTTTGCCTATGCAGCCTAATGCATTTACATAATCAGTTAAAAAAAGGTAGATTAGTCCCATTTTTCACTAGTAACATTTGATACTGAAAACTGAATCAATTGTATGTATGTAGATAAAGGGTTAATTATTACTAAGAAAAAATATCGACAATTTGGTTTTCAATTTGGGTAATTCCACACTTTTTAGTTTTAATACATATTATCACAATATCGCACCTGCTTACAATTACTTAAATCAATTCATACGAACTTGCAATTGCTCCATAACTTTGACGTCGGCCATAAACGGCAACAAATACTTCACCAGTTGGAGACACGCGACCACCCCCCCTTCTAGGGGAGTGGACAGGCGGCGTCGACAGGACGCGATCAGCTCGCCCATGTGCGGCAGATATTGAAATATAATTAGCTGCTCGCCGTACATAGCTAAAAAGGCGTTAGTCTTTTAAATACTGTCTGTAGTTTACGCGTGTAGTACACATTTAATTAAAACACTTTAACGGTTTAAAACGCGATATATTTTAGTTAAACTAGTTTGAATTTTTTTTTAAACTATGGCCGTTTCAGATGCTTTGTGTTTTCAGTAGCGTTGTCACAGACCCCCGCGCGTTTAAAACCGTTAAAGTGTTTTATTTAAACGTTAGGCTTTTAGCAAAACAATGGATACTATATACATATTATTATTTGAATAATTAATTAGGCACAATTTGTTTATTTTATTTTTTGTTGTATAGTACTTTATTTTAAATGTATACTTGCATTTCCTGGCTGACATTACTGAAAATCGGCGAAAAAAAAAATTGATTTGAATTTGAAAACTTACCCACTATGGACGTCAAGCACTTTATAACCTTTATCGCATTCTTATCACCCACCACAGCGCTATTAACAATCGATATTTCATCAAACTCATCCTTATCGTCCATTTCTATCGACGCCAAGTTCTCTTTCCCGATATAGCATAGAGTGAGCATCTTCAACAGATTCCTGGTTACATATCTACAAGTCAGCACCGGCCCTAGTCTATGAGACAACCAAATTAAACTCTCCGAACTCATATCTGATATCTTGTATGAATCATTATAGTCCCTTTCATCATCACTCGTCAACTTTACCACGAGGTGATTCGTTTCTGGTACATTTAATTCGATTTTATTTTCTACGTTACTTTCATCTATTAAATAGCTAGTGAACATCGGTTTCCGTTCATCCGTGTTGGGCGACATTGTTTTACGGATTTCCGGGACCTCTTTATCCAAATAGTCACTGTTCTTTATCGACGAGGAAATAAAGAAGCGGGAATTTCCCGGGGATATCTGTTCTGATGGCGAAGGTGTGTGTAGAGTCTGTCCTATTGAATCGACGGAGCCGGTTGGTGATTTACTGCGGCTGCTTCCACTCTGGTTTCGCTCTTTATCATTTTCGAAGTGAAAGAGCTCGTTTTCACTCCTACTATCGACATCTTTCTCTTTTAACGCCTCGCTGACTTCGGACATCGCTTTTTCTATATTCGGTGTAACGATTTGTTCGGAACCGCAAGACGTGTCTGGCGAGAATATATCAGACGCGGTTGTTAGAACATTCTTAACACTGTCATCTGAATATCTTGGCTTCCTGTTGGCCATAGAGCGACTGTGACAGGAGTGACCTAAGACCCCACTCTGATACGACACGTCCTTGTACCCGCCGACCGCCTCCACCAAATGTTGAGTGAAATTGTCCAAGAAACACTGCAGACCGAGTCTGACCATCAACTGAAGAAGGAATATATTATGGTATAGCTTTATAAACTTCTGCTTACTCGCCAAAACGGCGGATGATGTTGCGTCAATTTCAGCAAACTTCTCCGATTTCTCAAAGACGAAATCGTCATCTTCGTAGAGATTTAGAATGTACTTAAGTATTTTGTTTCTCGTCTCCTCGGGACCTAGGGCTTTACTTATTGTATCAAATAAGTGCCACGCTGCTAACACCGACGTGTCTTTATTTTCCAACAACTGTATGTAGTGCTGCAGAAAAATGTCTAAAGCATCAAAATCGTTGAATCCAGTGAACAAGTTCAAAAGGACTCCCAAGTGTGTGATACAGGCTTGGATCTTTCCTTCTGCGATTTTCTGAGCGAAATATAATTTGGTCTTATCCACGTTTTGGTACGTCTCACATTGGATACCATCGCATTCGTACGTATAGAGAATATTTAGCTCGTTACTGGTCAGTTCGTACTCGTGTAACGTACTTATGAGACTGTGGAGTACAATGAAGCTTTGAGGAAAGGGTATCAGATGCTGCATCAACAGCGGCTGAAGAAGTTGAGACGCCGTCGGTGTGGGCAGGCCTTTATCCGTCACTGCTTTCTTTGCCGGTTCGCTTAACTCTTGGTTGAAGGATAAAGAAGGGGGATGAACGTTTAAAAGGAGTGAAGCGATATAACTAACACACTTTGGTAATGCATGAAAATTATATTTGAGGACTATCCGACAGCTGTTATATCTTTCGACAAAATTGTCGTTAGTAATTCGCAATGGACGTATGTGGTTATGGAGGAAGATTTCCACTATGATACACCCGACTACAAGCATATCCTGGCGTCGACTCTCCGTTATGAATTGTTTATAAACCACCGCATCTGTCGTATACCTAGTGTTAAACATTCGGTTCTTTCTCTCCTTAAAAACTGTATCTATTTGGGATTCTTGGTTTCTCTTGAAGAAACCTTCGTAGGACGCTTGAAACATGTGATTGGTGAATGCAGTTTCATCTGTGTCCTTTTGCATGTCTGTTTGTAAGCAGAGATTTTTTGAAGGGGCGTGGTGATCGTTTATTTTCTCTGGCTCACCGGATGTACTGAAAAAGCACTTAGTTCTAAAGTTGTCTAGCGTCTCTAGCGCTTGTATGGACGCTGCGGGATTGAATTCCTTCGGAAGGTATATAACGCCTTGACCGTATTCGGAGCGTTGGACTTTATAATGTCGAGTATGTGACGATGCTCTGCTTTCGCTGAACGGAGCGTCTTCGCTTTGCCCTTTGGTTAGGGAACGAGCTCTAGTTGAACTTTTATGGCGACGTATTCGTCCTGGGACGGATAGTCTGGATACATGGTGTGGGAGGCTACTAGACTCGTCTTCTTCGTCAGATAGGTCGTCGGAGCTATCGCGGATTGATTTTCCTGGAAGTGACAGTTATTAAGCATTATTCAGAATAAATTATGCTATAAAAACAAATTATTGTTATTAAAACTGGACTCAGATGAAACAAGGTACATATTTTATTAGATTATTATTACGTAATTATTATTTTTTTGCTTGTTCTTTTATAAGAAAAGTAAATGTGCTTTTTTTAACGAATCTGGTGAACTTGCAATTTTTTTTTTTTTTTAACTCTAAATTTATAATTTTTTAATTAAATTTATTTTCGTTTTACTAAAAATTCCCAAGCTATTTCTATCTTCCTTTTAAATTATTTATAACTATTACTTTAAGTTTTCCTAATATTATAAAAATAAAATAAAATAAAAAATTTATTTTCGGAAAGTACCTTCTCTTCTCGCAGGGGAAATGCTAGTAATAAATAATAACTAAGTAAACGACATACTGGAATCTCTAGAAGTGGTCCATCTCAATCTAGGCGGAGCAGGTGGGAGTGCTTTGAGTTTCCTTGGAGGGTGTGGCGCAGTCAGCAACTGAACCGTCGCACCGCGCCGCGTTCGCGTGTGTCGGTCTACTAATGATAGACATACGTTCTTTGCTTTTATCGCAGCCGATCCGGAAAGTCTAAAAGAGATAATCTTAATTTATTGCGATATCTACTACCTGAGCTTAGCAATTTTGAAATATTGTTGTTTTTTTCTATTAAACAGGACTTTTATATACAACCGCTCTTTATATATTTCCTTTGGTTATGGTAATTTTTTGTTAAAAATTTCCTCTAATAATATATAAAAATGAATACATCAGAAGGCAGAGAATGTCTTCGTTGCTTTAAATTAATAAAAATCCCTACAAAGTAGTTCGTGTGTGTTTTATAAATTATTTACATTAAATTAAATTTTTCCTCTTGCTAAAACTTATTTGGACTCCTGGCTTTTTGACCCGAAATCCATATGATAGGGTCTTCTTGATTATGAAGTGTCAATTCCTTGTAAAAAGATATGTGCCCTTACTTATAGCCAAACGTGATATCTATCCAATGATGTAGGTTATCCGAGACGTGCGAACTTTCTAGAGCTTCCCTGTGTTTCGTTATGAAGTCTTCTACGCATGTCGCCCAAGTTGGTATGCCGAGGTCCTGTAAAACAAATTAGGTCAGCGATAAATACTTGACACGCTTTTAAGAGCAATTGGCCTAAATATTTATTGCAATTACCCAATGATAGCACATTAATGACTATAAGAATATAAGTTTATAAGATGTGATACTAGGTAAACAAAATTTATGTTGGAAAAAGTAACTCCATAGTTAATATAGGCTAGCAAAACCTGCGCCTGCGTTTTCCTTAAAGCTTGCAGAATTTTGTACACAGTAAAAAATGCAAGGCGCTGTTGTGAGGTTAACGCACTCGTGTTCCCAATAAATATTCTCAAAGATTTTGGTTATATGTAGCGATTTAGTTTGGGTTTTTTAAGTAAACAGAACTTTGGTACTAGGAAATTATTAGTATTCCCCTGAATGTCTCTTAGTTGAGGTATTTTGGGCTTCACTTTCCATCAAGTGAATAATTTATTTATTATCAGTTTATATACTGACCGGTAGATCTTCATGTATACTCTTAAATACAGCGGGGTCGGTATAGAACTCTGGTATACACTCATCTGGGGTCCACTCCTGTATCCTCTGTACAGATGCAGGGTACTCCGCTGGCACCCATTTATTTCGGACATATTTACATAGGGTGTCTTTGGGAGTTCTAGAACATTTAATCCATTTTTATGCTATATTTTTGACTGCCTCTCTAGCCAAATGGTTGAACGTATTGCCTATCAATGCATTAAGCGCGAGAGGTTCGAAGCCCAGGGAAACAGATTTTTTTTTGGTCAGGCAGGCGATAGAAGTCTGATCAACTACTTGCCTGTTAAAGAACGGATCAATGAAACGAACACAAAAAAGTGTTCGCCCCATGCCCCATGAGGAGGAAACGGGATTTTACTCACTTTCACATGCTGTACTTTTAGCGTGCGATATTTTTTGCTATTATGGCAGCTATAAAAATGGGTAGTTTTTGAAAGTAGACAACCCAAAAATGCAGAAAACTTTTATATTTTTGGGGGAAATAGTCCCAACACTTTTTACATAGTGAATAATATTGAAATAAAAACAACACCAACAAAAGTATGGTGTTCCAGAAACACTGAAATTCTAAATGATGACAAACATTATACTTGATTTGCTAAGAAAATAATGCAATACAAAATTAATACTTTTAACTTTTACTGTGTTCACGAATGGAATTTAAATAATTACCTTCTAGCAAGATACACATAGCATGTGATATCAGATAGAGCATCTGTGACATGATGTGGTATCTGACCGTTGCAGCCTGTGACATCATATGTCATATCAAGTTGGCGATCGCCTTTGTTTAATCTGTATTTTGATTTGCTTAAATCCCTCCAGTTGTATCCTGCAAAAAAGAGGCAAAATTGATTTAGCGTCAAATAATTATTTACACTTCTTAGTACATGAAAGATAATCAGTTATCATTTTATTATGTAGTATTGTAACTTACCACATCTTGAAGCAAAATCAGTAACCCAAGGCACCATGAAATGAGCTTGTGGATCATTCGCTGATCTTCCAGCCAGAACATTCAAGTGAAGCAAGTAGTCCAAATTTGATATCTGGCCACTTACCCACAGCAAACATAATCTCTCCAATTTTACTGCATTATTCCTTAATTCCTCAATAGGAGTTTGGTTTTGGCCTTTTCCCTGACCTGTACTTTGCTTATTTCGATTTTGCTCACAAATAAGAGATGGGTTTAGGCAGTGCACATTGTTTACTATAGGTGGCACTACTTGCAACCATAAATCTTCAGTTAAAAATACATCTTTAAGATCTAAAGTACCCAAGCATAAACCTCTATCACTCATTGCTTTGGATACATTTAATAATTGATAGATAATAAACAGTCCTCTAGTATAACTTCTTTCTATCAAATGTGAACTAAAATTAAGAACATCTAAGAGGCTATTTTCATAGTGACTTCTATATATTATGAAAATGTTATTATCTGTTTCTAAGGCAAACATAGCAGCCAATATATTGTTATGAGTGTCATATGATTTAGTTGAAGGTTTTGATTCCTTATATTCCAGTCTTGTACCATCTGATCTTAATTTAATAATATTACAGCCGTAAAGCCTTATAATTACCTCGGAAAGTAGCTGATCATGTTCAAGTAAATTCACAATCGTAGTCTCTTTATTCCCCTCAATATTTTGAGAGTATTTCTTATATGACTCCTTCCATAAATTCCTGTGATTATATTGCGATACATACTGCAGTAGTTGTGAAAATGTCAATGGAGAATCATTGCCCTCAGCTAATTTGTATCGAGGCAAAGGCAAAACCTTAGCAGTTCGTTTGTTTAATACCTAAAATTTTTTAAGGACAGTAAATCGAAAAATCTAATAAAAAAAAACAACACTGATAATTCGTTGTCGTCTGTAAATACTCCCACCTTAATGAAGACTTTTTTCCACGGATACGGAACACTTTCTCCGGGTTGCAGCGTAAAATCTATATTATTAACAGAACTATCGACTTCTACATATTTCAGCCACTTTTTCAACCATGTATTGTGAACGACTACAGCAAATAAAGATGGTGATGATGTGCTATATATATTTTTACGACCTAATTTTAACTCATTAACGATACTTTCCATTTTTAATTATAATATTTTTATTTTTAAGTTAATATATACTTTGTGAATGTTTTGTTTAGCTATGTACTGACAACTTATTGATATGGGAAATGTCAGTAAATGACGAAGGTAACGTCAAAGTGACATAAACATATCGATTCTATTGAAATATAACTGTGGTAATCATAATGGCACAGATTACTACTTAGTCCTTTTCAAAAAACATGTTGACTACCAAATTCCAAAAATACCATATTCTTGGAATTGGGTATGATGTTGTTTAAATTAATAATATATTTATTATTTATATCTCTAGTATAATTCTAAGATTTTTTACGCTAACACATTAAATCTTAAATTTAACTACAATAAAATATAAGAAGACGTAGATCAATGATATTCGGGTTACTGTTAATGGCTTTGCGTATAAAATAAAAATATATATAATACAAAAACATGTTAAAAAAATCAATTACTCGCGTGTCCAATTCAGATACTCTTGGTTTTTGCGAAAAAATATTTAAAAGCAATTAAATCAGCCTATTTTTAAACGGATTTAATTAATTCGACCCGTATGGAATTAATTTATTTGGGTCAAAATTTGAAATTTAAATTTAAGCACTTTCCCGTTGTCAGATTAGTCCAAAAGTTGAGAACAATTGCGTCCAAGATTGTGAGACTTTAGAGCGGCAAATAAAAAAATTGGTAATTATTATCGTTAGGTAAGCGGTGGCTATACCACCCGGGTTAAAATGTGCTGAGGACTTTATGGCATTAGGGGGAATGAAAATGTAATGTCGTAAGCGCTTCTCCCTTAAGATTGGGCGCATCTTGTTGTATATTATGCCTTGCCCCTTTACTGAGCCTCTGGGGGTCGACCGTCAAAATGCCCCTTAATCGTGGGAACAACATGGTAACAATAAATAAAAAAGTAAACAAAAATAAAAACGAAACTGCTACACAACGGAAAAGAAGGCTCGAAAAGGCGAAAGAAAAGTATAGAACGAAACGTGCAAAGGAAAGTGAATATGAAACCCTTAGTCGACTACAGAAACGAAGAGAACGTTTAGCAACAGAAACACCTGAGCAACACGATACCAGGTTAATAGCACAACGTGAGAGACAAAGGCAACTGGTAGAGTCAGAAACACCTGAGCGTCATGAGTCCAGGCTAGCATCGCAACGTGAAAGACAAAGAGAGCTAATAGCGTCAGAAACACCTGAGCGTCAGGAGTCCAGGCTAACATTACAACGTAACAGACAAAGAGAGCTATTAGCGTCAGAAACACCCGAGCAACATGAGGCCAGGTTATCAAGACGGCGTGAGAGACGAAAGGAGTTAGAAGCTTCAGAAACACCAGAGCAACGCCACAACAGGTTAAAGTACCAACGTGAGCGTGCACAGAAATGCAGAGCTAAAAATCATGTACAAGCGTAAATCACCAGACACAACAGAACACAGACACAAAACAGAAATTGTTTGGCCTCAGTTCCGTCAAACCCAAATGTTAGAATCAGATTATACCATCAGTTCAGATTGACTTTGGGAGAGTCGTGCACATTTTTACCCTAAAGCCATACAGTTCTGGCAATCAATTATGGTATGGCTAGAAGAAGGATGTTGCCCTTAGTTTTTTCAAGGGTGTCCACCATCCATAAAATGCAGAGCAGCACCGCATCACCAGCAAACGCCGAGGTCATGATCTAATAAAGTATAAGATATGCTCTGAAATAGGTATGATTTCAGTGGGGCCCCATTATATTGACAAAGATTTAACATACATCAAGTCAATTGTGTACTAGAGGGAGGTTAATACTATAAAAACTGCTAATTAATTTGTCTGTTTTTATATTCTTTAATTAATGATAAAAATTGTAATTATCAAATTGTTCACTTTGTTAATTTAAAGTAGAGTTCTATTGATTCTTAGCAATTGTTTTTTTTTACTACAAAATAGAAAATAATTAAAGTGGACATTTTTTCATCAGTTACATTTAGCCATTTTTTTGATCACATACCTAGTCATTAACCAATGAATGTGGTCATTATCATCAACAGGCATTTTTTAAATATTTCCATTATCAGAAGATCTTAGTTTTACAATAGGTGCCATTCTCAGTGATATTTCATAAGAAGTCAATCATTTCAAACCATCTTTCATGCATCATACCATGTTTAAGTTACTCAAGTTTTGTAAAAAAAAATTATTCCAATCAAAGACAACCCTGTAACCTCTTAGAAACTTTTACACTAATAAGTACATTATAATTACATTGCATTATACTTTTACAATAATATGATTACTATCACTATAGTATTCTGCTAATTTTAAAACTGTGGCAAGGTAAATAAAAAAAGCATAGTAAAGTAAAGTCCTTTATTGTATATAAAAATAGTAGTAACCTATAAAATGTATTTAAATACAATTATTTCATTTACAGGAATGTTTTTTATTGTCATAGCAATAGGAATCACTGTAGCGCTTTTTATTGTACAGTACTTTTTACATATATTGTTACAATTTATATAAATTCATAGATATTTAAACTTGGCACAAACATAAACACTTTTATCTTAAATATAAAAAAAAATGAGGGAATCTTGCATGTAGCAGTTTAACAGTAATAATACTTCTATTGAAAAGATTCAGTTCATTAAATTATAAACAAAAATCAACTAGTAACACAAACCCCTCACCTCAAAAACATTTTTTTTGTTATATTTAGGCTAATAACATCTGTAAAAGCTATTTTATTCAAATTTACCAGATATCCTTTTTGTATAACACTTCCACAGAGCATCTTTGTATAAGACGGCCTGAATTTCTGAATTCTTAGCTGCAACAATACCCCTTCCGACTACCATAACATCACCACCATTTTCCAACACAACCTTTTCAGGGGTATTGTAAACTTGGCCCAAGTTATCTTTAGAGCTCTCAAGTTGGACTCCTGGTGTTAATTGGATAATACCTGGGTTTTTAAATGTATCCTTATTCTGACAGACAAATCCACAAATTAATTCAGCATATTTTTCTGCCATCTTTACTGTTTCTTGAGTGTATTGCTGTGTGATCAGATTTCCCTAAAAAATAGAAATGATAGTATTATAACTCTACTCATAATTGATTATTGCCAGCAATTAAAACAAATTTGATAAACATATTATCGTTTTGAAGCTTTAATATTTTTCACATGTTATTGCACATAATGGCACAGGGTGACTCTATAGCTCAATTGTTAAAGCAACAGCACAGAATGTCATGTCAGAGGATGTCAGTTCAGGTCCTGCCCCAGTCGTAATTTTTTAAATTTGTAATCAATTTTCAGTATACATTTTAACAATATTCTTGACTTTAAATGGAAATTTCAACAGAAATACTTCTTATGCATCCACGTAAAGTAGGGTTTATAAACCTAATATAGAATTTATTTTTACCTCGGAACTCATTTCTGCTAACAGGAAAACCCCTTTATCAGTATTAGAGGCACCATTTAGAGCTTTCAAAATCCCTTCGCCAGGCAAAGAGTGGCATGTCACACAATCAGCCCAGTCACTGACATTATACAGACCTCTTGTATATTGTAGAGAAACAGTGTGACCGATATCTGCATATTTTCTGTCTTCCAAAATCAGGAAATTTAACTTCTTAGCGAGATGTTGCAAGGACGAGACAAAGCCACTTGAAAAATCTTCAATTATATCCACATGGGTCTTGATTAAGCAGACATGATTACCAACTTTTTCAATAAGGTCCAAAATTTTTGTTGAGGATGTAAGGTCCACAGAGAGGCAAAGATTTGTCTTCTTTGCAGCCATTATATTAAAGAGCTGTTTTGCAATTGCATTTGTTGATAATTCCGCTCTTTTCTCATATGACAAAAACATTCTTTCATTTACTTTTACTGTAAAAAAAAAACTTTTATAATTGTACTGTAAGGAAGGAAAAAATTGTAGGGTCACTAAGAAAGTTTTTCTTTGTCTAGTTTTTTCAAAAATCACAATAAATAATAGTTAAGTAGGAATGTTTTTCTAATAAAGGAATCATGTTACTTTTGGATTTGAACTTCTCACAAACCACTTAAGGTCTTAGGCCATTTATAAAAGCCTAAAATTTTTTATACAAACCTACTGATGGAGCTTTGACATTTTGAAGATAATCTCTTACTTCATTAGCTGTTTGTTCAGTTATTCTGTTATTTTCGAGAAGTATCTCTATTAATTTAGTCATTGTTAGCAGCGCTTTCATTTGAACTTTATTAGACTCAAGATTTTCCCTGCCCCCTTGTTCTCTATCTAATATAATGAATGCTTCTTCAGCCTTTAGACCTTCCTTTCTCAAGTCATTCACTGTCTCCATAACACTGGAACCTGATGTCACAACATCCTCGATAATTAGGCACCTGTCCCCAGTCTGATAGTGGCCTTCAATCATTTTCTTAGTTCCGTACGATTTTGCTTCTTTCCGGCGCATTAACATTGATTTCTTGGCTTTAACACTAAGTAATGTCGCTATGGGTAAAGCAGTATAGGGCACACCGCAAACGTGGTCGTATTTGCTGTTTGCGACCGCAAACTCGTATAGAAGTTCAGTTATTAGTTCCTGGAAATTGGTTCACTTTTAAAAATCGAACTCAAGCAACACTCACATTATTTTAGTATGATCTGGGAGTATTACTAGCAAATGCTTCTAAAAACTTACCATCACATCGGGATAACTAACTATTACTCTTAAATCGAAGTAGACCGGTGTTTTTATTCCGCTCTTAGTCATGAAATCTCCAAACTTCACCGCATCAATTTTATGTAAATTTAGAGCCAATTCGGTAACCTTATTTTCAAAATCCATGGTGAAAATGGGTGCTTAACGAAGTAAAATATTCCAACTTAAAAATATTTTACGTATACTGATAATTCTTAGTAAACATAAAATAATAACCTTAAAAAGTAACTTAAAACCACTTCAAAACAATCGTCAACACACCTAGCTAAGTAAACACGTCACATGCTTAAAGAGGCAAATTGTCAAGTGATGTACAATCTGTGTATTATTGATATATCAGTATCTGTATAGCACTTTTGTTTACTGCCATCTGCCATTTGTTTAACACAACATTAGTACCGATAACGCCACTAAATGTGAATCACTAGAATAATATGTTTTTATTATTTTGATTAAATAAAAAAACAAGTAGTTCTAGTTTGTATATGATTATATCTGTTTGTCCTTAGTTTTTATATCTAAATGGCTTGATAATATTAAAGCGTTGTCGTGTTGCTTACGAGCAAAAACGAGAAATTTTTAATCAAACTTTTATTTTAATACTTGTCAAGGTAAAAGTGGTTCTCAAAGTTACATACTATATTTTGTTATAGTGTTTTGATAATATCATCGCTGTAGACTTCTTCCATTTGATGTTACTTTTGAATCATTAAACTGAGGTTGGGAAGTTAGAACCTAAAGTGCTAAATACTAAGTGCCAGTGAATCTTTACAAGTGTTAAATTCTTTACCTGACTCTGTGTTAGGGTAATTTAGCCCACCCTCCTAAAACGGTTAAGTGGGGTCCCCCGCTTCATTAAAATGGCAGACATCTGACAAAGGGTGGCCTCCCCAATCCGGAGGGGAGCTCCGAGCCTTGGGCCGTGGGCGACGGTTGGTAGGGGAAGGGACTGCTATTTCGAGAGTCGTGTGCCATTCTTTCGCCTCTACTTTCTATCGAGTCACGGATGTGTGAAATAAGTTTTCGCCGTACAAAGTGAACTTTCTAAGTGCCTGCAAATAATGGATTCAAATGGAGAAGGTATAGTTTTAAATGTAGAATGTTTTTAATGTGACGTAAATATTAGCCACTAAAGATCACCCGGTTGACAGTTGCAAAAGAGTTCTATCACTACACAATTTTTAGAAGATTCATCTATGGAGTTATTGTTAAAGAGGAGTCTTTTATCCAGAAGCAAACTGGCGACGATCACTAAAGACTTGGATGGTGTGACACAGTATGTTTGTATTGAATGTCATGCTCAGTATGAGGATAAAGAAGAATTAGAAGTGCATTTGTGTTCACATTACAATGAATATAGATTTCTGTGTGGTATCTGTGGAACAGGGTAAGCATTTTTTTTATGTCACTAAGCTTTTTACTGTTTAATTTTTGCTCATATGGTTTTCTTTTTAATTTAAAGTATTATTATAAGTAGCTTTATTATACTATGTGCAAAGGAATTACTGAATCTGAGTTGATATGCCATATATGATTTTGAAGGTTAGAGGCTATGTTTTAAGTATTATTATTTTTTAGATTAAAACGTAGAGAGCATTTAGATAGACACATGCAAGGACATATGGAGGTACGGCCTCATGTATGTGAAGAATGTGGAAAGGCTTTCAAACGGAAAGAACATCTTAATATTCACAGATCAATCCACAAAGGTGTTAAAACATTGCAGTGTTCCTTGTGTAGTAAATGTAAGTAGTCCTAAAGTCATGTACCACCATATAATTATTAACATTTAGTCATTCTTTTCCGCATGTTAAAATTTTTTCACTACTGGCCACGCATCAACATAATAAGTAACTTTTCTGTTTTGTTTATTTGCTTAGATACAAAACAATAAAAAACATTATTTTTTTCTAATAATATAATAATTATATTATTTAGCTATAATAATATTTTATTATATCTGTGGTTATTCAAGTTAATTTATATTATTTATTGTTTAATGCAAAATTACTTTTCTTGTCTCAATTGCTAAGCTATCATTGTATGATATTAAGAGTGCTTTTGACATGTGTTTATTAATTTTTAAAGTTTTCTTAGCATAGTAATTTTATATTGTTACCTCTTTTACAGGTTTCTATCGGAAGGATCATCTCCAGAAGCACATACAGACTCATAACAAACATTTTATAGAGCAGAATATCATACCAATGAACGACCAAGAACTGAGCATAAAAGAAGAGGTTGATTATGATTTGGAGGATATCAAACCTATTATTAGTGATGTAACTGGAACTATAGCAGACCAGGATACATCTATGGAGGTTAGTTACTACGTTTTTAAATACTTTGAAAGGATTCGAAAGAGAGTATTCGTCAAGGTATATTAAAGTAGTATCTTTTGTATTGAAGTTTTCACTTTTATGTTTAGACTGAAAAATATGATCTACAAGCTCCTTGAGCCTGCTCGAAGCCTCTGTTAAAACCACAGAATATATTAATCAGTAAGGATGTAATGGTCACGTTATTTAACTTAAGTTTATTATCGCTGAAACATAATTTTGTCAAGAAGATCATCAACAAGTGTACATGTTAATGAAATTGATCAGTAGGACACAAAAAATGGAACCTATAGCAAAGGGCTTTACTAAATTGGTGAATATTGCTATGGTGGATATAATTATGTTTTTAAGAAAAGTTGGATCATTTTTCTTTTTTTATTTAAAATTTATTCTTCTTTAATATTAATGCGCCTTGATAAAAGAAAAAAACATTTACGTAACGGTATCTACTTGGAAAAACCCCACCCTATGTTACCCAAGCCAGGTAGAATTTTTTGCTCTCCCATTTATCTTGCGCCCGACTCGGGGAACTAGAGAATTTTTTGCTCTGGAAGGGACTGTTGCCTAAAAAAAAATATCTTTTATCCTGTAATGGAATGGTTAATATAGTTAATAGAAAAGATGAATACTGTCTATAGTTTACGCGAGTAGTACACATTTAAATAAAAAACTTTAACGGTTTAAAACGCGATATATTAGTTAAACTTATTTGAAAATGGTGTTTAACTTCGGCCCGACGTTTCGGATGCTTTGCAGCAGCCGTGGTCACGGGACCACGTCTGAAAAGAAAAGATGAATTCAATAAAAAAGAACTAAACATGTACACTATCTACAAACCTAGCCGCGTATATTTTTCAAACGCTAAATTAAAATAAAAATCTGACACAGCCGAAAATCGAACCCGTAGCATATTCTGCCAATTCCTAGCATGGTTAAAGATCGATATATAAAAATACTAGCTGTGCCCGCGACTTCGTCCGCGTGGAATAGTATTTTTTAATTATTTAGGCTGTTGATAATTAGCCAGCTATCTATGTTGTAAGTGCTATTTTGTCGCAACACTCTCACCTCACATCACTCCTACTCTAACTCCCACTCTCATTCCTACACTCGCTCCCACTCCCACTCCTATTCCCAAAAGGCCAATGAAAGTTTCATTGTTTTAGCTTCAAAAACCACGAATTTCCATACAAACTTTCATCCCCTTTTCAACCCCTATCAACTTTCTCAGGCTCTAAAATAGCTGTGTACCAAATTTCATTTAAATTAGTTCAGTAGATTTGGAGTTTATGCAGGACAGTCAGACAAAGTAAGTTACTTTCGCATTTATAAAATTAGTCTTAGTATAAGAGAATTCTTGTATTAATAAAAAAAAAATTCACCTTTCATATTAAAGATCAGAAATACAAATGTTTATGACAAAGATAAGACCCAAATCTAACACAGCGTACCGTTAATAAGCCTTAAGACATATTTGTAGCTGTTTTTATGCCAAACTAAATATACTTAAAGTAATAAATGACTTTTAAAAGTGTCTCTTGTTAGGATACTGCAAGCGACCTGAGTAAAGTAGGCCAAGGTGCATGTGGTACGGACTACAGAGTATCAATGATTTCGCTATAAAACTTTAATACTTATCTACCTCTGGTTCGGTTGGTGTTACCTTTCTCCCCATTTCATTAGGCGCGACTAAAAACATACTGGAGCGACGTTTGACCCATGTCTTTGGCCTAAACATTCTAGACGTACGTGTCTTACAATGGAAATATTGTCCTTTGTATTTTTTAGGCATTTTTAATTATTTACAATATCTTATTTAAAATAACATGTCCGTATAAATCGATATACATCTTTTGCTACTATGTGTACGTTTAATATTTTGTAGCTTATAACCCTACACGTGTTATAAACATTATAATATAGTGGAGGGTTAAAAGGGTGGGGGTCACCCCTTTTAACCCCCCACTCCCAACTCTCAGTACAACGAAGCGGTCAACCAACTGATTAAGGCCTAACTTGCGGTCACCACGATAAAAACCTACGGAAGCCATGTCGTCAAACGAGAATATTCATGCAAGAAATTTACTGCAAATAAGTTATTCTGATAATAGTTAACATAAATTTATCGATGGTTGAATTTTACCAAGTCGTCGTATACTATTTTTTGTACAAAAAACAGTTTCTCCTAACATTATCTCTTGCTATATATATAAATATCATATGCTGTTTAAATTAATAATGTAACCCTCTAATACTTCGATTTTCTCAAAATTAACTAAGCAAATATAGATTTCGTCTTTTCTTTAAAAACTTAGCACTATCCATATTTCAGTATCGTTCAGTTTTTATTTTCGCCATGTGTAAGCCTGTTATCGATTTTCATAAAAAATATAAAATATCGCAGCGTTGCGCCAAAGCTCTCCCACCCTCCCCGTCTAAAAAGGGGGGCCGCACCCCTTACTTTGGTTCCCCCATTTTAGCGCAAAACTCCAACGACCCTCGGCCTGAATAAGTTGAAATCTTTTTATACAGCTTTTCAAAATGCCACAAAATTCGCTACGCCAGATTGTTTTATTTGCTCCAACGAAAATATAAAAAGCGATGCCCAAAAGTTACTAAGCGTTGAATATAATCTAATTTGATACAGATATTCGTTTCAATTACCTATTTCCTAGAATAAAAGGAACTGAATTGCACTTACCTAATATACAGGATGTTTCGTTAATTAATGTTAGTAAAATTTATGACCATTCTAGATCTGCTATTTATACCACGAGACTAATAATAATTCACTTTTGTACTTACACAGAAACGGAAAGAAAAAACCAAAATATTTTATTAAAAGTTATTTTAAATTTTCACAATATTGGTGGTGACAGAGTAATCGTGTTATATATGAACGTCGTCAATAATATTTAAAAGACAGTCATATCTGGATAACTGAGATCTCAAATCACGATCTCTTTCTTTTTCTAGAGGAAATGGCGGAGACCTGGTAAATGCTCACATTCATAGAGTTTCCTTAATACCAAGGTGTGACTATAGTTAGAAACTATATGCAATTTTGCTACCGTCATCAAAGGCCTGAACTTAGGAAAACAGTGATTAGCCATTCCATGTTACATGCAATGACATGCTACTTTGCATGCGCTCTAAGTGCTTAATTATTATTACTTTGTAGTCTGAAGACGCGAACGACCTGCCAGAGTCTATGGACGCGGTAGAGGGCCTGCACACACTGACGTTGCAACACGCAAAGAGCTCTCGCCCCTTCGTTTGTACTACCTGCGGCAGGAGTTATAAACGAAAGGACCACCTCAAGATTCACAGCTGGACGCACGCTAAAAAAGAAGTGGCCTGCAAGATTTGTGGAAAAGGTAAGAATCACGTTTACTAAGATTATTTAGTTTCAGGCACACTTCGGCGAATTTTCAATTTCAAAATGTATTTAATAACTAATTCTTATAAAAAATACGAAAGTAACTAAATGTCTGTCTGTCTGTTTGCCTGTCCGGCTTTAACGCCGAAACTACTAAACCGATGTAAATGAATTTTGGTACACAGATATTCTAGAGCTTGAAAAAGAACATGGCCTTAATGGCAAAATGGGTTGTTATCGTATTGAAAAGGGGGGTGAATGTTTGTATGGAAATTCGTGATTTTTAAAGCTAGAACAATGAAACTTTCTCCTTTGGCTTTTCGGGAATGGTAGCGAGTGTAGGAGTGAGAGTAGGAGTGATGTGAAATGAGAGTGGGAGTGGGAGTGTTGCGATAAAGTAGCACTTGCAACACAGATTGGCTGCCTTGAATGCGCCCTTTTCAATGACATGCATTGTAAAACTTTTTGATGTACAAAAAAAAATGGAAGGGTTTGAATGAGGGATGAAAAGTTGTGCGGATGTATCGTAACTAATTCTACCCACTATTCGAGGCGGACAAAGTTGCAGGCACACCTAGTTGTAAATAAGTCAACTAATACATTTTGCGCTTAAACAGTTGAAAAGTGTTTTATTTAGATGTGCTACTCGTAAACTACAGTAAATACATGATCACATTTTTTTCTTACTAAAAATAATGTTTACTAGATTGGCACCAACCTTGAACCAAAACCGCGCGAAAACTATTTATGTTAAATTTAAAAGTAATAAGTATTGATCGCGTAGTGGTTACTAAAAAATTTTGAAAATAACGCAGAGAAAATAATTTGCGTAATTTGTAACTACTTACTTTTTATAATACTCGTATCTATAGTCTATAACAGTATTTTAGTGAATTGTTCTTTTATTCGTATATGAGCACATCTATAGAAATTTAATCTTATCTATGGCATCTGCAGTCGTTTTAGCGCAGACGCGGTGATACGGGTTGATTTTGGCGCCAATTCTTACATTGCTTTGCAATGAATTGATAAATCACAGGTATTTTATTCTTAACACAAAAAAAGTGTATAATATATTTAAAAACTACTGTTATATATATATTCTTTATTGCACAAAAAATAAAAATATTACAAATTAAACTTATATACTAGAATGGAGAGCAATGGGCGACCTTATCTCTAACAAGCGATCTCTTCCATGCAACCTAAAGTTATGAAATGTTAAGAAAATGAGATGTCTGCAAGGTAGGCGAAACAAATTAATACAAACAATAAATAATCATAAACAAAAAAAAACACCGAACTTAAAATAAAAACATACAGATCTAAAAAGGTTACATGTTTACTAACTTAAACGAAGGGACTAAATATATTTAAAATAAATAGATAGTGACTTTACTCAGATAGTGGTTAGTAGTAGATCAGTTATATATATATATATATATATATACGCTAAGTATATTGAATGTTGTAATGGATTATGTACAAAAATTAAAAAGCATTCAACCAATACGCATTTCAAGTATCCTACGGAATTTAAAAGCTCGTTCTACCCCTCCGATATCAAGCTTTCTCTGTACTTCATACAATTGTTTCATTATAACCATCTGTCGTAAGTTTTTTTTTTAAATGTATGTACGTATTGAGCCCCGACGGGGCTTCGAATACTAACCGGGCGTGTTTGCAGCTAGACCAAGGGTGCCCCGAGGGGGGCTTCGGCCTCGGCTAAGCAACACGTGGTACTCACTAGCGAGCTGTTATCGTAGAAATAAAGAAAATAATTGTTAACTCCATTGATTTCATTCAATAAAAAATCGTTATTGTTTGCTATTAACAAGGACAATATTTTAATGACAAAGAGGTCATTTTTGATCTCACAATTGACCCTTTCGTTAGGACTCAAACTAAAAAAATACTTGTACCTATTTGTATTACTAAAACTAAAATAATACTATTTGTATCTGTATAGGCTCACCTAGTGTTTGTGTGTAACCAATTGCCGAAAAAATGCTGTTGCCGGTGAGCCAGTGAGTACCCGGCTTCTTGCTCATAACCGGTATCTTGGTACAAGGTCGCCCCCCACTGGTGTTGCTCAATCGACTTGGGAAAGTAGCTTGGCATTAACCTAGTGGATGTATTGACTAATTTTATTCACTCCACGCCTTGAGAAGATACAGTTTTCAATGACGTCATGGAGCTTTCGTTTATAATGCTGTGCCTCCCGGGTTTTACTGGCGTTGCAACTTACGACATATTTTGGTCAAACAGACTTCATTTTTAACTCGTTACTAAAAGTAATATTTTTAATAATTCCTGCTTACATCATCGTTTTGTAAGTACTGTCGGTAGTTTACGCGAGTAATGCACACAAATCAAACGCTAACGGTATAAAACGCGAAATTTATGAGTAAAACTAATTTACAAATTATTTTAACTACGGCCCGACGCGACGTTTCGGATGTTTTGCAGCAGCTGTGATCACGGGGGGTCCCCCCGTTTCAAATTATATTTTGTATCTTTATAGGTATTAGTATTTAGTCTTATCTATAAATACTTTCCTGATCAAATTAAACCAGTAGTATCTGGGATTATCCACTTCTATCGTCTCGTCGTCTACCAAATCAGGTTTCCTGTTTTTAATGTTATCCTGTTGTATAAAGGACCTTCAACCCTAACGTTCGTTACTTTTCTGTCCAATATGATAGACCCATTACGATCAATAAAATGGGGGAAGGGACCCACGAGTTACGTCGTGTGGCAGGAGGGGGAGCCAACACAATGTTACAATAACGTGTTTTTATCCGATAGCGCGAAAGAGTTATGTGCAACATGTCTTTTTGAGTTCAATATTAAAGACTGATTACTTCAACTTTACTTTATCGAATAAGGAAATATGAATTATTACTTGTTACTACTTGGTTTATTATTTCACATGTCCGAAGACAAGATACAACGTCACACAATTTAACAGTCAAATTGAAACGACAGAACATTTTCTATCTATAGGTCTTGTAAAACACTATTCTACGAATTCGTTGACACCAAAGTTAGGCTCGCTATTAATTTTGGCTGTCTTCTTTTCTTTGATTATTTTATAAATAAAGGATTTCTCATATAACAACATTTTTTAATGATATTGAATTGCTATTAACACAGTTTTTGTACTCTAAATAATATTACATATATCCTTGAATTCATAATTATTAACTTTTTATCGTCGAATTCGGTTTTAATAAAAAACGAATGGCCTTGGAATCTTTTGTTTCGTAGATTGTTTCTTACTTTTTAGTAGTAAAAATGACATTAAATACTTTACAACACCACGCCAATTGACAGTTATTTGTAACGTAACTGACAAAATATTTTTTGTCTTCTGAAACTCGTACGCCAAACACATAGCAGACGTGGACACAATATTGATTTTTGTCGCAAAATAGAGGGGGAACCAGTCGAGGCCGACCTATAATAGTATAGTGTGGGTTGAAATGCCAAGTTTGTAGAGGAAAGGAGGGGCCGTCTATTCCGAGAATTCCGAGGGGGATCGACCCTTGATCCCTCCAACGGTCGGTAACAATATTAGATGGGTCCTTTCCTTTAAATAACACGGGCTTGCCACGTCTTGCGTCCCGCTGTGGCTTGAGAATAAAGCCTGGTTCGATATAGAAAATATTTGTAAACCAGAGAAAATTGTAAACTAAAGCAACTTATCTAAGAAGTATATTACTATAACCAAGCAACTTCGCAAATGCCTCCTAGAATCAGGAGGTTGGCAAAATGTTGACTAAATAAAAAATCGAACATTTTTACCGCACAAGGTTTTAATCAGAGAACAGTAACAATCTATGTTGACACCACTGAAAAGGTTTTTATTACTAATTCAACAAAAAAAATCAAATTCGAAAAAAAACTAAAAATTTTTAAATTTTTTTTCTCCAAAAAATTTTTAAATATTTTAAACTTTTTTTTTTAAACCGACTATATGTACAGTATTGTACATATTAAAAAAAATATAAAGAATTAAAGTTATCTATGCCCAATTAGGTTTTCCATTGCATTTATAATAGTAAAAACGTCTGGTTAAATATACAAAAGAACCGACATTTGAAAACATTAATATTTTTTACACGTTATTGCAACATGAAGGCACTTAACTGACTCGGTAGCTCAATTGGTAGAGCAACAGCACGGAACGCTGACGATGCCGGTTAAGTCCTGCCGAGTCGAAAAAATATTTTTAATTTATTTTCGATTTTTAAATAAATACAGACATGTTACAAACAGTCACATAATCTTGTTTTTTTTGTATTTCAAGTGTAAGTTAAGCTTTTAAATAGGTATTAATAAGTTTTAAAATTTTAAAGTAGTAATTCTAAGTGTGGATTTTTTTAAAAAAATTAAGAACTATTTATTGCCCCACCCCCCAATTACCTTTTCTATAAGTTAAGAATAGATAAGGGATGCTGTCAAAATAAAAACTTACCCGTTAGGTTTTTTTAGTTGCCAAGATGATATTAAAGTTATGTTATGTTGTTTATCTCGACCAAGAAAAATATATGCTGTGTTTTAGCTTTTGGGCTATAGAATAGGGTATAAGATAAATCACATAAAAGTTTAATTATTTATTGTTTATTAGGTGTTCCTACTAGATGTTATGTATATGGTTTGAAAATATTTAAAATGAAATATAACAATAAAGGATTACTGATTTTTTTTATTTTGATAATAAAAGAGGAATAAAAGAAGCTTAATCAAACGAATATATGTCGCTTTTAAACGGTTAACAGTGTTTTATTTAAATTTAAAATCCCTTGGTGCCAAATTTAGTACGAATTGAATCTTCTAACAACAACGGTGCGTTAGTTGCGTGGAAATTTACCTACTTCTTTTTTTCATAAATAAGATTATACTATGAGTCTTGGTTATAATAGAGCAATTATCCTCTCCATACTTCTGCCTATTTTTTGATTACAATGGACACAGAATTAGATTAATACGCTATTTTGACTTAACAAATATATAACTCTATATCTCTCCCACTCTCTTGATTTCTAAACTGTCTTATGTCGGAGGAGGGGGGTATTGTGATATAATTCGTGTCTTTTTTTTAAATCATGTGAAAAAAATGATCTAGCAGAAATACCCTTTCGGTGAGCTTGCGTCATTCGTGTCGATCCTTATAAATTTCGACCGCTCTATAGCAGCTGGTTCAGCAAACAGGTATAACTGTAATCCCCCCTTCGGCTACCCCCCTCTGTCTGACCTAGATATTGACCTACGCATGCTACCATGTGGGTAAAATAAAGTTTACTGCGGTACTTGCTACTTATTTATACTGCTGTAAAATAATAATATAGTAGTTTATGCCGTGCCAGCATCCATATGTTTTCTCCATTTTGATATTTTTTTACACTGATATTAAATTCCCGTTCCCCTCGAGGGGCAAGGTGCGAACACATATCTGTGTCCGTTCCACTCATCACTTTCATTTACAAGCGAGCAGTTGATTGGACTCCTGCGCCCTGCCTGAAGGAAACAATCTATTTTTCTCTGGGATTCGAACCCAGAATCGCTCTTTAGCATTGCGTTAAGAGCGATTCTTCATTTGGCTAAAGAGGCGGTCGTACATTAATAGGTGGTGAAGATAACGGTTACCTGCGTCCAGGCAGTTATTGGGATCGAATTCCGGGAATACATTATAGATTTCCATAGGATTGGCGACATGAAAGTTTAATGTTTGGTTAAAAAAACTTTAAATTGGAATCTGTCCAGAAGTCATCGAAATCTTCTAAAAGCTTAAATAAGACGCTATTAAAGTAAAACTGAATCTTAAAAGAGAACATAATTGAATATTGCATTAGATTAAAGTGAAGATGACACGGGAATACCTCAACTCACGACTGATTAGAATTTTAATAAATAATTATTATGGATAAAAGAATTACATATAATTATATAAAATCAACATAATGATTTAAGCTAAAAAGTGTTTAAGCTAAAAATTTTAGTTCAACTTTCAACGCAATATTCCTCCCCTACCACACGTGTCCCAACAAAACTGATTTAATCCCAAGCCCTCTATAATCTAGCACCCCCCTGGCAACGAACCCTCCTTTTTCCCCCCCGTCTCGTAATCCAACCCCCTGGGATCTGCCCTAAATAGGGGAGGGGCTCAGGGCTGGCATCGGTTCGAAATAATAACGCGTTTTTGATGATACCTAGTTAAATGAATAAAATTTTTGTTTAACCCGCTTCTGTCAAATTAATATTATATCGGAGTTATACATTTACAGTATTTAATCTTTATACCCAGACCGACCGAATCAATATATCGTTTTTTTTTTGACCACAGGACCTGTCGTGCAATAGCAGACAACGCATTTTGACAATACCATACTGGCGCCCTATATTTTTTACCTATTTTTGTTTATTTTTACGACTACTATCAGATTACGCTGTATTTTTGTAAAAAATAAAGGAGCAACCCTAGCATGTTAAACATCGATCTACTGTTGCCCTGTACATTTTGTGCTTAATATGTAACTCGTTAAACATATTTACTTTAATTTTACACTGTACTCCAAAGTCAAGCATAGTCTCCTAAAAGCATTGTTTTGATCCATTGACATATTATGAACGACTACTTTTTATAAATAAAAAACGTTAGATGCAAAATGTCCACTGTCTTCAGAATTCCACATGAAGGAGCAAATGCTGGTTCACGTCAACTTGGTGCATCTGAAGAGCTACGAGCAACAAAACAACTTGTCTCAACTGCAGAGCCTGCTCGGTAACGACATCGAAGTTGAAGTGCTGGTAAATATATTGATAAAAGTTTTTATACGCGTTGTTTAGTATTAGGAATGGTAGGTCACAGGTGACTGCTGGGGAAACAATCGATTTTACGTAAATAGTTTATCCCTGAAACTATATACCGTTCATAGTGAGCATAAAGGCATATGCTAAAATTTTCATTTCAAATTTTCTAGTACCACTTCAAGTTGCCTGGGGTGGGTGGAAAGTGTCAAGTGAACTCGTTTTTGTTTGTCCTCTATCATAAAAAAAGATGTTTCTTTTTTTTTTTTTTTTTTTTAATTAATAAGGGTTTTTTTTTTTTTAATGTTCGTCCAAAAATATCTCAGTGATAATGTGAACGTTCAACTAGCTATGTGGACGAACTCTTTTTTGAGCTAGCAAATCAATAGTTACTGTGACTAGATTTTATCGATCCCCAGAATAACGAACAAGAATTGCTCGTGCCACGCGCCATCAAAGAGGAACGTGCGCACGAGTGCCCGATCTGTCACCGCAAGTTCAAGCGGAAACAGCACTTGAAGGTGCACGCCAACGTACACCTTAGGAACAAGCGGGACTTCTTCTGCAACACCTGCCATGAAGGTAACCCACTAAAACGGATTTTTGGAGGGATCTAATTTTATATAGAAATATTTTAATATATAAATAACGCAATGTCGTTTAATTTACACGCACATTTTAGTGTTGTCATTCTATTGTATTTTCTAACTATAATTACGTAATTTTTTCTTAATTCAAAAAAAAACCCCAGCCCAAACTAGGCAGATGTAATGAAACTTATCGAATATGCTCTTATCCAAAGCAAGTTACATTGAAAATATATATTTATTTAATGCTTCAGGTTTCCGAGATAGAAATGAATTCGCGAATCACGTGTGCCCAAATAAGGAGGAAAATCAAAATGGCGGGTCCGAGAACGAGCTCGAACAAAATGGCGAATATGAAGAGACCAGCTACGATGAGTCATCACCTAATGGAAGAAAGGAAAATTATCCCCAAGACTTACTTGAGGTGTGGAAACTTAACAATTTTCCATATGTCCTTGAAAATGATGGCACTATCCTTACTAATATTATAAATGCGAAAGTAACTCTGTCTGTCGTGTGTTACTCTTTCACGCCAAAAGTACTGAACGGATTTGAATGAAATTTGGTACACAGATGGTCTAGACCCTGAGAAAGCTCTTTTTTATTGCGAAAAGGGGGTTGTAAGGAGGTTAAAAGGGGGGGGTAAAAGTTTGTATGAAAATTCGTGGTTTTTGAAGCTAGAACAATGAAACTTTCTTCTTTGGCTTTTTAGGTATAGGAGTGGGAGTTAGAGTAGAAGTGATGTGAGTTGAGAATGTTGCGACAAAGAAGCACTTACAACATAGATTGGCTGCCTTAAATGCTAGTCCTTACATAAATTAATAAACAGCCAAAATAATTAAAAATTCTAACCCAAGTCACTATTCCACGCGGACGAAGTCGCGGGCACAGCTAGTATATAATAAAAGTTTGCTTCAAGGGTACAGAGTACCAGAATTAGTACATAGCAATACACAGTATGTACTCGATTTAGGTAGTTGTAATATTGTAGAATTATGAGTCGATGATAATGGTCGCAATCTATCGACAGGGCTTGAGTTCGAACCCCACTGGGTACAACATCTTTCTAATCCATTTATAATTCTCTGAAAGGCGTTGAGCTTCGTCTGGAAAAGCCGTGAAGTGAATCGCGTTTCGATTCCAAGTCTGGAGATTTTAAAATATACAGAGGAAAAATAGGTCGACTGAGATGTTATATGGCTGATTACAGCTTGCATCAATCGAACTCTACGCTTGCTTGTTCTCCTCGATCACTAAAAGTCAGTTATCTGTTTTGACATGTGTAAATGAGATAGCAAGCTTATTCATATAAGCTTATTATTAAAAATGTTTTTGTTTTATTTTATTTAGTCGATTATTTCAGGTGGTGGTGGAAGAAGCGGTAATACCGAGTCCGATGCGCGTTTTCGTCTGCAAGTACTGTGGCAAAGCGTTCCGGCGGAAAGATCACTATAAGATACATTTGCACATACACACGGGTCACAAATCGTTCTTCTGTCCCACTTGTGGGAAAGGTGAGGTTTTGGTTATTATTTAGAAAGTGCTAATGTTACTAATCATTTTTGCTGATGATCAAGCTTATAATAGATCAGTTAGGTTAGTATTAAAATTTGCAAACATGGATTCCAGGTTTCTATCGTAAAGATCACCTTCAAAAGCATATGATAGTCCACGCGAAAAGCAAACTCAAGGTCGCGCCTAGGTCTCCGCAACTCCCGGTTTATCGTGAGATTTTCAGCAGCCCAGCGCCGTCACGCAACAGAAACGCGACATCAAAGAAGAAGCAGATACCGGGACTGCTTCCGATTTCGACGAAAAAGGAGAAAGAGAAGAGGGAGGTTAAACCGGAAATCACCATACATGTAAGTAAAATGAATGAAAGCTAGTAGAATATTTAAATAAAACACTATAACGGTTTAAAACGGGATATATTAGTTAAACTTATTTGATAATGATTTTTAACTTCGGCCCGACGTTTCGGATGCTTTGCAGCAGCCGTGGTCACGGGGAGACATTTTCAAATAAGTTTAACTAATATATCGCGTTTTAAACCGTTAAAGTCTTTTATTTTAATGTGTACTACTCGCGTAAACTATAGACAGTAGCTAGTAGAATAAATAGTCGGTTCGACCTGTTTACAATGTTTGAATGATAGACGGGGACGGACAAACGTGGGGTTCGCTTGATAGTAGGTAAATACCCCAGCCTATAGCTTCTAAACAAGATGCGCTGTCGGCCCATTTTGGCATAAGATATTCAGAAATCAACGGACTGTAACTAAAAGGCGAAGTTTGCTTTTTCATCTTTCGACGGTGGTTCGTGATCCAGGAGGAATTTTGATATTCCTACCAACCATTTAATATGGAGATTTCCAGACGAAGTCCAACATGTTTCAGGAAAATTATAAATTGGTTAGGAAAATGTTGGACCTGGTGGGGATCGAACCCACCAACCGTTATTAGCCGTAACATGGCCCATTACACCACACCAGCCCGTCACCTTTTTTGCAATAGATTTTCAATTCATTGTAACACCTTCAGGCGCCATCATCTGCTAAAATCCTGATGCCGCTTCAAATGAAAGTGCCCTACCAGATGGTGATGTCATTGGACAATGGGGAGCAGCGTGCGGTCACAGTGGACCCCACCGTGGACGATTCTAATGACGAACAGGATCCCCTCGAGGATATGGAGACGGCTATTCTCCCAAATTGAGATACCAGGATTGTGGTGATGTTGTGGTCTTCATTATATGGGAGAAATTTCTATCAAAATCTCACCCATGTCTATTTTGAAGGAGAAACTTTTTATTTTTAAAGTACAAGTTTAGTTTCTTTTACCTTCAGTTTTATTAAAAAAACATGGCAAAGGACAAAAGTGCATTCTTCGCGTTTTTAGTATTTTTGAGGAGAATTTGTCAATTTTAGAACTGGCCTAGAAGTGAGTACGTTTTTTTAACCCATTGTTTATTTGTGGCCTCAAATGGGCGTTCACCTGCAGTCCCCGTTAACTTCTCTACATAACAATCTACTAATTGGGTTGTACTCTATACACACCTTGCAAAAATCGGAGTGAAGCCGGTATTATTAATAATAATAAATCGGTTGTTACCGCGAGAGACGTTATCTAAGTTAAAGTGATAGCTTAATACTTTGTAAATTATTAATAATAGTTATGATAAATATGAAATATTTGATATTATATGTAAGAGATTATTTGAAAATTTTCATAGTCGGTAAGTGATGTATGTTGTGTATATTTAAATAAATTGCAGATATTTTAAAAAGTGGTGTTTTTCTACAAATTTACTTAATTGTTAAAAACGATTAGTAATGAGATTTAATGACGTGTTATTTTCTTTTTCAGATTCTAACTCGTGAAAAGAGAAAGAGACATTCGCAATATTTATTTTGGCCAGGATCCAAAATTGGTATATGAGAATTTTTAATATTGTTCCTATTTCATTTATTTAAAGTAAATACTAATATATTCACTATGGATATAGCAGCCGATGATACTATAAAATAGGAGTAAAAATTGATATTCAAAAAAAACCGGTATTAATTATAATTTATATTTACTATCTTCGAGCCTTGAAAGCGAGTATATAACCAACTTTGTACTGAATTATCCTACTTTATACATACATAAATTCGAGTCTAAATAACATTTCTCTAAAATAACATCACAAATTGGCAATAATTTTGATCACATTTCGAAAATTCAATGTCGCCTAAGTTAAAACAACAATTTCAATAACAATTTTAAAATGTGTATAAACAAATTATCCTTGCAGTATAACCGATGTAAAATATTTAAATAAATTAAATAAGTTTTAAGCGTCATTTACATGCACTACCTTTTAGGTACATATAATAACATTTAGTATTATTTATCTTATTCAGAAATCGTCCATTGCGCCATGTCAAGATGGTTCTAAAGTAGGAGCGGGTGCCACCTAGAAGATTGATAAATATTTCAATAAAGGAGTATATACAATGAGGTCTAATGCTGACTTCTTTAATAAAATAAATGTGAAGACTGGTCCCTTTTTTACTCTCACGCTTACTGCACGATGTAATTCATTAGTTAGCATAAATACTATCATTAATAAATTTATATATTAGTGTGATAACCTCCTTGAGAGACACGTACACGTTGAAGCTTATCAAACTCTGTGCTCTAACAGACAAAATTTATTAGTGACTGCACCACGTCATGAGTGCACATAATTTACCTGTGAAAGAGGTGGTGTAGTGGTCTCTTGCGATAGCTCTGCTTTGACCCGCCGAGCGATATGCGAACGCGTGTGTTTCCTCAAATGATCCTTGCGATAGAAACCTTAACAAAGATTTCCAATATTAGATCTGAATATGGATAGAAAAATATTAAAAAAATAAATAAGATAAAAAACGTTTACTTCTATTTGTATTTTCCAAGGTTTTCCAAAATGACAGATGTTATAAACAAAAGAATAAGCTTTTCAAGAATTGAAGAAGGGGTATTTCAATGTAAAGCAACGCGATCCAATATTAAAATGTCCGGTATTTAATTAAAAAACGGTTTATAACGCGATATATATTAGTTAAATTTATTTGAAAATTATAGCATATCATCCGAAACGTTAGACCGTAGTTAAAATAAGTTTAACTAATATAAATCGCGTTTTAAACCGTTAAATCATTTTATTTAAACGTGTACCACTCGCGTAAACTACACACAGTGTTTTATGTTCAGTTATTTCAAAACAAGTAAAAATAGAGAATGTATAATGAATTCTTATACCTTTGCCACACTCATTACACACATGCCTCTTCTCCCCGGAGTGAATAATGAAGTGGAGAGTGAGCTGCTCCTTACGCTTGAAGGCTTTCAAGCAGACGGAACAGACGTGGGGCCGCTCAGCGTTGTGAGACTGCTTGTGACGCGTCAGGTGGTCCTTTCGCTTCAGAGCTGCGTTGCAGATGTCACAGATGAACCTGTGGCAGAGATATCTATATTAATTGTTACCATGGTTACTAATTATTTTGTAAATATACAGCGTCATACGCAATTCTTTGTCTAAATTTCTTGAGCGTTGCATGCGGGTAGAATTGTAAAAATAATGTTGATTTGTATAGTGTTTTCAAGTGAGTGATCTTGTACCTTTTTGAGAAAAAATGTATTTAAACCTTAATATCAACGGTTGTGGATTCAATCCCCACGGAACCAACATATTTCTAACAAAGTATCGCTTTTCGGTAGATTTCCGAATTTCTAAAGCCAAAATAGGCTGATAGAGCGTCTAGATTAGATGGTATATGGCTGGGGTCTATCACCTTCCAACAAGTATATCCCATATTTGTTAGTTCTTCTCTTTTATAAAAAAAGATCTACAACCACACAAGGCCAGCGCCTTCTTAGTTTCAGACTTAACTTTTTATGTGATGTAATTTCTTTTTATTATAGAGAAGGGCTTAATGGTAGGAAAAATACTTTCTACCTACTTTGGGTTTGGATATTTGGATGTGTATGTTGCAAATGGGCCAGAGCTTGTAATTAGTTTTTATAATTGCAATAGTTTAATTATTTTTAGAACTAATAACATAACGTACTTCCTTTCCATTGTGTGACCTACAAGATGTTGATCGACAAGGTCTCGTTCTGGGTAAGCCATGTGGCATTCTGGGCAGCAGTACAGTGTGCTTCCGTCTGAAAAAGGTTAATAGGAAAATGTAGATATACTCTGTTTGATTTTAATAAAATCATTCCTCGTTAATTATCAAATGAAACATTAAAGGATCTGAAATGCAATAGGCATCTACGTAAAATAACGATTTAAGAATTTTTGTCAAACTTATTCAAAGCCATTATGCATGGTAAAGAAACTATCTTATAATTTTCCTGATATTTCGCGGAGCATTTTCATGATTTTTCTCTTCATGCTCGAGGAAAATCTTAGCTCCTGTTTTATGAGACTTGACAGTTTATTAACTTTTAAAGATTTAAAGGAAGAATTCAAATTTGTATATATTCGTAAGTTGTGTTTTTTTTTATTTAAATATAAATCGATTTTCATGTACCTAGTGCTGTGGTAATCCTTATCTCGCCTGGCTTCGGACGCGGCTTCTTCACTTGTATCTCTTTCTTCTTCTTCTTTTTCCTACCGTTGCTGTAGTAGAGCGTGTTTGCGATAGGTGCTTCAATTGTGTTCGTGCCTTGCGTGTGTGTATTAGCTGATGTGTTAATAATAGATGTGTTCTGTACTACAACGCTGTTCTCGTTGTTTGGCGTTATTTGCTAAAGAGAAAAAAACATATACTGTCTGTAGTTTACGCGAGTAGTACATACTTAAATAGAACATTTTTAATGGTTTAAAACGCTAAACATATGAATCCACCCGTGATCGCTGCTGCATAGCATCCGGAATGTTAGCCTATAGCTAAAATAAACTAAAAATAAGTTAACTAATACATTGTGCGTTTACAACTGTTAAAAATGTTTTAATTTATTTTTGTTCCTTAGAACTGCCAACAACATCAACTGCTATCAAGATTGCTTATAGCTGTCATGCAGATGTTTGACATACCTGTGTCATGGTAGCAACAGCTGGTGTAGTTGCTGTAACAATCGTCGTTTGTTCTTCTCTCTTCTCCGCTGGAGCAGAGTACTTCAAGAGATGGTGGAGAGGAAGTGGTAAGGCCGCCAAATAGTCTGCCACGCCGCTGCCTATTGTCTGCCAAGTGCCATCAGATACGTCTCCAATACCTGGTGAATAGTATAAACACTAACAGAAAGATATTGTGTCAGTTTTACCTATGGTTTCTTTAGTATAGAAAGAAAGGAGTCCGTCTGTACGTGGACAAAGACACCGGCACAACTAAGCATGTTAGGCATGGCCGGGGATGGCGCTGGTGGATGGATGGATTGTGTCATATTGTATGCTTTCATTACCACCCGTCTTTTTTTTGCTAATTACTGTCAGTACAGTAAAAAATCTATTTCTTAGCTGTTTATACATTATTACCCAACAGTATCTTTTATATCTATTGAAATTTTATATGTGAGCTAATGAGAAATGTATCAAATATCGGACTGTGTGACGGAAGTTGTCATAAACGGTGAGCAAATAATTACCTACCGACATTTTAAATGTTCTTTGACCGATTTTAAAAGTAGTTTTATTGGCTACGGCTTTCGTTGCGACTTTAAAATTAACCGTATAAAATGAAGCATGCTAACAACAGCCACTAGTGAAATACGTATCCTTGTAAAAGAGACAATGAAAGTTAGAGTTTTTAACATATAAAAAAGCTGTTGCTATTTCTAACAATATAGTATTATTTAGATTATCTTGTCTTTCTTGTTGTCTAGCTCTAACTTTCATGAGATTACTTTGAGGTCTTTTTAAAATACTTCACACACAGACACAAACATTACAGATAAAGCAGTGAAATTTGATATCTGTGGAGTGCGATGGATTGTAAATACTGTCTATAGTATGATTTTTATTAGTATTATATTAAACTAATATATCGCGTTTTAAACCGTTAAAATGTTTTATATAGATGTAAGTAAATTATTAATTTTTGCCATTGTATTGGGCGACCAATGATCTGTCTTGACTAAGTGATTTTGAGAAATGCGTGAAATGGTTTGCAGCTAGTGTGGACTGATTACCCGGCCATCTATCAAATTTGGTAATATATTATATTAAATTCTTGTACTGGTAGCCGATTAATTCTATAATCTAAACTTACTAATAAATTCAGCAGGCGCTGCCGTAACAGTCCTGTCTTGCCTGACTTCTTGCTTGAGGGCTCGAGCTAACGCCGCCGCCTCTTTTGGTTCATGTAGTACCACCAACAACTGCTGCGTTCCTTGCTGAAGTGGTGCTTGGGTTACTGCAATTGAATTTGGACTGAATACACATCCCCATAGACCATGGCGCAGACATATTTCTGTGTCTGTTTAACAGTGAAAACTATATAGTCGAGTTATTATAGTTATGTGTATAGAGAGCTGTGCTTCTGCACTATTAATTTTAGAACCTTAGACCGCGGACTTTGGCAGATATTGGTTTTAACTTTTATAGAATAGATAGAATGTTTTTCTACCATGAGAACAACTATAAGAGTTACGCAAAAAAGCTATTAGCGTTTTAGAGCTGTTGGACATTCGTAGCTGATAAATGGTTCTCGATGTTTCGCCATCTTGAATGGATGGTGTCTTCAGATGTTGAGCGTTTCTCATCGAATTACATCGATTGAAAATAGCATTTCCCATTACATTATCGAATTTTGGTTAGACGTTTCAAACTTGAATATTAAATATAATTAAACCTTCTTGGTACAGTAAGAAAAAAAGAACATAGTATAGTCATAGTAACTTATTTCCACCAACTTACCCTGCTGCTGCTGCATCATAGTTGCCATTATATCGTGCTGCAATTCTTCCCTGTACTCCCTTTTGTCCCGATCACCCTTCAAGTGGTCAGATTCTGATACATATTGGCCGCTGTACGCAATATTGCCAACATTCACTGTTGACGATGATGTAATGGTCTGGTACTTTACACCTGTAAATAAATGTGTTATGAAAATTCGAGCATCACTTAAAATTTAATAACATACGAACCTACATTGAATGTACTGGCATCTAATTTATTATTATAGTTCTTTTGAAAAATTAAAATGAACTATTTTTAACGACCGCGTGTCGAAAATGATTTTTATATAAAGTACGTTTGTCTCGCTCTGGCTGGTTGGGGTTTAAACTGGACTTAGATATATAATTATATCGAAAAATCTCACCAGCTGGCATAGTTCCAATCCCGGCCAAAGTAACACCACCCGGTTGAGGATTGCTCATCACTACAACGCTCTCACCCTGACGAAACTTCATGGAGTCCACCACTCCGGGTGCCACCGTGAACTGGACCCCAGGAGTTTGATATCGAGTCTCTTGCACCACGCTCCCATTGACCCCACCATTTTCATATCCAAACTTAGCCGCGAACTGCTGAATCGTAGGCAGACCCGTCCCAGACGGTACGTGCCCCGTAAATGGGGCGAAGTTCATCGCGTATCTGAAAGCATTAAGCGTGTAAGGGTGTTGCCCCATAGGGCGACCAACCCCCGCCATACTGCCTCACCCCAATCGTAATTCCCAGCGCTTTATTTTTACCTTTCCCACACCATTCCTACCCACCACAGCACCCGCCGCGGCCGGCATTAGTGAGTCGTTTGTTTTGGGATTATTATACAACGCTTACCTTATCGCAGCCTTCTTGATGGATTCGCAGAGGTTTTCACACGCGAACGGGCCTCAAATATAGATGGGCGCGAATGGCGGAATGCGCTGTGGCTGTGCGCAGTGGATTGCACATGCGCAAACACTAGACGTGGGGCGGCCACCCAATGACAACGTGTGGGTCCAATATCCCTTGCGAGCTCAATGAATGGCCAAGGGGATGAGAATGGCCTCCCCTAACTTCTATGCACGAGGTATTTGTGAGGTTTATATGCGTGCTAGACGCACAGCGTCGCACACCTGGGTTAGACGATAATTTCCACTTTCGGTGTATGTCGTTAAGATAATTATTTTTGTAAACTAGAAACGCCTTTGAGAATTTGGGGTGTACTCACAATAAAATGTCAAGTATAATAAAACACGTCTATAAAAAAATCAGCAACTTTATTCTTTAATCTCGTTAATAAATAAGTTTTCATACAAAAAGTACAAAGCGAACGCTAAGTTCGACGCACCTTAACATTTATAATACTTGAAACTACATAATTAAAGGTTAACTTAAAAAAAAAACTTACTGGTACAAAAAAGGTACTAAAATATTCGATTTTCAAATTTGTAAAAAAATCTCCGACGATTTCGCGTGGAATTTAAAATTCATATCCACCCGCATATTAGGGTCTTAAAATTAATGGCTTCTCAAAAAAATATATACAACTTATCGAAGAATTTTTCGTCTCGCTCTAACTCCTTAGCGCGACAGAGACAAAACATATCAGCACAAAAGAAGACTTTTGGAGCACCTCAAACATTTACTAAGTATAACAAAACTGTCATACAACACATCTTAAGTACAAAAATATAATTCGAAACTACTATACACTTAAAGCTGCTTGTGATGCCATGTTACTTAACGATTTGCTTACTGATAAAAAGGAGATTTAGTACCGAGTTGCATATGTCATAGTTAGACAATCTTCTGCTGTAATGTTTTTAAGTATGGCAAGAAAACTCCCCATTCATTTAATGTGTTCTATTCATAAATCGTTTCGATTGTCTGCAGGGTTAAGTGCTGTTACATAAATATATATAAACAACATAATTGAGAAATGATTTTTATCACAGTGAATATTTACAGTACGCGACATCGAATAAAATTATTTGGAAGGAATTGTGCGTGTCGTAATTACAAATTATGTGTGTTTCTTAGTGTTTTAAAGCATATAAACTAAACTTTTACAACTATTTCATCTTTCCCTTCCGGGTGAATTGTTTCTTGTCAGTTGCAGCGGTTTTAAAATTTAACGGTTTTAAGCAATAATTATATCAACCGTTAATTTAAAATAATGACGTCATCTTGGTTAATGGTTAGCGCCATCTTTATTTAGGACTACGTATATTTAAATAAAACACTTTAACGGTTTCAAACGGGGAGACCCCCGTGACCACGGCTGCTGCAAAGCATCCGAAACAACGGGCCGAAGTTAAAAATCACTTTCAAATAAGTTTAACTAATATATCGCGTTTTAAACCGTTAAAGTGTTTTATTTAAATGTGTACTCCTCGCGTAAACTATAGACACTACGTATATTACAAACTACCCACCCATTTTTAGAGTTGCTAATTTTGACACGAATTGAGATGTACATTTTCAAGTCCTTAGCTAGATTATAAGAAATTGTCATGTGTGGAACTCTAACAGCGCATGCCTCAGCTTCAAAGTAGACACGTAATTAAACTTATTGCTACTGTACGGTGGACGGACAATAAAAAGAAGCTCCAATCTCAGACCTAGAAATAATCTTGTGAATTCAACTGTAAATAGACGTGTTGATATATAAGAAAAACAAGGGCAAACATTTCGGTACCATATTTCGCTTATAGATATTGATAAAACCAGCCTTTTGTCGAAAATCAACTCTCAGTATTTGTCTTATACAAACACATCTAGAGGCACATCTTAATTAATCAATGTGTCAAAATGTGTCACATTTTATTTTGGAAGATACTGTATGAAGTTTACGCGGGTAGTACACATCTAAAGGAATCGCTTATAGAGTTTAAAACACGTAATATATTCGTAAAACTTATTTATCATCCCCCCACGTTTGGTTGCTTCGCAGAAGCCATGGTCACGGTGTTGTAAATAAGTCATTTAATCTTTCGCGTTTTGAACCGTTAGTGTTTTAGACAAAGTTGTTAAGTTTTGTGAGATTTAAGCAAAAAATAAATAAATATACCTGCTTTATATAATATGTTTAAGTGTTGCTCTAGTGCTTCATTATTCATTTATTTTTTCATTAACGTCATTTCTTTATCTCCTAAGCTGGCAATAATTCAAATACTTAAGAAATTTGTTAGTCATTAACCGAATGATAAGAAAATTTGGACAACAAAGGCGAACAAACCTTGTGAAAACTACAAGTAAGGAATAGCTATTTGTCTCTTTCCTACAAATCTTGCCCGAGAGTGACAAAACATTAAACTCAGTTCCCACTTACACGATGTTGCATTCAAACTAGACTATATACAACTTACTATACAAGTAATCACGATTTTAAAAATACTTAAGTAGACCATATTGCTAAGAGTGGAGTATTAATGTTTAAAGCGATAATGTTCATAAAATTAACTGCGATATTTTAGGGGCAGATTATGCTGGCACGTACTGACATTTGGAAAGTTTAAAATTTATTCCCATTAAAGTCTATATATTTCAAACGTGCCTGTATAATTTACCGCTCGTATGGAATTTGCTCTCAAACGCACCAATATTCGGCAAAATAACATTACTCTCTTATTACTGATAAAAGCTATAGAATTGTACTTTCATAATTTTGATTAAAAAAATATTTTAACGACAAAACGATTGACTGGAAATAGTGGTATTCCGAATTTAAAGATTTGTAAGGTAACTGGAAGCGGTGTATTGAAGATGCCTCGTTGGATGCGCACGCGCCATCGCAGTGGACAACGCGAAGCGCCAGGTACTGCGTGGGATCACTCAATCACTCGCTGTCGCCAATTTCGCTCTCATTATCTGAAATACACTTTGAATTATAAATTTATCCCCTGCTATAAATCGAGGAGCAAGAATAAAAAAATAAAGAAAATCCTTTTAATTTGTTGAAAACTATGAGAGTTATTGATCATTTAACTAAAATTAGTTACAAATACACAGTTTGTTCCACCTTGTCTATTTACATTTATATCTAATATATAAAATTCTCGTGTCACAGTTTTCGTTGCCATACTCCTCCGAAACGGCTTGACCGATTTTGATGAAATTTTTTGTGCTTATCCGGTATCTATGAGAATCGGCCAACATCTATTTTTCATCTTCCTAAATGTTAGGGGTAGTCCACCCTTGATTTTAGATATTTTTTAGACCAAATATTTAATTTTTAATGATACAACATACAAAGATACATACAATCCTCAATTTTTACCCTTCTACGATCAGCCCTTATATTTTAATTGCCATTTTAGTAAAATTATTTATATGGCAAAACAACGTTAGCCGGGTCAGCTAGGTAACTAATATACATTTACATATATAACTAATATTTTGTCTTAAATAAGTGATATCTCAAGTTATTTTGCACTGTAATGCATTAAATTTATGTAATAAAAAAAAGCAAGTTTCGCTTGAAAACTCATTGTTTAAAATATGTTTTTGTTACGTGAGTGTGTTTTTGTGTTTATATTACTGTATGAATCCCTTGGTTTATTCGCTATTGGATCTCACCAGTCTCATCTGTGTGTCACGTGTGCTGCGCCAGTATAGCGTCCAGTTGAGCGTCGGTGCAAATAGACCCGTTGGTCACGTCCGACGTGGTAGTAGCGGTCCCGTCGGACCCACTCGAGCGCAGTGACGTCAGCACGTGCTGTGGGATCTTTATCTGTACGGGCGCTTGGACGTTGGAACTTGTAGGCACCTGTAATATCCATAATATATATGCATGCCTTAGAAGAACATTCAAGAAGGCATACATTCATCTGGCCTAACATAACGCCCGAGAAAATATCTACTGTTTAGTGGTCTCCCGTTTTTAGTTATTTTATTTTTAATTAAAAACAACTTTGTTTAAATCATAATCTGTATATCGACGACTTAAGATGAAATTAATAAAAATTACTTCCTGTTTGTTGAAAATTGATGTGACAAATAATAACCTAATTGGATTCGTTTTGTTGTGATCCACAAAGTTTCAGAGAAGAGTGGATGATGTAGATCATAAACCAGATGATTAGCTTTTGCTTAAGACACGTAGCTTAAATAAGCTACGCGGTTTCTTTACAGATATATCAATTCAAAGTCGCAATAATATCCTTACGTGTATAGTGATCTCGGGCAATATGGCGTTACTAGTATTCGTATTGATCTGCGCCGGCAACGGTTTGACCTCAAACATTTCACTGTTCGCCTCGTCCTTAGCGCGCTTGCTTTCGTGCGATCTTGTGTGCTTCCGCAGGTGGTCTTTGCGGTAAAATCCTATAAGTAAACATTAGAGTTAGTTTGAAGACCACTTAGCATTTCTTCTGTAGCCTCAAAAAGTCGCTTTATATGACATTTTTTCATGTCATATATATACTTTCTAAAATTTGTTGTATTCTTAAACGAATCTTATTATCTGATAACGATTGAATAGAGAAAAAAAATTACCACTTATATTTTTGTTTTCCGTTTTAGAGTTATGTGAGAAAGAGATAGCGCTCTATTAATTCGTTTGTGTGATTAAACAATACTTAGTCTTTAAAAACTTGGATATTTGTTTTACAGTTGAGAACGCTCTGTAATCTAACCTTTTCCACACTCGTTACATCTCTCGCTCTTGACTCCCGAGTGGATGACGATATGTAAATTCAAATGCTCCCGTCGTTTGAATCCCTTCCCGCAAACTCCGCAGACATACGGCCGTTCGGGGTTGTGGCCGAGTTTGTGACGCTCCAAGTGTTCTTTGCGCTTCAGTCTGTCAAAGATATTCACATCTTTTAAATAAAAACAACGGTTATTTTGTGTTTTAACGGTTTATTTTGTAGCCACATTGTTTTGTAACCACGCCTGCTGCAAAACTTTATTATTAATTATTACTTTTCGTTCGATCCCCACGTGTTTCTTATCTATTTTTCTGATTCACGTTCGTCTGGAAATCTGGATATTTTAACAAGTTTAATTTTATGATTGGTATAACATATAGGTAACAACTTACCCCGCCCCACAGATCCCGCATATGAACCGCCTCTCGATCTGGTGCACGCTAAGATGCACCTCGAGGTGCTCCTTCTCGGGATAGGCGTTCTCGCACTCGGGGCAGCAGTAGATGGGTGAACCGTCCGCTGCCGTCGCGATTACCACCTGTCCCGGCTTGGGCCTCGCGGGCCGAGCCGGTTTCTTCTTGTACTTCTTCTTCTTCTTCGCTGGCGAGCCTAAAAGTCCGTGTGATTTATTATAGGAAATGCATTTTTTTGTGATATGTGATACATTCGTATTTTGAATGTGTACTTTTTTATGATAGAGGACATCGGTTTGCGGTATTCTTACCACCAATTTAATATCCAGATTTCCAAAAGAAGTTCTTAGAGGAACTTAAAAATTTGAGTTTTAAAACTAGAAATACTAACTATTAGAAAAATGTTAAACTCGGTGGGGATAGGACCCACAACCCGCCTGCTAGCACTATACGTAAATATTTTGCTAAAATATACTAATTTGTTCATACAAAAACTGTATATAGACCTTCGGTTAGAATGTCATCTTTGCTGTCTTGTTCGGCTGTTTCATCATTCGCCACGCTACTTTCCGTGTTATCTTTCTCCATGATGATTGTCTTCTTTGTGTCTGTTGGATTCAGTCTCAGAAACTGCTGAAGCGACACTGGCAAGCCTTGCGTTTGCTGAAACGTAGAAAAGAAATTATTCTTGTGTAGTTTCTTAACAGGTGTTTGTGACAAATGGGAGAATAAGGGAAATTATGAGAATCTAATTATAACATATACTTCTATATAAGAATAAGACAACATTTTTGTCTGTCTTAATATTTCTGATATGTTATTGCACATGCACTATATTAACTAAAATTGATTATAATTTTAAAATGTATGTCATGGGCAGGACTGTATACTGTATATTATATATATATGTAGCCCAGCGGGCGGTGTGGATGCCGGTTCAACTCGTTTTTTTTTTTTTTTTTCAATTTATAATCGATTTTTAAATTAACACATGCCTTACTTTTCTTTTATAGATACATCTTTGGTTCAACTATTTCTTACCTGAGGTGGCAACGTGTATAAGTATTTGACGAGATCCTGTTGCGAGTTGAAGATTTGTCCATCGCTATTCTCAGTGCCTTGCGAGTCCTCCTGAAACGTACCATCAAGACTCGGATCAGAATTGACTCTGATTAATATAATACAAAAAAAACGAGCTTCCTTAAATTGAAAACGAACTATAGCTTCAAACACATGTTGATGAAATAAAGGAAAAGTGGACGAAATTAAGTACCGAAATCTCAAACGCAGAGAATTTAAGAGATGGGAAGACCCAAAATGGCTAAGAGTGGCAATAGATAGACAACGAATGGAAGATTTTAGAGGAGGCCCATGTCGAACTACAAATTGTTTCTATTGTTAACAATAAAGACGAATAAAATATTTTTTTATAGACGCAGGCATATTATGAAGGTTTATAATAGTTTTAAATCCAACGTCCTGTGTTAGAATACTATGGAAGCATGATACTTTGTTTCGGTTGGGCATAGGAGGACATTTACCACAGAAAGCGGCTAAGCTCTCTTGTAAGTACTCACATCATCATTCTCTTCGCATTCCTCCTCCTTGATGATGACGTCAGACTCATTGTTGTTGTTATTGTTGATCACCGGTTTTATGTCTTCCGGATTATTTATTATGATTTGATGATTTTGCGCCAGGAACATCTAAATAAATAACACAATAAAATTAAAATATACATACATAATTAAATAAAATGCTTTCAACGTTTTAAAAGGGGACAACATATAAATGGTAGCTTAACTTATAGAGTTACAGTCATCCAAAATATTTTATAAAAAAGCGTTTATGTTATTAGGCATAGTGATAATAAAAGAAATTTTAACGTTAACGATTTTTTTTACGATTAGATAGAATTTGATGGTTTCAAACTTCGCTGGTCGACCATACAACAGTTAGGCCACTGTAGAATTTGATAAACTGAGTACTAGTTTAAGGGTTACGTAACAAATGGGTTAAAACGGAACCTTTTGTGTAAGAGTCCCATTTACATTTGATCAGTTTTTTTTTTAATATTTAGTTATATACCTGCTGCTGTAATGCCTGCTGAGTATGTTCCTTGCTGTCCTGCAACACTTGTATGTCCTGAGGCAGCGTGGCCACCACTTGCAGCCCTAAAAGCACAACGTAAATAAATATATAATATACGAGGAATGTTTGATGTAAGTATTTCGATATCTGTTTGAGTACAATCACCAATGTAAAAGCGGCGAAGAGAAGCGACAAGATTAAAATAAAACTAAGTAGTTTAGTGGAATGGAATGGAATTTTTTTAATTGTGCTACAAAATTTTCCCAATAAGAATTTTTCATTTAGAATGAGAAGTTAATCTATCACCATTATAAATGAAAGACTAGTCGAAGGAACATGCAAAAAGTCTCTTGTTACCAACCACTGCCTCACCCATAAATTAATTATAATTCGCCCACCGAAATGTTGCGTCCTTTTTCTTGAAAAGGTAGGAGAGACAGAACGTTATAAATAACCATTCCGATGAATAGACCAGCATGCATTTATATTGTCTATGGTTTACGCGAGTGGTACACATTAAATGAAACACTTTTAACGGCTTAAGCCCCGAAATATATATTGTTAATTGATTTTTAACAGCGTCCCGTGATACCGGATGGTTTTAAGCAGTGGTGGTTAGAGGATAGCGTTTTAAACCGTTAAAATTGTTGTGGATTTTAAAGGTCACATATAATTCGTTAACATTTCACAGATTAGGTAAATATATAAGAGGTAAATTATTCACCTGGTCTTATCCTGAATGTACCTGAACAACGGAATATGTTTGTTAATTTATTTACACACGTATTCAGCATAAAGCAATTAAAAGGCATATTTATAGTTGCTATACAGTGCTTTAAAAACATAGCATAGCATAAAAAATGGAAAATTTTAAAATAATTTAAAGGATCATTAATTATAAAAAAAAACTGAATTAAAAAAAATTGTGACTGAAAGATTCCTATGTTAGGACATACTAAGTGTGTTATTTTATATACCTATATAAAATGCTTTTCAAATAATAAATACAGAATAGAAGCACAGAAGACTTAGACCAGAAAGTAATTATCAACTGTGGGGCAAATCGTATCGCTTAAATGAGAATTGCCCCCCCGAAATAACAATGGTCTTTATATAAGGTATAATTATTTATTATATATTACTTTCAAAGTATTCCATTTTAATTTTAAGCCATTTGTACAAAAGCATAGACAGACCTTCAGACATTCCGTTCCCCAGAAGTTGAATTCCATCGTTAGTTTCTGGTGAATACCCGACAGTTAACACAGCGCCTATACACAGTGCATATTATTTTTATAAATGAAAAAGCTCGCAAAAGCTATGTAAACCACAATATTCATTGTCATAACAAACCTATATATTGCAATTTTATAATATCACATATACATATAACTTATTTGAACATTGCAAAATCCTTTGAAGGTAGTTTATCATTAAAAGTACCCTCCTTAAGAATTACAATACACAAGTTTGGATAAACGTTAAAAATTAAAATAAGGGCAGATTTTGTATATTAAAATAAAATGTGTTACAAATAACAATTGCCAAATCCTAGTATGTCACCACTTAGTTTGTGCTTTATATTATATTGTCAGCTTACAACTATCCAAACAGTGGTATTACCAATTGAGTTTTCAGCATAAAAAACAGAAATGATACAAACATCAGTGGAATCATAATTATTTACTTAACAAATTGAGTAAGGCTTTTACGGCCATCGATCAGCATATTATTGTCTTTCGGACTCCTCGATTGCTCGAAGAATTGCAATTCTTCGAGCAATCGAGGAGTCAACATCTCCTGAAGATGCCGTCCACACGTGATGGCGAAACGTCGAGAACCTCTTCTCGCTCACATCGGCCGAACAGCCCGAAAGACAATAATATGGTATTTACTTAACACATAAAACTTTTTTTAATAGTTAAATTTAGCATCATTTCCATGCTTTTAATGCAGAGTTAATTGGCTAAAACTTAATTGGCTAACTTGGTGATTTTGAATATGTGAAAAATAATTATTTTTTGTATTGTACCTTTGAACCAAAAAAAATTAAAAGTGTTTAACATTGACACTATCTTTATTTGGATAAACTGATCATACCTTGCTGGAATCCCTGAATAGGTATTTGCATATGATATTTGGTTTGCTGCTGCTGAATGAGATTCGGAGTCAGGACTTGAATCTGAACTGTGGGCTGTGGATCACCTGTAAAATACAAGGAACAATGTATATGTTAACCTAGTCAGTTATTTTGGGCCCAATTATTGCGATCCTGACTATTGTTATTGTTTCTAGATTATTAAAATCACACAATGGTATACAATATAGGCCATAACTTAAATTGTGTTTTGAGTCATCATATTATTTTATAATGATGATCATATTACAAAATAAGGATAGTAATTATTATCATAGAATAAATTTAAATGTAGTTATATTTTTCCTTAGATTTGTCCTCTTTGCAATAATTTTATTGGGTTGAGTATTTATTGACTTGATATTTGAGGTCGAGTGGTACTTTAGGTTTCACTTGTATGGTACAGATAAACTTAGGAAATATTGACATCAAAGTAAGAGTTCAATATAATAATTAGGTCCAAGAAAAAATAACTCATTTTGGTGCACTCATATGGTATATTCTACAGCAGACAAGGAAGGGATTGACTCCGTGGAAGCCTAAATATCTCACCCACGTCTAAGCAAAATGCATTGTAGGGCTATTTTAGGCTTTAAACTGTCATAATTAAATACTGTCTATAGTTTACGCGAGTAGTACACATTTAAATAAAACACTTTAACGGTTTAAAACGCGATTTATTAGTTAAACTTATTTGTAAATGATTTTTAACTTCGGCCCGACGTTTCGGATGCTTTGCAGCAGCCGTGGTCACGGGAAGACTGCTGACTTGCGTTTTAAACCGTTAAAGTGTTTTAATTAAACTATCATAATTACCAGGTTTAGTCCCAGGCAATGTTATGGGTACAGATATAAGTTGAGGTGTGGCTTGTAACGTCGTGCCGTCCAGGGTCCGCACATATTGGACACTTTCGCCCATATTCACTCCGCCAACCATACCGACGACCTGAAACATTAATGATAAAAAATTACTACTATGTAAAAATAGTCCCAGGAATATCTATGCTATTTTCTCAATAACAGTAATAGACGTGTAAAACTGCACAGTATGTGATGATAATCCCCTATTGGAAACCCAGGGCACAAGAGCCTAATAACCTGTTGATCAGGTATTTATTTGTAAATCGACGGCTGAAACGGATGGAGAATTTATTTTCCATATAGATTGTGTTAAGCTTAGGGGTTTTTTTGGTGATATACGAAAATTCGCGATTCATTGTTTTTATTATACATTAATTAACAGTTTTTTCTGTAAGATGGAAAATAGAAAGAAAACACAAGCAATTCATAGTTTGGTTGCATAAGTCCGAAGCATTAACACTATTGTCTTAAGAGGCGAAGTGAAACTTGTACGCAAGTGAAAGTTTAACACACTTGATTCGTACACTGCACAACTTAGTATTGGGATATACAATCATAGGATTTTGTTCAAGCATTAAAGACATAATTCTGGTATTTCTAAGTAAAGGTAAGTTATAACTAACATCACCAGATAGACGCAATTACATATTTCCCAACTATCAAACAGGTTTTTTAAGTGATAGTATAATAAAATATAAATAGTAATTTATTTTTCGTTTCTTTGTTTTTTATTTTAAATATAAAACAGCTTAAAACAATTATAATAAGTTACGGAAAAGTTTAATAATTGAAAAAAAAAACGAGGCGGTAGCACAGTTAGTAGATCAATAGCACTGTTACTTATATTTAGAAATTTGAGGGAAGATAACACTTTTGCATATATGACTATTTTAATTCACAGTTACCACAAACATGTTTAGTTGACCATAGCAGGAGTTTGAAAGGTTCTTAACCTGGCCCCAAAATATGCTACAGCTCAGTAAATATGGAGGTCGTGATATTTTTAACAATAGGCAGTATAACATGAGATGTTCATAATCCTTTATAGTTCCCAGTAGGTCTCGGAACCTTGTCTACCACGCTGAGCAAATACATAAAAGAATGATATTCAAATGCAACATCTTAGCTGCCATCATTACCATTAAGCCAAAAAAAACGATATGGAAGTATGGCAACACAATACCTGTGACAGTTGGGTTCCATTATTAGGGTTCTGCTGTATCTTTGTCACAGGCATCTGACCTCCTGTAGTCACAAAGTGAGTTCCACCACCCATTGCGGAGAAGGCTGCATTCCAATTCATCTCAGAATCTTCTTCGCTGTTGACAAAGTATTAATTAGAACCTCCTTGGAACAAAACAATTAATCCATAAATAGCTTACCTATAATAGAACCTTATATAAAAAGTAAGCTATATAATATAATGATTTATAATTTATCAGAAAATTTACATTGATATACTTATATAGACGCATATTTATTACAGTTTTTGTATATATTTACAGTTCCAAGACTAACTAATAGAACTACATGTTGATATTAAAATATTACAATTGTGTCTGTAATAAAATTCTGAAAGCATGTTGGTGGCTAATATAATTATAATAGATAAACTGTTGAGAAGTTTTAAGACCATAAAATGATAGGCATCAAAGGAACACAAGACTAACCAATGTAAATATGAATTAAGCATCGGAAAACTAAAGTAAAAGTAAAGTTTTTCAAATAAGTATGTAATTTTAATAAAGATATAGTTATGGAGCAATTACATTTTGTTTATTTATTAATGAACAAGAAAAACAGTTATTTATACAAAAAGTATATTTACTCAAACTAATTTTGTATTATTCAGACTAATTGTGTCTGTTGAAATAAGGAAGTTAAATATCTAATTATGTTATGCAGGTTACATAAAAGCACGTATGTAATCAAGCTCTAAGAATTTATGCTGAAAATATTATTGACCCCGACAAAATTGTCTAGAAATTCATTGTAAAAAATTTCCATACCAAGAGCCATCGTCTTGTGCGGGCATATTCTGCATATCGCACATTTCAACCACTCGGGCGCTTATCCCACTCCTGATTACCCCCACGAGAAAATCCCACCAACTCAGGGATCACTGGGAATGGTAGGGCCCCACACCGCAAACGACCACCGCACTAGACGCACTGACTCGGTGAATGGCGTATCATCGCGAGAATACGAAAGTGGGTTAAAGAAAGTTTTTTCTACGAGCTCAATAGTGAACCGGCTCGGTGGGTGTACGTACACAGTCGATGTGTTCGCGTGATTCTCACTCTCTCTTTACTGTACTTTCACGACTGGTGAGATCCAGTTCGGTGTAGGAAGCCAGTTAACATACTTGTGTAGTACTTAAGAAGTTAAGACTTCATTCATTTAGCAGATACAAAACTTAATACAAACACATATACTCTATACCATTTTTTATAAGACGTACCTATGTAATTTTAGTGTTTATAGTTATTTTTCAAAAGTTTAAATAAAGCAACTTTTCCATGATAGAATTTCCTTGTAAGCAGCAGGATGTTTAGTTAATATTGAAAAATATTTTTTTAACAAAAAAACTAAATATTCTGTAATACAGGTGTTGTTTGAAAATGAATACTATGAAGCAGTAAATGTTTAAATTTGTAACTAAGTACTATGTGTTTTAAAGAGAATGCTATGTATATTTTACTTACCTTATTGTGTAGGTACCTATATTGTTTCTAAAATTTTGGTGTAGATTTAACAAAAATATATTAATTTGAGCATGATATATTATGTAGTTTAAAAATCGAAAATAAATTGAAAAAAATTTCAACTCGGGCAGGACATTAGTCAATAAGTTATATATGTAATCAATTATTCTCCTCTTGGCTGTTATAAATGATATATTAACCGAAAATATTGACTCAGATCTTCATATTTCATAAGTCATGGGAAACCTACACTATTAAGTTAATGTTATTATATAAAAAAACATCAGTATTATGTTACATAATATAATAAAACCTTTGGCAAATTGTATGCATACATATTTATAAAAATAATTAAATACAGACAGAACCAGTCTTGACATAATATAGGTACCTCAATATTCTTGACAGTACATACTGATACTGTATAGTGGTTAGTCCAACCATAGAAATGTGGTCTTTATAATAAAGATATAATATAGCTACAAGTGAAAGGAATGTTTTAAAGGACATGCCAAGCTTTACAACTTAACCTTGACTATTGTATCGTTTGGATATTTTTAAACAATTACTCAGTATTAATATTAGAACTCAAGGTTCGATTGAGAATTTTTAGTTTTCTTTGTTTTATGTAAATGAATCATGTCTTTCGTGTAGCTACGATTAGCTGTAGCGTTGGAGACAAAGAGACGAGATTACGCAATTTTAAAGATGCCTCCGAGGAATTTTTCATTGACGAGTGTTGTAACATGTGATGGTGGGCGGAACAGCGACGGAAGGTTATTCACCCCCTCACCTACCGATTCCCTCGGTCCGATTGCATGTCCATCAAGTCTCATCCCCACCAAGCGAGATCCCCTCCAAAAACCGCCGATAAACCGAACGCACTCCCGCTCCCGACTCCACCACTGCCAGGGAAATGGCGAGAGGAGGGGTGCGCGGCCCTCTCCAATTCGCGCGCCACTCTCGCAGCCGCAGTAACTCAGGGACGGCCACGCGCCTCGTATAACGGTATAACAATGTACCGCTTCCGAAATAAGGTCACGAATGTTCACACGATAACCGCATGCTTCGGAACATACCTCGTATCCTAAATATGATCCAGGAATTTTCCCACTTGACACAAACAATGGTCACGTAACAGCGTTTATTTATAATAATTTCACGTAAACATTCTCCTGTCTACAACAAATGCAGACGGCCATTACGGTTTTACGATAATGTTTCTGTTTTCGACTATTTACCGCCAGATGGCGTATGCTTTGAAAATTGACATTGAAGTTGATTGGTGGACGGAAGACGGCTGGGTGACCAGATCTAATCCTTAAAAAATCCCAAAAAAAATTAAAACTTAAAGGTTGTTGTGCTTTAAATTAAATTTTACATGTGCGGTACTAAGATGCTTTACTCAACCTTTTTTATTTTTAAACTTAGGTTGTTTGCGTAAGAGAAACAAAAAACTTAATTTAGCTCTAAGTATTTAATCTGGGCTATCTCTTTAATAAAATGAGATTGAAGCAATAAATTTAAAAAAGTTATCAAACTTCTATAGTCTTTAAAGGGGACTGATAACTTTTAAGTTCCCATCAAGCTGCCCAATTATAAAGGTAATATAGGAATTAAATATTAATAAATAATAAAATGCATCACAGTTTAATTTAGAGAAGCATCAGACAGGGTAATTTTTATTAGGTCACAGACTTCTAAACACTATACTTTGACCTATAATGTAAGTATATTATATACTAAACAATCCTAAAAGTGGTGATCAGCTAGTAATAAACACCACAAGCAAATTTTACCAAATACACTTATATTTAAATTATAAAAATAAATGTAGGTACATAATTTTAAAATAATTTAACGAGTTTCATTAATAATACATTAGACATAACAAATACAGGTACCAAACTCACGAACAACTATAACTACCTATAAACTATTATTAAAATGGAAACTGCTGCCCTGTTCTTTGTATTCTTTCCAAATGTAATTCAAACAGTAGTTTGTTATCATAATAATAGCTACTCTGTGATGAACTCAGACCGGGATCATAGCTAGGTCTTCGATCTGAGTCTGTAGACGACCCAGGAGATGGAATGCAACTACTTTCAACATATAGAGATTGACTAGATTCTGTCTGAGATATGATATTCGAGTTTGTTAGATTATTGTTAATATGCAAATTGTTTATTCTTTTTGACAATGGCATGAATTCACAGGCTTCGTCCTCACGTAAACGTTTTCTGGAAAATAAATAATTGGGGCATTAACGAAAGTTCAAAAACAAATAAAGTTGATATCCAAACATATTACCTATTTTCAGACATTGTTTTAATCATAACATGTCCATTATTTTCTCCATTAGTATTCCAAGAAGTGTCTCTAACGTAAGTCATGTGTTCATGAACTTGGGCATACGCCATGCAATAATAAAGTAATTATCAAGAATACAATGAAACGCTAATATTATCACAATTTCAGCAGATGAGTAGGTATGTACAGAAATAAAAACAATGATAGGTGCAGCTGTTGCATTGCGCACATGCGACATGTGAAATGTCAAACGTCACAATGACGTTTTACTTTTTCTATTGTCAACATTTTATAGTTTTCGTCAATTATGTATCTATAAAATAATTGTAGTGATCACAATAAAAATTTAAGGATACATTATATTATGATATGTAATTGTTTTTTCCTTACGTGTTTTCACTTCAGACAATTTTTATTGCAATTTGCGCTATCTAGCAAAATTTTAAATAACTGTGTTGTGCAATTTTGCTTTTTTACACTAGATGGCGTTCTGAAAGTTAACAAGACCGCAAATCGTAGATAAGTTTAAATTATTTTTATATTCCTGACACTTATTTTATTTACGCCTTCACTTAATTTGAATTTTACGTCAATAATTTGAAAGTTATTATATTATTATGTGTTTCTTAGCCCATAACATTTTCTTACCTTTTTTAGGCCCTCGTTGCCTATTAACTTTTTTCTGGCCTATTAAATAAAAAGCCCAGGGTCCTGCCCTCGCCAACATGTGCCTTCAACAGATACGTATTCTATACAATGCCAAAGGCTAATTAAGGTCCGTTAAGTACTTTTATGGGTAAATCTGCTGCAATAAGTGAAGCGTAACCAAACAAGGCTTGCGAGGAGGTAGTGCGATATCCAGACTGTTTATAGCTAACGAGAACGACCATAAGGCCGCCGGTTTATGGAACAACGCCATTAAAAAGCGGGTTCTTAAACGGATATTTTTTATCGCAAAAACATTGAAGAGGGTGTGAAATGTAACTGTCTAGATACAGTTTACATAACACGGTTAACTTAGACGGTAACATTCTTCATTAAATACTGTCTATAGTTTACGCGAGTAGTACACATTTAAATAAAACCCTTTAACGGTTTAAAACGGTCGGTTTAACTATTATATAGCGTTTTAAACCGTTAAAGTGTTTTATTTAACATTCCTCATCTTAGTTTCAAGCATATACAAAATGATACTTGGATGACAAAGAAATATATATATTGTATTGTCGACAGCGTATCATGTTGAGATATTATATGCTAGGGCGTTTCACCTTTCATCTAATGTCCTCTCCGTCATAAAACAAAAAAACATGATTTTCCGTCTTAGATTGAGACAAAGGGCGTTTGAACAAAGTTTTGATAAATGAAAAATTCATTTTTTCACAATAATAGCATATAAGTTACAATTAAATGAAGGTTCAAAATGGAGACTAGCGGAGCAAAGGCAGTTTTTTTTTGTGAAATTATGAAGAATTAGTAATTAAGCGCACAGAGTATCAAAACGGATGCAGGAGAGAGTTGACTAAAACTTATTAAATTAACATTATTCCGTTAGCCTAACGCGTCTATTTAGATGGAGTGATAAATCATTAGGGTTGTCGATTGGTGACGGTACTCAGACATAATATTATGTATCATCATATTTTTTCTATAAAAAAATATTGAAGAAAAATATTACTTTGTACAAACAGGACTCTGCCCTTAAGATTCTTTCTACTTTTGTAATTCTTAATAATTACAAAAGTAGAAGCACATATAATTCTTGTTAATGTATATTTTTCATTTCAAAATGGCCTCTTTAAAGATTCAATTAGCTAAAAAGAAAATCCTTAGAAATATTCCCTCAGTCATAGTAATTCCCCACTTCATCCCATTTTTGTCCACCTTCACAACTGTGGCAAGCGTCTAGGTCAATTTTTCACAAAAGTACAAATTCAATTTTTGTTAAAAATGCAATATTTTACATTTCAAAATGGACTCTTAACAAAAGATCTTCGAAATAGCCCACTCCATCCCATTTTTGTTCACGTACACAACTTTGGCAAGCGTCAAGGTCTGCAATTTATCCTCATAATCCAAGGTTCATAGGATCTAAGTATCAACGGATAAGGATAATCCTAGATTTAGTTTAGACGGACTTAAGACGAGTTTTCCAACCCTACTAATGTGACACGAAGCGAATCGATGCGTAAACGCAGTTTATCCGATTAACCAGCTGCTGTTAGGAATGTATGATGGCCATATATAGTAAGATTCTGCCATTTCCACGTCAGCCATTTGACTATTATAGTCTGTGGTAAAGGGTCTGGGAACTAGTCAACCGGTACACCAAGACTGAATACATTTTGACAGCATATACTGGTATTACCATTGAATGATTGACTAGCTGACCTGGCAAACTTTGTTTAGCCTTACAAAATAATTCTAAGAAATTTGATTAGCACAAACGCTCTTGTGATTTAAACTAAAAAGATTGACACATAGTTCGCGGACATTTTCTTTTTATTATATTATAATTATTTCACACAACGGAACGCAACGAAAGCCCTCAAAGATGAATTTTTCCCCGTTTTTACCACATTTTCTTCCTTACCTCTGTTTCTACGTTCCTATTGGCTGCTGCTTCATTTTAATAGCCTCAAGCTTTCCTCAATTATTGATCCAAATAAAAATAAAAACTTTCGACTCGCATCAGTAGCTCCTGAGATAAGCTCGTCCAAACAAACTCTTCAGCTTATAATATTAGTAAAGATTAATATCTCTTGATCGATGCTATTACTTTTTCGTCGTGTTCTGAGAAGATTGTGCAAAAGGAAAATATAATTTAGCAGAACCTGTGTCTGACACATAATATTGCGCTAGTGAAAGGGCCTCGGCTGACTGAGAAAGGTGACTCATTGAAAGAGGATTCTTTACACTACATGACTCAGCAGTTTAGGGCATCGATCGTACAAACTTATTAAAATAATAAATCACCTTATTTGGCATTTATTTACTACAGTTAGAAAGAAATAAAGGTAATTTGAATAAATTACCTTTTTTATAGTTTTAAAACGTTTTATAGTTTTAAAACGCGATTTATATTAGTTAAACTTATTTGAAAATATTTTTGCGGTCCTAACTATTATTATTAATTATTTTTACGCGGTGACCACGGCTGCAAGGCATCCGAAACTTCGGGCCGTAGTTGAAAATAATTTAACACCTATAATAACATAATTAATACAAAAAGATAAAATTTAATTTGACGAAAACTGATGCAAAAAGCTTCCTGCGTCAGCATAAGTTGCAGCACAGATGCTAAAGCACAAAATTCCAGCAAAATAGCCAGCCAGCAGTAATGTTGAAAATTGGCTATCGTGACTTTTATATAGCTTTTTCAGAGTATTTCAACTGTTACAGTTGGACTTAAAGAACTACTACTATGAGTACGCAACTCTGATGAAGCTTTTGTTGAAGAGATGTTTCATGTTTCTTGTCTCTCTCCTGTAATTGATACCAAAAAACCGTCCAAGTGCCGCAGTCGCTAGCGAAGAGTTTCGAACCATTAGTTGTAAACAGTAGGTACCTATATAAAATAAAATTCCAGTCTTTTAATAGTTATTTCAAGTCCATATTTGTAACAATTCCTTGATATTGAACTAAAATCGGATTTTTTATGTATGTATATATTTTATGATGATGCTATAGTGGCGACAACAAGATATGAAAGACAATTTATTGCCTCTTTCAATCAAAGACTATTTCTTCAGAATATTGAATAATGACATGGTTTCCATAGATAAACAACCTTTAATTTCTAGAATTAATCTTTATTTCAACACCAAGGTTTTTTTTGTAAGTTCCATAGCGACTTGTGTGTAACGAATACAAAATCATCTTCCCAAGAAATATGGAGATTGTGTGTATTTCTAGTACTTACTTTCTCTATTCAAACATATTGTTACTTTCTCGTAATGAGAACGTAGATTGTGTGAGGTGCGGATGAACTTGGCTGTTTCATTGTGTAGCTGTCAACTGGCAAAAAGTTTTGACATGTTTTTTATTCTATGACAAGGCGGGAAATCATATGATCTTATCGATGACAATTGACACATTTAATTAAATATGTAGACTATGACTACAACGCAATTTTGCATAGAATATCATATGTTCGTAAGTGTAAAAAAACATTGGGTATGAATTGCCAGCATATTTTCTTTCACACTATTCATTTTATATGCACGTCAAATTAAAAGCAAAAATAAATTAAACTTCAAAGTAAGCCATATAGGGCCTAGAGTGTCGTGTTGACTTCTATTCAATTTCATAAGGGCTGGAATCCTTATAGTTCCTAATTGAGATCTAACGTCACACTCAATGCACGAGTGACTTCAAAATGGGGACGCAATAAAAACAAAGCATTTTAAATTTGTCATGGTTATTACATTCATTCTTAGCAATGGGATTTAAAACATACGCTTTGGGTTTCAAATTAGCGTTTACTTTATATGGGCACCTATTTTGCTAAATGTTCGCCAAATAACACGCAGTCAAGTTGTTTTTAGCAAAACGAATGTGTTTGAAAACATTTTCTTGTGAAACTAATAGATACCTAGAGATCGCTCTAAAAGCGAATTGCAGTCTTAAATTATAAAGACTAGTATAATATAATGTTGTAACGTATGTTGCTAAGCAGTAAAAACTGGCAGTTCCGTAAACTTTTGTGTAATTGAGGTAGCTTGTAAATGATTTTATTTGCAATCAGTCGCATTGTTACGAATCTAAGATAAGAGCCGGGTTGAAGAACTCTGTCCTTGAGGTCAACTACCAGCTTATCTATTGTTACAGCGGCGAATTTTCTACATCTAAGTTTAAGTTTTAGGATTGTATCGTCACAAACATATGAATTACTTGGCTTATAGAAAAATGATAGTCATCATTTCTAGTAGTGTTCCTTTTTTATTTAAGTCGGAAGCTAGTAAAAGTTTTAGATAATAAAACTTTTTGTACCATCCGCTGGTGAAGCGGTTTC